TCTCGGAATGCAGGCTAGACAATGAGCCTCTATAAACCGCCACAAGCATAAGTAAAATGTGTCTAATTATTGACATATGGCATATAAAGATCATAGCATGATATACGATATATATATAGAATATATATGTATATATATATATATATATATATATATGTATATATAGAGAGAGAGAATTTCATATATATATATATGTGTGTGTGTAGATACCTGTTGTAATTGGTTTTAGTTGAGTAATGGAACATGTTTTATATTTTCTATGACACACTACATATGTATGGCCAACACGAGATATATTCAGAACTGATACATTCCCATTTCACCATTAAGCACGCGCCTGTCAAAGACTAAAATCTAACCATAGGCGCCTGTGGTGACTCTGCTGGATGCGCCGGGCAAGGGCTTTGGTCCAAAGGCGGAACCAACATGTGTTGTTATCTATATTGAAGACGTTAAAATATTCCAAGATGGAATCGCAAGTCCTATGGCATGACGAGTAGCATGCCCTTGTTTGCCACGGTGGTGCGCCATGAGTGCGCATGAAGCCTTGCGCCATGGCACACAAAAGTTGGACATGTATGGTTGTACTGTCTCGAGTAAGCTTTACACGTCTGCGCCAAATTGGACATGTTGGTAGTTACACAAAGGTATTTCTGCTTAGAAAGGTACAAAGTCCTGCCTAAACGCAATGTTTCTCCTGTGGTTCTAGATACTTGGGACTACTGCTTTCCAATTCAAGGGTATACAGAGAAATCTTGTTTGCTTTATGTTTGGTAGAATCTACAGATCTAAATGATGATGCCTATGTTGTTAAACAATTATTTCTCTCATCGTCTATTTGAATCCAGATGTATGACTCACCACTAGTGAAAATCCCACATCACCTATCCTGTACATGTATTAAGCTAAATAAACAGGCGGCCTTCCGGCTGGCGCTGTTAACAATGCATCGCAACAGGGGTTATATATACTCAAAGCAAAATGGAGAAACATATTGTTAAATCCAGAAACTGTGATGCTTTACGAGAGTCTGTTGTGTCATCAGATAGCTTGGTGAGAGAGGGACCTCCAGATATTGCCTTATCCGAGGAAGGTTTTAATCCAAGTAGACTGTGGGAACTAGCCTTGATTAAAAGCACTAATGACACCCTTGCTTTCGTGTAATAATCTCTATTGTTTACTACCCGATGGAAGATACTGCAGTGTAATATTTTTCACGGCAATATTGCACTAGTGTAATACAGCTAGACATATGGCGTCATAATGGTTACAGTTATGGCGTCACAATCTAATACCCCTGTCACAATGGTATTATACCTTGCTTGACTCGCGGAAGCTGAAGTCATCACGTGAGCAGTTTCTATCAATTTATATTGGAGTAATAAACAGAATACTAAACTAGCTTCCTTGAAATACCATTTTTATTAAACTTCGGTGAAGAATAGAGTATCTAACTTCGGCTTTTGGCTCGTTTGATGCCAAATCATTAACTTTCGTTTAATAAAATGGTATTACACAGATCGTTTAGTTTCCTCTATTTATTACCCGTGGAAGATACTGCAGTGTAATATTTTTACGGGCAATATTGCACTAGTGTAATACCGCTAGACATATGACGTCATAATGGTTACAGTTATGGCGTCACAATGCTAATGCCTCTGTCACAATGGTATTAGACCTTGCTTGACTCCCAGAAAATTTATATGAGAGTCATCACACTGTAGGCAATTTCTATCAATTTATGTTGGAGTAATAAAACAGAATACTAAACTCACTTTAGAGTGAAATACCATATTTATTAAACTCCTGAAAGATTTAGTATCAAAGCGAGCTTGTTTGATACCAAATCATTAACTTTCGTTTAATAAAATTAATATTACACATGGAAGTATCCTTTAGTATCCTCTGTATATATGACCAGTTATTTATTTCAGGGCTGGGTAGGTAGGAGGTTTGAGAAGCACTAATTAGCTAAACATTATTACACTCCCAAAATGCTTGCCGTATTTTTAGATGACTCTCTCAAAGACCTTGGACATATTTTTCATTTTGATAGTGATATTCATATATGCCAGATATATTTAAACATCTGCTTGACATATATAAACCATGTCCTATCACTATATGATATGACAAACACTATCCGTATTAAAAGTGGTGTTTTATTATCACAAACACAAAATGTTTTCTGATTTTGTGCCAAGTACATTATGTGTAGTTTCCATTTTATACAGGATGGTACTTAAAAGTCTTTTAAAGACATGAGGCAAAAACATATATAAATTATAATAATGCTTAAAATCTTCAACAACTCATTCACAAACCTAACTTGTCTGGGGAAATGACCCTTGTGAATATGCTGCTTCAATGAACTGTATCATTGATAAAATAACCATTTTGTGGGTCAGGATCTTGGTCCATTTTGTTCCCATGATTCCCTGCACCAGAGCTTCCTGTGGGTTGGAACTACTCGGGGTAGGGTGGTACCCTGAAAACATACAGCTTCAAATATCGTTCATATGAGATTTCTCTTTTGATGTCAACTGAAAATGATCACAGTGTGTATACAATTATGTTACGACCTAACGCAACTATGTAGTTTTTCATGAACTAACGATAGTGAAGTGCTACAAATACTTAGTGGATCAGGCCCCAAGTCCTGGTTTAACAAATTAGTCTAAGCTCTATAACTTTCCTAACCTTTCTTACTTTATAATAATTTTACAACAATCATAAATCTGGAGAACAGGCCCAGAACTAGAGCTCAACATAAAATGAGTGAGTGCATTAAGATTACAGAGTTGTAGTGGTGAAAGATACAAAATTAGCTAAGCCAATCAAGTATAGCACATCAGAATTCAAACTTGACTATATCTCCCAGCCCCGGTGGGTCCTCAAACAAACAAGTCTACTTCACCCAGACTCTTAGGTGTTGATGATGGGGAGATATCCAAATATGTTTACCAGCACTTTCCTTTTGCACGCGCCAAGACACAGATGCAATTAATACACAATGTCATTTAGAAAGTGGTGAGGCGACTTTGTGAACTGGCGATTAGTTGCCTGACTCTGAGGGTGTGGGTTTGAATCCCGGATGGGACTCAACCCAACAGAAGTACTAGAATGTGTACTTTACTAAGAAAGTGTAATCCCAAATATAACATGTGTTACAGATACATACAAGTGATGGGTCCCCTCTCTACCCTGTCGGGGTAGCCTAGTTTCATCTCTCTAAAACCAGGTTCAATCCCCACACGGGTACAATCTGTGAAACCAATTCTGGTGTCCCACGCCATATTGCAGGAATATTGCTAAAAACGTCGTAAAACCATACTCACTCACACTACCCTGCAGACATTTGGTCCTTGCCATTCATATATATTGGGGTCACACCACAGGTCTTTTCAACTGTGAGTACTAAGTTACAGAAACCATCATCTTACTGGATTATACAATGTTAAATCAGAAGGAACATTTTTTATGGATGGACAACTCTTTTATTGCAATGGATGCAACATGGCAGTGTAGATGCTAAAGCCATTATCAAGCAAGTGATACACAACATTATGTACAAGGCAGGGGTGGAAATAACCCATTGCCCGACGTCCGAGTCCAGTGTTTTTTTCTGTCGGGCAAGCAAATTTGTATATCATGCTGTACCGGGTACAATTGACTTTCCAATGTTAATAATGTTGTTTATTTAAAAAATCAACAGGAAAACGGCCGGTATAGTGGAAAACTTATCAGGGCAAGTGATTTTACATGTGCTACTGTACCTGAGTACACTAGCAATTTTAAAGTTATTTCCACCCCTGCAAGGAGAATATATACCGGTACAAGAAGGTTATTTGAGTTTACACAGTCAACAAGGTTGATGTACAGTGTGATGACATCACTGATGGTTGCTGTGATCCTAGTTAATGGCTATGAAGCCTGATGGACAAAGAGTAAGGGATCCTTAATCTTGATTGTCATTGGTTAGAGGATGGTAAGCCGTAGGGATGTTAGCATCTTCACCGAAACATTGCAATAAACAAGTTGTCTATCCATAAAATATCGTTCCTGTTCATCATACCAGCTACTAAATGCTACTCAAGATGTAATGTTAAATCAGGGTAAGCAACCGTCACTAGCAACTGCTGGCCGTTTGACTCAACTTTATTGATCAAGTGGTCAAGCTTGGTAACTAAATGTCCTCACAACCTAAGCAACACACACACACACACACCCACCCCCCCACCCCAATATACCGGTATATCCATGTCCTATTACATGCTTTTTAAAAAAAGGGTAGGTGGGTCGATTTTATCTTATTTTAAAACTTTTGGTGATTTGGATGAAAAATTGATGAGTTGAAATGCACTCCTGATTTTGACTTGGTTAAAAAAAGATTTAGGGTCGGGGGTTAGGATAGGATCAGTTGGGTAACCGGAAACGGACCTATTATTTTTTTGGCCTTATAATTTTGATTATAATAGCAATAACAGTATTATCCGGTCCAGGTTGGAGTATTGATAGTCCTTATAACATCCCAGGACTATGGCTGAAGGGGACGTTGTCGGCACAGGTACTACAGATATGTGAACCCCAGGTACGTTTCTGTATACAGATATGTACCCAGGCCATAATGCGAATACAGAAACGTACCCTAGGACCATTCCATTCCCATTGTGTCGAATTCTTGATCGGAACCGTCATGCTGTTGTATTAGATACATTTGATTGCGTTATGTAAGTAAGTAATGAGAACAGTAACGGATGCATATGGATACCACTCGGAAACAGTTGAACCGGAACAACTACTTGCGGTTTCGGTTTTGCATTGCGGAATATGGACTCGTCCGCCTTTTAGGGTACTGGGTACGTTTCTGTATTTTTACTTTGTTTAGGGTACATATCTGTATACAGAAACGTACCTGGGGTACGTATCTGTAGTACCTGTGCCGACTACGACCCCTTCAGCTGGACTATGTGTGTAGCATTAAACAACAAACAATAAAACCCTGAGTGATAAGGTGGAATACTGTCAACAAAACAAATGTACAAGAATGAAGAAGGTATTACATGGTGAATCTCTGACTGTATACCTCAAATAAAATACGGCACTGCTGTTTCTGAACTATCATGTTTCATTATCACTGCGACAGTTCTGCAAGGACGTATTGAAACTTGCTGATGGTGCGGTCCACATCCTCGTCAGTGATGTCATTGTGGGTGACCAGACGGATACCCATTTCTGAAAATGGCAGCATTAGAGCTGATACGCTGTATCCCAGTTTGTCCCTCTCAGCATCAGTAACCTGGAAGATGAAATTCAAATGGAAATGCACCCAGAATAACACTTCAAACTTCCATGCAGAAAATATCACAAGTACAATTGAAAGGATACACTATCTGAAACTGATGGGTTAGGTTCATTGTGAATGAATGAAGACAATTATAAAGAAAATGTTGTTCATCTGGAAGCACCATATTTTTATATTTTCTTTGTTGATTAACTTAGACAGCAGCCTGATAAAGTCTGGACAAGACAATCCAGTGATTGATATAATGCCATCATCTACACCATCAGAGTTAGAAGAAATCAACAAAGTTTGGGATCAGGGGCTCCTTTCACGAAGCAACATTTACTAAGGTTAACCTGAACTCCCATTCTTTAACATTGCACTAAGGTTACCTTAGTGACTTACGATCACCTTGGTGCTTTGTGAAAGGATGCCCAGGTCACTAGGGAGGCTATACACACCAAGTGAAGGGGAAAGAGACAGGATAATGATCTCATTATTTCAACTCACTTAATTCTGTTAAGCCACCAGGACAACTATTTTCACCCCATCCTGTTCCGACCTTGAGATTTGAGTGAACAACTTCTCCCCTTCCTCCAACTCCCCTCTCTGATTTCTGATTGGACAATGATGTGCGTTCACTAGCACCATGTGGCATCCCAACAGCCTGAGTACCACTGTGAAAATGAGTTTGATTTACGTCATGTCGGCAGGATTTCAGCCACATTGTGATGTACTGATGACTGTATATTACCGTGAGATAAGCCGAATTTTGAGGACCAAAAAAAAGCAGTCTGCTGTAGAAGGGGTCTGCTTATCTATGGGTTACACTTTTGTCAAACTTCTTTTCAAAGGAAAGAAAACGGGACATCGTATCGCCGTGCATGAACAAACAAAAAGCTGAGGCCAAATCACAACTGTTCTTGCTGGGCTGTGAGTATGAGTCCCATCAGCTTCATCACACCATCCGTTAACTGACATGTGCATGTGGTAAACCATACACCATACTAGTGTGCCTCATGACCTCTGACAGTTCTAGTCATACTAGGATGCCTCATGACCTCTCTGACAGTTCTTGTCATACTAATGTCCTCTTGACCTCTGGTACTAGGATGCCTCATGACCTCTGACAGTTCTAGTCATTACTAGGATGCCTCATGACTTAGGACAGTTCTAGTCTCTGACATTCTTCTAGTCCTAATGTGCCTCGTGACCTCGGGACAGTTCTAGTCATACTAGGGTGCCTCATGACCTCTGCCTCATGACCTCTGACAGTTCTAGTCATACTAGTGTGCCTCTTGACCTCTGACAGTTCTAGTCATACTAGGATGCCTCATGACCTCTGACAGTTCTAGTTCATACTGCCTCTGCCTCAGTGATCTGACAGTTCTAGTCATGACCATGATCCTCGGACAGTTCTAGTCATACTAGGATGCCTCATGACCTCTGACAGTTCTAGTCATACTAGTGTGCCTCATGACCTCTGACAGTTCTAGTCATACTAGGATGCCTCGTGACCTCTGACAGTTCTAGTCATACTAGGATGCCTCATGACCTCGGACAGTTCTAGTCATACTGCCTCTTGACCTCCTGACAGTTCTAGTCATACTAGGATGCCTCATGACCTCGGACAGTTCTAGTCATACTAGGATGCCTCATGACCTCGTGACAGTTCTAGTCATACTAGGATGCCTCATGACCTCTGACAGTTCTAGTCATACTAGTGTGCCTCTTGACCTCGGACAGTTCTAGTCATACTAGTGTGCCTCATGACCTCTGACAGTTCTAGTCATACTAGGATGCCTCATGACCTCGGACAGTTCTAGTCATACTAGTGTGCCTCATGACCTCGGACAGTTCTAGTCATACTAGTTTGCCTCATGACCTGACAGTTCTAGTCTAGTCTAGGTACAGCATCAGCGTGCATGAACAGAACCCTGTGGCCTTGGGAAGCATCTCTTGGATCATGAGCCCTGTTCCACAGAACAAACACAGCGCTACAGTATGTAATGTTAACTCCCATACAATTACATGGCCTTATAATAGACACAGCACCAGATTGCTTGATGAAACTGGATACTCGACCAATTAAGAAATGCACTCTTTAGTGGCCTTCACACAGAGGGCAGATAATGTTTTCCAATGAATTACCTCACTCATCCTCTGACACAGTTCGTCTGGAGTTAGTCCTGACTTGGTAATCTCCATCATAAACAAGTTGGTCTGTACCCCAGGAACGTCAACAACAACCACTTTGTTTGATGGGGACGCCATGATACCTGGAGTTAAAAAGTATGAAAGTCTATCAAATCTTCCAGGTCATTCAATACATTAATTTTCCTGTTAATTATTGAAGCCTCCTCATTCCTACCTTTACATACAATATGAATGTGGAAATTCAAACTGTCAAGCATGTATGAGGCAAACAAACCACATGACATGCTACAGATTTTACATTAAAGGCACAGTGTCACACCACACATCTCTTAAAGTACATAAAGCATTTCTCTCAATAATACTAACTATCAGCCCTCAGGGAAGCTACCATATAATTTATTCCCAAAAACAATTTTGTATTTAGATTACAATATTAAATTTAAAAATTCAAATGAATTAATACAACGTTGCATTAAAACGACTCTTGCGCCCTCTACAGACCAAACATTATTTCATGCGAACCCCATCGTGTAATGTCCCTTGGAGTGCTCTTTATAGACATCCTATGCATATAGAGTGCATATGCCCCCAATATATAAAATATAGGTCAAAATATTGTAGAAAATGTGTGATATTGTGCCTTTAAGATATACATGTATATTGTTTAACATGCATTTCTGCAAACAACAGGGACAGAAACATATGTTGGACACAGATAATTACATGACCTTTTGGCATAAAAATGTGCCAATATGTAATTTTCTGAATAAAATTGATATTTTATACTTATCCTGACTCATGCTTATTGCTTGTCTCCCTTTCCTTCCAAATGCTAGTGGAACACTTGAATCCCCTTTTGAAGCTCCCTTAAAAAGCGGACGTAAAATCACTTACCAGGAGACACCTCCCTTGCTAGGTTTTGGCGGGAAACGCGCCACCTGTCTCCCATGCTCTTCACTCTCTCCGTATTTTATAGCCCGACACACTGATTTACTGGGAAATCCAGAGTGCCTTGAGGGGAGGTTGGGAGGGCTTACCTCATGAGTCAGGATAAGTATAAAATATCAATTTTAGTCAGAAAATTACATATTTTTCCTTATCCTGACTCATGCTTATGCTGCTGTAGAATCCGGCGGTATAGGTGGTGGGTCAAGCCACCTCTGGATTCCTTAGTGATGAATTTACGTCCTATATACCCCCATGGGAACTTTAAATGGCACTGCTGCTGTTGATCCATATGTGAAATAATTTGGTAATTTGGGGGACCACAATATATCAAACTCTTCTGTAACCGTACATGTGGATTTAAATAACTCAACTCTTGATGGTCATATCAAGTGGGGTAGTGACCCTATCCATGTACCAGTAATTCCTTACAAGTACAGGGTCCAATATTCATGCTAGTCTGTTCTAGACGTGTACATGGACTATAAGCTCTATTCCTTGGCGTGCACGTCCGAACTTTTCTTTTTGAATTTTCTTTGGTACAAGAAAAATTGGGAAGTAGAAACCTGGTGTGGCGCAGTGTTTTATCTCTTCTATTGCCTCTTTCTCTAGTAGAGATGTGATGGCTTCTAGTAGATTTCCCTTCTGGTCTGCAGCGTGGTTGTGAACCATAGGGTTGATTGTTACTGGTGGTACTGCTTGTAGTTGTATCCTGTAACCTGTCGCGTAGAATCTGAGATCTGAAGTCGTCTTGAAGAATTCCCAATTCTTCCAGTAGAGTTGTAGACGTCCACCCACTTGTGAGGGTTGTACTGGAGCGGCTGGGGTGGAAGACTCCAGTCGTTCGAACCTGTATTTCATCGTCTGGAACTTCTGAAGCCTCGAAGGGCCGACCTCTTCCGTAGTTACCTCTTGGAGCTCTTGCGGATGGGCGTGAAAAGAATCCTTATTTCCTTTAGTGTTGCCTGATTTCTTATCCCTTGCTCTCTGGATGCCTGCAAACTTCGATTTGCCAGAATAGCGTTAGGAGGTTTGGCGTATTACACTGGCCAGTGTATCGATAGACTTGATCATCATTACTTCTCGGGAATCTTTAGCGACTTCCTTGGCGACTTCATCAATTTCTCCTCCAAAAATGGATGGTGCTGACCAAGGGGCTCTGTAGAGTGTCTTGGTAAACTTCTCGCTCCAAGTTCATGAAGATAACAGTCCTTGCCTTCTTGATAACGTTAGGCCTGCAGAAATGGATGATAGGTGTTCAGACATGAACTGATGATCCTTTTTCTGTGTAAGTAGAGCTGAATAAACCATTCTATCTTCCTCTGAAGTTGAATTCTTAAACTTCGAGATGAGAGTCTCGTTGATAGCTCTTGACCTGGCTAGGCCGAAGAAGGTTCGTCTGGTTACTGTGTCTAACTGTGCCAGCTTTTTATCTTCTATCTTGTAAGCTTTAGTCCGAGTGTCATTGATGATCTTATAATTCTCATCTATCTCTGGGGCCTTCATGAAGGGTTCCATGTGGTGTAGAGAGAACTTCTTAGCGTTGAGCAGCACGAATACTCTGAGTCTGGTATTTAGTTGCTTTCTTGAAGGCTGTGCTGAGGTTGTCTGGAACGTCTAAGACTGGGTCGATAGGTGGCATCTTGAGTGAGTCTATATCATCATTCACCATCAAGTATGATAGTGCTTCGTCGGTCTCCTTAGAGGGTGATGCGAGTTCCAAACCATTGGCCATCCATGACTTGATTTCCGAGTCGGAGAATATAATTCCGCCGTCATCGTCCTGCTCTGAGGATGGATGTCTTCTTTTGTCGTCTGAGCGGAGATCTGTAAGGTGATCTGTGAGACGATCTGTGTGGTGACCTGCATGGCGATCTGTAGAGGCTGACCTGCATGGTGACCTTCGTGGCTTAACCATCACGTTCGTGAATGTGTTCGTGACATCGCCAGGGGACCTGCGTGGAGATAGAGATGACCTTGCATGCCTTGGCGCGAACCTGCGTGTTGGTGAAGCGGCTTTGTCGAGGGTTGGAGTCTTGTGACGAATCTCTATGCCTTCGATGCGGGCGTTGATTCTCTTCTCCTTGGTAACGAACCATTGCAGCGCAGGTTCGTGGACTTAACGTCCGTATCTGGCGTAGATGATGATCTGTGTGGGTTCGGCGAACGTCTGGTCCTTCCGCTGAACGTAGTTGGTGCGGATTCCACATTGGTATGGCTGCCAGGTATTCGCGCGGACGCTGTAGTCGAGCTGGAATCTTCCTGTATGCTCTGCAGGGCGTTGGTTCCCAACAGACGTGGTGTGCTGCTCAGTTGACCTTCACTTGGGGTTCGTCGCGAGCAGGCGTCGCTCTTCGCGCATCTCTGCGCGAACCGTTGTTCCATCAGGTCCAACATCTGCTGCATAAAGGTGCCTGGGTTGAAGGTCTGCGTTGTGTGTTGTACTGACGACGCATCTGAGACGGATGAGGCTTCTTTCGAAGGGGGTTGATCCTTCGTGCCGAACGTCTGTGTTGAAAGGTTGTCCTGCGTGGTCACTGTAGAAGATGTCTTCATCTTCTTCTTAGATGTGATCTCAGGGATGAGGATGGACGGCTCATCGTAGACATCTACTTCTTCCAGAGGGATGATCTCAGCTGAAAAGGACCTCGTTTTCTGCGTTGCCCCATGTGGGAGACTTCGGCCGAAGTCTAGTTGTAGCTGACTTCTTCCTCTGGGAAGATGATGCCCTAGTCTTCTTAGACTCGCGAAGAGGGTGTCTCCAGATGTAGATGACCTCTTCCTCGAGCCAGCGTTGTCTATGGCGGTGAATCTCCTCAGTGACGCGACCGGTAGACCACTGGAATGGTGTATCTGCTCAGACACCAACTGCGGTCCTCTGCAAGCTTAGCCCGGTTTCGATGTAATTCTCGTCAGGACCTGTCGCCGCCAGTCTAGACAGATAATATGAATATTTATAAAATGCAATATCAGACAGATGAAGACACAACTTGTTGAGTGTCAGATAAACATATAGGCTTGCAATTAGGACATAGGTTATGCGGATCAACAGCAGACAAACGATACCTACAACCAGAACAAGATTTCATCAATTGTAAACAATGTGAATAATCACGTAAAAACGTGACAAAAACGGAGAAATTTGAGAATTCCGTAAAATATTGTAGGTAAATGTTAACTAAAGCCTTATACAGCTAATTTAGAAGAAAAGCCTAAATAATAAAATGATATAATGCCGTATAGGGGACCAGGTGCTCTCACAACCGCCCACTTGGGCAAATCAGGAGAGAGTGAAGAGCATGGGAGACAGGTGGCACCGTTTCCCGCCAAAACCTAGCAAGGGAGGTGACTCCTGGTAAGTGATTTTACGTCCGCTTTTTTGAAGGGAGCTTCAAAATGGGATTCAAGTGTTCCACTAGCATTTGAAAGGAAAGGGAGACAACCAATAAGCATGAGTCAGGATAAGGAAAAATATGAAAAATACTTTTGAACCATCCTTAACTTGTTTAATGTCATTTCATCATCATCCAAAGAAAAATGCAATTATAACTGAGAAATGCCTTCCTTGTTCCAGAGATTCCATTTTCAATTTCTGAATCCTCATGTATATTTCGGGAAATTAGACTATGCATTTAGCCTATTTTAGACTATGTCATTAAACAAACAAACCCATCTTACCAGAACCCATACTTGCCATGGCAAAATCAGTATTGTAAAACCAGAATGCCAATCTGAGAATATTAGATATTTATTACACTCACTGTGCACTTTACCAGTCTCTGAAAGGCCATGTGTATTCATAGCTTTCAGAAGTAGCAGCAATGCCTGCTTACATTCATGAGAGGGGTACACAAAGTATGTGATATGATTACCAGTTGTTTAACTCTCAAACCTCGGTGGCTGAGTGGGTTAGATAGCTGACATAGTGTACTGGCTATTTGGTGCCTCCTGCTGAGAGTGAGGGTTCAAATCCTACACATGTTTAACCATATTCTGACAGGACATTGTGTTTTCATTGTACTGTACCTGCAGCTAGCCTCTTTGCCCTGGCGTGGTCTTCATGGAGGCGAGGCACTATTGTGTCAAGGGATGTTAGCATGGCTGCAGCGAGAATACCTGCTTGTCTCATACCACCTCCCAGAGCTTTTCTCGTTCTCCGTGCCCTGAGAAGTATGCCAAAATGACCATGATTAAACATAATCAAGTCACACTAAAAGGCTGGAAGACTTTAACACATGACTTTGTTACCTATAAAATGTTACTGGCAGTTAAAAAAGGTAAAAGAAAACTTAAGTTTTTCATGGCTGTAGACAATCTGTCATACCATGTGAAAATATCTTTGATTAGTATATTCATAATTATATATTAAAAGTGGCCATAGTGTAGGTCTTTTCTGACTGTATAAAGGGCACAGTCAATTTTATTATAGATCATTGTTTGTTTTGAAAGATATATTTAATCAAGATGTCATTATGCTGACTTGCTCTGAAAGGAAATTCCATTGTGAGGTATTATCAGAGAATCTCCTTGCGGGGCCCCGGGTACCTTATGCTTGCTTGCTCATAGTAGTTTATAACATCAACCACAGGCCTGTGTGGCCCATGCTATTTACATGGTGCTGTCGTATAGATAGACTGCTGGGTAGAACAACAAACAGGGAATCTCTGAACACACATTCACCTGACTCTAATCAACAATTATACTGGGGGATTTTATGGCTTCCATGTGGATTGGTTGGGTCAGGATAATGAAGCAAATCTGTCTTGAGAGGTTATCATGCTCAAGGCGCTGGTATTTTTCCCTCGATCATTGGATGTTAATCTCAATGGCACATCGTATTATCAATCTCAGCTCCCTGGGAAGGATACAACTCGTGCTGCCACAAGGCACTGAGTTATTTCGGCTTTCCCATCCTTACGAGGTACTCATTCACAGGTTGACTGGGACACATAGTAACAGTACTTTGTCCAAATTTACTGCACGTTGCTGTACCCACAACTAGGTGTTTGTGGCCACCATCTGGTCATATACCAACGGTTTCGTGGGTTAAGTGCACAGGGTTGTGTACTGTACAAGAGGGGTTGTGACAACACTGAAAGAGTCTGCACACAAAGTAGACTCCAAGGTTTTTACACCCGGTCACAGGTGGGCTCGATCCTGGCACCAGGAAAACCAGTTCATACCAGTATTGTGTATCAAGAAACTGTAAGTTGTATACTTACATGTATATAAAGTCTTTGGTTCCTGCAAGGATTGATCCAACTGGACATGCAAGACCCTGCAAAGGATGGAAGCTACAACAGCCACAGGAGACATACAGTGAGTACAAAGCAGAGCAAGTTGCTACATGACTCACACTTCGACAACAGGGCCATGGGGGTACACACTCAAGCACATGTTATGCAATGGTGACCATCTTCCACGTTCCACCCCTTTGTTAACCGGGGCGTTGGGGTAGCCTAGTGGTTAAACGTTCTTGCCACGCCTAAGACCCAGGTTCGATTTGGGGAATTGAACTTGGGTCTTCGACGTGGCATGGGTACAATGTGTGAAGCCCATTTCTGGTGCCCCCGCCGTGATATTGCTGGAATATTGCTAACAGGGGCATAAAACCATACTCACTCACTCCCTTTGTTACCCGATCACCTTTTTTGCACACTCTGTAATGCAAAATATGTACCTTCACCACCGATCACCTTTTTCAGATAACTGGAACAGCTTCTTAGGATCCCTGCAAATCTCATTAAAGAGGTTATAGAGCTCTTAGGTCACATTAGAACAACATTTTACAAATGTAAAAATACCATATAAAATGACTTTGAGGGGTTTTTTTACTTTGAGCAGGCAATAAGAATGTAATTTCTTGAGTAAAATTGTTATTTTATACTTATCCTGACTCATGATATTTTGCTTATCTCCTTCTTCTATGCGAACGGTAGTGGAACACTTGAATCCCTTGTAGTTCCCTTAAGCGGACGTAAAAGTTCACTCACCCACGAGTTGCCTCCCTTTTTCCGCGCAAACAGTCATGTGACCTGCCATACATGCCACTCCCTCCTGAATTTAGCCCATTCACCTGAGTTAACTGTGAAACCTGAAGTGTTTCCAGCGGGGAGGTTGGGAAGGCTTCTCCTCATGAGTCAGGATAAGTATAAAATATCAATTTTACTTAAGAAATTACATATTTTTCCTTATCCTGACTCATGATCTTTTGCTTATAGAATCCTACGGATTGGTGGTGGGTCAAGCCACTTCCTGGATTCAACAGCTGTCCATAGATACGTCCTGTATCCCCCCCCCATGGGAACAGCATAACGGCATTTCCTAGATCCTATTCTTCCAACTTCCGTTGTAACTCGGGGGGGACCACCATCTTGTCTTACTTCTCTCTCAGACAAGTGAATCTTGTAGATTCATGTGGCTTAAGATATTCTAGTATCTTCTTTTTACTAGTTATCTATAACAACCCATAGATTATGATAAGATCTTTATCATAAATGAGTTGCGACCCCTTTACGTACAGATAAGATCTTTACCCGTACAGAGTCTTAATCACTCATGCTAGCCTAGTCTAGACTGTGCGCATGGACTTCAGACTAGAACTTTTTCCATAGTAAAAGTTATCAACAAGTCAACGTGATAAAGGGTGAGATTTCAACTCAGCGCCTTTGAGGAACCGTTAGTTGTTGTGCTACAACAAGAGGCCCAAACTGGTAAATGCCGGAGATGTTAGATGGCTATGTCTGGTAGTGGTTGGCAAACACCGTGTCTGACTTCCAGAAGCAGCCCTCCATGATCGATGATATAGAGCAATTTCCATACAGAGCCAGTGTTGACGCCAGTGCTCTGACTTTGTGTGGGTTGGAAGCTCTTGGAGGTTCTAATCCTGCTGCTTTGTAGGCTCTTAGTATAACGGCTCTCATCCAAAACGATATTGTCGTTCTTGAGACTTCCACTGCTGTCTCCGCCGACAAGGGGATGAATAGGCACTTGAATTTTCTTCTCCTTGTTTTAGTCTTTTGAAAATATATCTTCAAGGCTCTGACAGGACACAAGGATAAGTCCTGGGTGTCCTCTGGTCCGAGGATCGTAGATAGCGCTGGCACATGGAACTGTCTATCTGGTTGACCAGGTAGTTGATTCTTTGCAATAAAGTCCCATCTAAGTCCTAGATGTAGTGCAGCACAGAGCCCCGTGTCGAATCTAGTTCGTCCAAGGTCCAGCGCATGTATCTCAGACATACAAGCTGCCGTGGCTAGGGCAAGCAGGAACAGAGTTTTCTGCGTGAGTAGATCGAAGGTAGTCTGCTCTAGAGGTTTGTAGACATCACTCATGAGATGAAGAAGAATTACATTCAGATCCCAGGCTGATGCTCTGAATTTCTTTTGCTGGTCCTCCAGTTTAAAAGATCGCAGCAGATCTAGTAATTCTGGTACTTTCGTCAATTTGATGCCTGACTTCATAGTGATGACTGTACTAATGGCTGCCAGATATGTGGATGATGTGGAACCTTTCAGATGTCTTGTATATCTAAGGTGACATAGATATTCCGCCACTTGAGGATGAGACGCTTTCATAGCTGTAAAGCCCTTCCGCCTTGCATATTGCTAAAATTTCTGCCATTTGTCGTCATACAAATTGCGAGTAGATCTGCCTAACACTAGGGTTACTGCTTTCGCTGCTCTGGCGGAGTATCCTCTTTTCATCAGACAGGTTTTGATATGGTCCACACGTGTAGCTGGAACAGTGTTGGGTTCCTGTGAACTTGCTTGGTGTCTGCGATGTCTGAGTAGGTTCGGCCATTCTGGTAGTTTGAGGGTTGGACTTCCGAGATCTTCTATTAGGTCTAGGAACCATACTCTTGCTGGCCAGTATGGCGCGACCAAAGTCAGTTGTAGCGCTTGTGTCTGTTTGATCTTCAACAGTACTTACGGTAGTAAGATCGGAGTGGAAACGCGTAAGCGTTTAGTCCTTCCCATGATATGCTCAGTGCATCTGTTGCCCAGGCTTGGGGGTCTGGTACTGGTGAAACAAACGTCTGTAGTTGTTTGTTGAACCTCGTGGCAAACAGGTCTATGCATGGGGATCCTATTTCCCTTATAATGAGCCAGAACGCTTCTGGATGGAGCATCCGTTCTGTGGGTGACGGATGAAGTGGTCAGGAAAGAGCGTCTGCTAGTACGTTCTTGGCTCCCGGTATGTGACACGCCTTTATCCAGATGTTTGCCTTCTCTGTGATGTTGAACAACTGGAATGTGAGCTGCAATAGCTTGGCGATCTTGTTGATCCTTGCCGATTTATGGAGAATGCCACTGTAGAGTTGTCCGTGTGGATCATCAGCATTCTGTTGCTCAGCGAACTCAACCATGGTTGTACGGCGTTGATCACAGCTTTCATTTCCAGCAGACTGATGTTAAGATGCTGTTCTGCATTTGACCACTTCCCTGATGCAACTTGGTTGTTGAAATGTGCACCCCATCCCTGTAGCGATGCATCTGCGTAAAGATATGCGTCAAAGACCGGCTCTCGTAAATAGGTCCCTCCGCAGACATTCGACCTGTGAGTCCACCAAAGTAGGTACACTTTGAGATATTCTGGTACCGAGATAGGGTTGCTGCTGTCCAGATGTTTTGCCAGCAATCGTTGCAATGGCCGTAGTTGTAACTTTCCTGTGCGAGTCAAGTCTTGTGCTGAGGTTAGTAGACCGAGTAGACATTGCCATGTTTGTAGTGTTAACGGAGAGATGACTGTTTGAGGAATCATGGCTTGTATCTTGACCCAACGATCTTCTGGGGTCACAATTCAATTCTCTGTTGTGATGAATCTTATCCCCAGGAATTGTAGATCTTGTTTTGGTTCCAACTCCGACTTCATCAGGTTCACTAGCCATCCTAGTCGCGTGAGCAACTTGATTGTGAAGTTCAGCTGCTGTCTGAGTTGATTGGCACTTTGATGAACCTGTATGCCGTCGTCCAGGTAAAAGGCACTGCGTGTAGACCCCGATGATGTAGGTAGGTGACTATGGGCTTGGTTATTCGTGTGAATAATCACAGAGCCGACGATATTCCAAACGGTAGGACGTTCCATTGGAAGTGCTGACCTCTGAATAGGAATCATAGATATTTCCTTGATTCTGGATGTATGGGGATGTGTAGATATGCATCCTGTAGGTCTATGCTGGCCATAAAGTCTGCTGGACGAATTAGTAGTCTGAGTTGAGGTAGGTGGATCATTCTGAACCTTTCCGGTTTGAGTAGATCGTCTTGGTTGAATTTCCGCATGTTGTAAATCAACCTGAATTTCTCTTTGGAATTCTTCTTGGGTACTAGGAAAATTAGGAGTAGAAGCCTGGCGTGAGATGATGTTGATCTATTTTTCTACCGCATTCTTGGTTAGAAGTGAGTTGATGGCTTCTTGTAGCTTGTCTGCTTGCTCGTCTGCATAGTTGAAGACCATCGGTCCGAGGGTTAACGGTGGTGTGGCCTTGAGCTGCACTCTGTACCCTTCTCGCAGTACTTGTGAGACGTAGTAGTCCTCCAGTATTCCCCAATTTTCCCAGTACCTTTGTAGACGTCCACCCACTGTCAATGGTTGTACAGGAACGGCTGGGGGTGGAAGCATCCAGTCGTTCCGAACCCCACTTTCAGCGTCTCTGAGTAGCGGTTGGGTAAATCTGTCACTCCAGGAACACGATGCCAGTAGACCCTGTCTTCGTAATAAGGTGAGACCCGCCGACTTTGAGGCCAAATGATCCAATATGAAGTATTGGTCCTTTTTCTGTGTGAGCAGAGCAGATAATATCATTCTATCTTCTTTACGAACTGGGGTTCTGGAACTTGTTAATCAATGCCTCATTGATTGCTCTGGACCTCGCTAATCCGAAGAAGGACCTCCTCGTTGCTGTATCAAGTTGAGCCAACTTTTTATGCTCCACCTTGTAGACCTTGTTCCGAGAGTCGTGACCAGTTTTATATTTTCATCTAAGTCCGGCGCTCTCATGAAGGGGTCCATGTGATGTAAGGGGAATTTCCTTGCATTAAATGCTGGCAGATGTTGATTCTGAAATCTAGTAGCTTTGTCAAAAGATGTGCGTAGCTTCGAAGGCACCTTGGATATAGGCTCAATAGGCGGAATGGTGACTGAGTCGAAGTCGTCCTTGCACATGTGTAAACTTCATCCAATTCCTTGGAGGGAGACTCTAAGTTCAATCCATTAGCTATCCAAGCTGTAACTTCCGTATCTGAGAAGACGTAGTCGGTATGTTCATCAGATAGTTCTTGTTCCATAGAACTATGCCTTCGCGAATCCTCCGTGTGCGAACCTTCCTTTCGCGAATGTCGTGAGTCATCCTTTCACGAACGTCTGTCTCGTGATTCCTCCCTTCGCGAACCTCTGTCTCTTGATCAATCCCTTCGCGAACTAGTCTCTCGCGAACGTTCCCTTTGCGAACCTTGCCTTCGCGAACCTTCTCTTCGCGTGTGAGAGCTGTGGGATGTAGATCTGGAACGGCTGGCTCTTGGAGATGGATTCCTAGGTGTTCTCGAACGTTGAGGGTTCACAGACGAAGTTCTCGTAGAGTTAGTAGCCTTTGCGGACCTTCCATCTTGTTCTATGATGATTGTGATGACCTTCTCGAACGTTCACGTTCGTCAACATTGTCTGCAGATGTAGATCTGTGAGGCGTATTGGGTTCGCGTAGGTCTGAGGGTTTGCGAACATTGTCAGTTGATGAGCATTCCTGTCGTGCCTTCGCCTTCGCTTCCTCATCAAAACGTCGTTCCATCATGGCCATCATTTGAGTAGTAAATTGCCTCATAAAGTCGAAGTTCTGTGTTGACTGGAACTGATTTGGCGTTGATGAAGCGTTCGCGAACGCTGATGTGTTGTGTGCTTCAACTTCACTGCGTTGAGAAGTTGGTGGTTGGTCGTCAAACAGCTAGGCCGCTGTTGTAGTTGCAGGAGACAATCTAGTAGTCGTGGATCAACGATCTAGTAGGTACTTCAGGCAGAAGTAACGGTGGTTCATCAAACACGTCTGCCTCGAGCAGTAGGATAATCTCCTCATTAAACAACCTCTGATGAGTTGACTTGCTAGGTCGTGTTGATTTCGATGTAGACCTAGTTATGGATGCCCTTTTCTGCATTGTGGATGAAACAGTAGTCTTTTTCTTGTTCTGAGAGGGCGTCAACTCTGTCGTTGCAGACCTCTTTTTCAACCCCGTAACAGATGACTGCCCCTGCAACGTACTTAACATAGCACCAGAATTATGTATTTCTGCAGTAGCAAACAACCTACGGTTACCGGCTTGATCTCCAGGTTTATCAACCGTGACTTGTGATGACTTCCTCACCCGATCCATGGCACGTCTATAGATATAAGACAAATATTGATTAAATACAACGTGAGGTGGAAGAACATGGTTTAATGCACGATGGGCATTGGGGGGTGAGGATCAGCCACTGATAGCCGGTGCCTGCAAGCAATGCAAGATTTCATGAAATGTAAACAAGTTACATTACGATGAAAAAGTGTAACAAATTACAAAAATTTCTTCAAAATTTATACAACTAATACATGATAGTTATAGCCAAATACCATACACAGCGTAATATTCATAAATAGGATCTAAATATAAAGGATATCTGCCTTATACGGGATTCCAGTGCTCGCCGAACCATCCGCTTAGGCGAAAAGGAAGAGAGTGACAAGTAAGACATGACTGTTTGCGCAGGAAAAGGGAGGTAACTCGTGGGTGAGTGTATTTTTACATCCACTTCAGGAACTACAAGGGATTCAAGTGTTCCACTACCATTCGCAAGGGAAAGGGAGATAAGCAAAAGATCATGAGTCAGGATAAGGAAAAGTTAAGCTTTTTTTGGAAGCTACTTTTAAATAAGGCTCAAATAAACTCCTGCCAATCACAAATCTGAAAACTGATCAAAGAAATATCTAACAGATGGCCAAGATTGTATGGCAGTACTTACCATGAAGGTCAAATGGATGTCAGATGCTAATCCCATTAAATCAAGAGACAGATCATCATCATGGTTGATTCAGAAATTCAGACCATAACTGTCATACAAAATTACCCATGTCAACTGTTCCAAGCATGCAGGATGAAAAAGCACATTGGGATCTTCACTTTTGCCATCTCATAAGCAATTGTCTGGCTGCTTAGAAGAGAGGTCGTTCCTACATGACATGTAATGAGTTCTTTCAAGATTTATGTATACAGCAGCAAGCACTTCGATATGATTTAAATGAGATTTAGAATCTCTGCTAGTGGAACAGTAAACAGGTGCTTGATAGAACAATCTGTTACTTACCTTTGAGAAACAAACACTGACTGAGTCCACATGTTGTACAATGTTAGAGACGGGAACCTCCAGCGCTGAGGCTGCATTGAACAGCCTGGCTCCGTCAAGGTGTACCTTCACGTTAAACTCCATCGCTAGCTTCTTCACCTGCAATAAGGAGACACTTCAGTACCATGGAGTTCCAACCAAAGTTTACATTGACCGCATCCTCCATTAATCTGTGATCGAGTCAATAACACTTTGTTCCCCACACTTGTATTTTCTTACCCTTGTTTGGTGATTCAGGGATAACACTTTGCTCTCACACTCGTTGAATCATCTTACCCCTCCCAGGTAATTCAGTGGTAATGCTTTGCTCCACACCTGTTGTATTATCCGATCTCTGCCAGGTAATTCAGTGGTAATACTTTGCCCCCACACCTGTTGTATTATCTGATCTCTGCCAGGTAATTCAGTGGTAATATTTGCCCCCACACCTGTTGTATTATCTGATCTCTGCCAGGTAATTCAGTGGTAATACTTTGCCCCCATACCTGTTGTATTATCTGATCTCTGCCAGGTAATTCAGTGGTAATACTTTGCCCCACACCTGTTGTATTATCTGATCTCTGCCAGGTAATTCAGTGGTAATATTTGCCCCCACACCTGTTGTATTATCCGATCTCTGCCAGGTAATTCAGTGGTAATACTTTGCCCCCACACCTGTTGTATTATCTGATCTCTGCCAGGTAATTCAGTGGTAATACTTTGCCCCCACACCTGTTGTATTATCTGATCTCTGCCAGGTAATTCAGTGGTAATACTTTGCCCCCACACCTGTTGTATTATCTGATCTCTGCCAGGTAATTCAGTGGTAATACTTTGCCCCCACACCTGTTGTATTATCTGATCTCTGCCAGGTAATTCAGTGGTAATACTTTGCCCCCACACCTGTTGTATTATCTGATCTCTGCCAGGTAATTCAGTGGTAATGCTTTGCCCCCACACCTGTTGTATTATCTGATCTCTGCCAGGTAATTCAGTGGTAATACTTTGCCCCCACACCTGTTGTATTATCTGATCTCTGCCAGGTAATTCAGTGGTAATACTTTGCCCCACACCTGTTGTATTATCTGATCAGCTCTGCCAGGTAATTCAGTGGTAATACTTTGCCCCCACACCTGTTGTATTATCTGATCTCTGCCAGGTAATTCAGTGGTAATACTTTGCCCCCACACCTGTTGTATTATCTGATCTCTGCCAGGTAATTCAGAGGTAATACTTTGCCCCCATACCTGTTGTATTTCCTCAACTCTAATGGGTAATTCAATGGTAATACTTTGGTCCCCATACCGTTGTATTATCCTCATCTCGCCAGGGGTAATTCAGTGGTAATACTTTGCCCCCACACCTGTTGTATTATCTGATCTCTGCCAGGTAATTCAGTGGTAATACTTTTGCCCCACACCTGTTGTATTATCTGATCTCTGCCAGGTAATTCAGAGGTAATACTTTGCCCCCCATACCTGTTGTATTTCCTCAACTCTAATGGGTAATTCAATGGTAATACTTTGGTCCCCATACCGTGTTGTATTATCCGATCTCTGCCAGGTAATTCAGTGGTAATACTTTGCCCCACACCTGTTGTATTATCTGATCTCTTGCCAGGTAATTCAGTGGTAATACTTTGCCCCACACCTGTTGTATTATCTCGATCTCTAATGGATAATTCAGTGGTAATACTTTGCCCCATACCTGTTGTATTATCTCAATCTCTGCCAGGTAATTCAGTGGTAATACTTTGGTCCCCATACCTGTTGTATTATCTGATCTCTGCCAGGTAATTCAGTGGTAATACTTTGGTCCCCATACCTGTTGTATTATCCGATCTCTGCCAGGTAATTCAGTGGTAATACTTTGCCCCCACACCTGTTGTATTATCTGATCTCTGCCAGGTAATTCAGTGGTAATACTTTGGTCCCCATACCGTTGTATTATCTTGATCTCTGCCAGGTATTTCAGTGGTAATTCAATACTTTGGTCCCCACACCTGTTGTATTATCCGATCTCGCCAGGTAATTCAGTGGTAATACTTTGCCCCCACACCTGTTGTATTATCTGATCTCTGCCAGGTAATTCAGTGGTAATACTTTGGTCCCCACACCTGTTGTATTATCTGATCTCTGCCAGGTAATTCAGAGGTAATACTTTGCCCCCACACCTGTTGTATTATCTGATCTCTGCCAGGTAATTCAGTGGTAATACTTTGCCCCCACACCTGTTGTATTATCTGATCTCTGCCAGGTAATTCAGTTGTAATACTTTGCCCCATACCTGTTGTATTATCTGATCTCTGCCAGGTAATTCAGTGGTAATACTTTGCCCCCCACACCCGTTGTATTATCTGATCTCTCGCCAGGTAATTCAGTGGTAATACTTTGCCCCCACACCTGTTGTATTATCTGATCTCTGCCAGGTAATTCAGTGGTAATACTTTGCCCCCACACCTGTTGTATTATCTGATCTCTCCGGGTAATTCAGTGGTAATACTTTGCCCCCACAACCTGTTGTATTATCTGATCTCTGCCAGGTAATTCAGTGGTAATACTTTGCCCCACACCTGTTGTATTATCTGATCTCTGCCAGGTAATTCAGTGGTAATACTTTGCCCCCACACCTGTTGTATTATCTGATCTCTGCCAGGTAATTCAGTGGTAATACTTTGCCCCCATACCTGTTGTATTATCTGATCTCTGCCAGGTAGTTCAGTGGTAATACTTTGCCCCCATACCTGTTGTATTATCTGATCTCTGCCAGGTAATTCAGTGGTAATACTTTGCCCCCACACCTGTTGTATTATCTGATCTCTGCCAGGTAATTCAGTGGTAATACTTTGCCCCCATACCTGTTGTATTATCTGATCTCTGCCAGGTAATTCAGTGGTAATACTTTGGCCCCATACCTGTTGTATTATCTGATCTCTGCCAGGTAATTCAGTGGTAATACTTTGGTCCCCATACCTGTTGTATTATCTGATCTCTGCCAGGTAATTCAGTGGTAATACTTTGGTCCCCACACCTGTTGTATTATCTGATCTCTGCCAGGTAATTCAGTGGTAATACTTTGGTCCCCATACCGGTTGTATTATCTGATCTCTGCCAGGTAATTCAGTGGTAATACTTTGGTCCCCATACCGGTTGTATTATCCGATCTCTGCCAGGTAATTCAGTGGTAATACTTTGCCCCCATACCTGTTGTATTATCTGATCTCTTCCAGGTAATTCAGTGGTAATACTTTGGTCCCCATACCGGTTGTATTATCCGATCTCTGCCAGGTAATTCAGTGGTAATACTTTGGTCCCCATACCTGTTGTATTATCTGATCTCTGCCAGGTAATTCAGTGGTAATACTTTGGTATTATCCGATCTCTGCCAGGTAGTTCAGTGGTAATACTTTGGTCCCCATACCTGTTGTATTATCTGATCTCTGCCAGGTAATTCAGTGGTAATACTTTGCCCCCACACCTGTTGTATTATCTGATCTCTGCCAGGTAATTCAGTGGTAATACTTTGGTCCCCATACCGGTTGTATTATCCGATCTCTGCCAGGTAATTCAGTGGTAATACTTTTGCCCCCACCCTGTTGTATTATCTGATTCGCCAGGTAATTCAGTGCCAGGTTGCCCCCACACCTGTTGTATTATCTGATACTAATTCAGCCCCAATGCTTTGCCCCACACCTGTTGTATTATCTGATCTCTGCCAGGTAATTCAGTGGTAATACTTTGCCCCCACACCTGTTGTATTATCTGATCTCTGCCAGGTAATTCAGTGGTAATACTTTGGTCCCCATACCTGTTGTATTATCTGATCTCTGCCAGGTAATTCAGTGGTAATACTTTGCCCCCACACCTGTTGTATTATCTGATCTCTGCCAGGTAATTCAGAGGTAATACTTTGCCCCCATACCTGTTGTATTATCTGATCTCTGCCAGGTAATTCAGAGGTAATACTTTAATACTTTGCCCCATACCTGTTGTATTTCCTCAACTCTAATGGGTAATTCAATGGTAATACTTTGGTCCCCATACCGGTTGTATTATCTGATCTCTGCCAGGTAATTCAGTGGTAATACTTTGCCCCCACACCTGTTGTATTATCTGATCTCCGCCAGGTAATTCAGAGGTAATACTTTGACACCCCCCACCCAACTGTTGTATGTTCTTACCGGTAATTCAGCGGTAATTCAGAGGTGCTACTTTGCCCCATATTTGTTGTATTTTCTTACCTCTGCCATATAATTCAGTGGCAATACTTTGCCCCCACACTTGTTGTGGGTATTTTCCAGACAAATAAGCTTGGTCCATGGCTGGTGATCATCGTCCGTGGGCCGGACACGCTTGCGGATATCCTCTACAAGGATCGTACCATCCGGCTGGTTGGGTGCCAGGGAACACTGTACCCCTGCAAACTGATTACAAATACAGGGTTTTACATGACGCGTGATTCCTGCGTATTTGACACAACAATTTTGTAAACGACTCTCAAAATATTATCATACAAGTCAAGCTTGACACAAGTTTTATGGGTGGCCCTCACAATTCAGATCAATGAAATTGATTTGATAAGCAAAAAATGATATTGTTTGATGATAGTTTTGACTTTTACAGAGCTGTCAGATTAATCCAGAGAACTCAGAGGAGACAGTTATCCTGGCTGTTTGAACTGAACAATGACATACACAGTTACATACTGAGAATGATTAACATAAAGAAATATTAAAATTTTCATGACTCCCAAATATTTAAAATGACTCCCCCAAAAATTTATATTGTGAGTCACCATGACTCCCTTTTTTAAAAGTCGGTGTCAAACCCTGCAAATAACATATATATTGCAAGAAGTAGTTCTGTATTCTTATCAATAAGTACAATCCTACAGACATCTGCACATTGTAAACACATCTGTCATCATTCAGTCACCATAATTATCATCATGAATACATAATCATCATTATGAACACACTTTGGAATCCCAAAACTGAAATCAGCAGATGTGAGCACCTCGTCAGTTTGGACACCACACATAATTTACACCCATCCAGTATAAAGACATAACACAGAAAGAACCCAAGTCAAAAACTTGTGTGCACTTTCATCAGATTTGTTCAACCAACATAGGAGGTTCTGCCATCAATAGCCACCACCAAATCTGTTGATCTTCCACGTTCAGTGGGTGGCAAAATTATGATAATGTCCGTGACTCTCCAATCAGCTCAACAACACTGCATTAATGTTCCCTCACTGCAACACTGTATCTCTGACATCACTGATGCTGAAGTTCATGATGTTGTTCCAAAACAAACACCTCTGACAGTCTTATGAAAAATGAAATGGTTCAGAACCTGTTCCACGATGCGATATAAGCACTAAGGCCATCATAACTCCCATTCTGTAAGAGCCACTTACAACAACTGTAACAATATTTTCACTGTGTGGAAGGGGACCCTTGGTAGCTGATGTAAACCATAGTCAGTCTGACCATGTTCGTCACATGACACACCAAGCTTTTGGTAATGATGTCTTGGAGAGATGCTCTAGGACATACTGTACACACTGGCTAGAGCAGTCGGTAGTCAAACTGATAGTGTGTCTCACTGTCCTTGAAACACATTATTTTCCCTACTGCCTAGCCCTCCCTGCAATGTTAAAACAAGTCTAGATTTCCTCACGTCGTGAATTTAAAAGGATGGAAACAAAACATGTGGTGCTAACCTTTGGTGTTACGATTCAATAACACATCTGGTCATTGCTGTTTTGAAGAGTCCAAAAATGTCATTTTTGTAACATTTGACATCAAATTCAGATGTAGTATATTATATAGCAACGTGTCCAGGACCAAGATGGCAGTTCATATTATCCATCAGTTATCATTAACGTAGTTTACGGTATATCCAAATCACCTAGGATGGTCTTCCTTTTCAAGGACCGTATAACATTCCAGATTACCATAACATCACAATTACACAGATATCTTTGAATGTGCAAGCTATCAGTATGTATTACACGAACCTGTCCTATACTGCCCACTTCATACAGAAACATGTGTGACACATCACCCAATATGGCTTCCTGGAATCTCCCCTGACAATGGCTGATCACTGCAAGGAGGAACAAAAAGTTTGAGTGAGTTTTGTTTTACGCCAGTCAGAAATATTCCAGCTATAGCAGCAGTCTGAAAATAATCAAATCTGGACCAGACAGTCCAGTGATCAACAGCATGAGCATTGATCTCACAATTGGGATGCGATGACATGTGTCAACCAAGTCAGCGAGCCTGACCACAATTCCGTTAATCATCTCTTACGACAAGCATGGGTTACTGAAGACCAATTCTAACCCGGATCAAAAAAAGAGAAAATGTCTTTTGATATTCTCAAAAGACAACAACTCACAATATTCTTTGACCTTGTATTCCAGTAAACACTTGTAAATGAATAAATCAGATACTACTTGTCCAGGGCCCCGTTTCACAAAGCTCTCGTAAGCCTAAGATGTTGTAACTTTTCTCGTAGCAATCGTACCTCCTATACTGTAACATTGACTTACGATAGTTGTAGCGCTACGAGAGCTTTGTGAAACGGGGCCCAGACTATTTACCGTAAGCCAACTAATGTGGATCAGTTTCAATTTACAGAATTTGAATATATTATTACTGTACTGTGAAAACCATATTAATATTAGGGCCACCTAAAAAATTACCTGAAATTAGATTGCCCATAGTACCCGATGGTACAAGGAGAGAATCTTCCGTTCCAAACAAGGCTGAACATCGTCTTTGAAGTTCTGGCAACAGAATATCAAACAGTTCTGTGAACAACATCATTTCAGAGGGTCAGAATTGATGAGGTGAAATAGGTTTTGACATCACATTCAATGTTCTTGCACCTTGCTCTTTCCAGACAGTCTCTCTCCATTAGATCAGTTAAGAGACACTTTCACAGTATTCTATGAACATCATTTCAGAAGGTCAGAATTGTTAAGGTGAAATTTGTAAATATTCAGTTTAAACACTCCTAAAGTATTGAGAAGAATTGTAATAATGTACCAGCAGGACACATTCAGCAGATTCTGATGTTTGGTTGTTGTTAGAGCAATTTTCCAGCTACAGGGGTGGAAATAACTTGAAAATTGCTAGTTTACTCCGGTACAGTGGCACATGTAAAATCACTTGCCCTGATAATTTTTCCACTATACCGGCCGTTTTCTTGTTGATTTTTTAAATAAACAACATAATTAACATTGGAATATCAACTGGACACCGGTACAGTGTGATATACAAATTTGCTTGCCCGACAGAAAAAAACACTTGACTCAGGCATCGAGCAATGGGTTATTTCCACCCCTGCAGCTATATGGCGAATTGTAAATAATCAAGTCTGGACCAGACAGTCCAGTGATTGACATCATAAGCATCCATCGACGCAAATTGGGATACGATGACGTGTCAACCATGTTAACGAGAATGACCACCTGATCCTGTTAGTCGTCTCTTACGACAAGTATGGGTTGCTTAAGACCAATTCTAACCTGGAGCTTCATGGGAAGCAGATTCTGATGATGTGACTTAAATCTCAATCACTCCATCCTCAACCTACCATTTACTGTAGGGTCTTCGCCCATGACATCATCACCAACTTCGGCAGAGGCCATGGCTTGTCGCATGGCTGCTGTTGGTTTTGTAACGGTGTCACTACGCATGTCAACGATGTGGCAGCCATCTTTAGCTGGCTTGGAGGAAGTGGAGCCATTGTAAGAACGCACTTGAAGCCTCGATTGCTGAAGGGCTGGTCGCACTAGTCGACTTGCCATGTCTGGAGTATTATAATTTTAACATAATCACACTGGAGTTCTTAGTTCCATATACAAAAGAACAATCGGCTATGAAAGTGATTGTGTTCCTTAATACAATAAGAGAAGGATTTAATTTACTTTTCATCTCTCAAACATGACAGAGGTTTAGTGATAATATATATATAGCTTGGCACAGTATCACATCTGTTCAAAGACTTTGACACAAAAAATGTCAAAAGATATTTTTGTATAAGTTGAAAACTAATAAAATTATTATAATGCTCTTATATCATTTGTTTCCAGGAAAAAATCAATGCTTGGACAGATAAATAATTCAATAATTTAAACATTTCTCATTTTGGGGTGTTATTATAAGGGCAACAAGCCGGAATGGCTAACAACCCTATCATCATCATCATCATCATCATCATCCATCTATATAGAGTTGGTTTCCTACTGTTAAAAGCGTTTGCTAGTCACGCCGAAGACCCAGGTTCGATTCCTACATGGGTACAACGTATGAAGCCCATTTCACCGGTTTCCCCAGCCGTGATATTGCGAATATTGCTAAAAGCGGCGAAACCATACTCACTCACTCATCACATCTATATCTGAGTGAGTGAGTGAGTTCCGTTTTACACCGCTTTTAGCAATATTCCAGCAATATCACGGCGGGGGACACCAGGAATGGGCTTCACACATTGTACCCATGTGGGGAATCGAACCCAGGTCTTCGGCATGACGAGCGAACGCTTTAACCACTAGGCTACCCCACCGCGCCCATCTATATCTGAACCAGGGATAACTCCATGCACTGATTTCTCAAAGAAAAGTAACTTCATTGGCAGCCATAATTAATTTTCAGGTCTTGTTATACAGAACTAGCATGCAAGATGCTGAGTAAATATATTGAAAGAAGCATTATTCACTGCCATTATATCAATAATGTTGTGTCGTTTACAGTCAAACAACTGAAACTGCTCATAGCATTTAGTGGAGTTATTGGATTCAATGTACACTTATTTGAAACAAAATGCCCCAGCTATGACTCGTATAAAAATATTTTGGGGAATTTTACAAAATTGTTGAATCAAATACACAAGAACCATGAGTCATGTAAAACCCTGTCCAGTACATAGAAGTATCACTTGGAGCCCTAACTCACTGTTTTTCTACCATTATTATTGTTGCTGAGGTTGTTGCCACTACTACTACTACACATTTCCATTTTGATAATGTAGGGTAGAACAACAACTTCCATAGACACTGGATTATCTGCTAATTTGAAACAATAAGATACACTGAAGTCAGTAACTGAAGTACCGCATTTCCTCTATTAAGCGCCGGGCCTCTATTAGCGCCGGGTATAGACCTTTGCATTTTTTCGCAAATGTATTCTCCCTTGGTCTAAAAATAAATATATTAAGGAATGGTTGCTTAAATCTTCATGTACTTCATGTACTCATCTCCGCTTTTAAAAATACAGGGTATTTTAATAAGCGCCTGGTCTGGAGGTCTGTTGAAAAAATAAGCGCTAAGGGCGCTTATTAGAGGAAATACGGTATGTAAGTGTGTCAGAAACTTCACCATGTTGTATAATGGTGGTGAACACATGGTGGAATCATGACAGATGGCACCATAATCAGCTGATCATGTGTAGAGGTCAGCGCTGCACTGAATCCACTATGAGGCGAAGAGTATACATGTCACGAATATAGGGCTACGAATATTTAGTCACAAATACATCAAGCCATCATTTGATATATTATTCATTACATTCAGTGAAACATTAAGTTATTAACACAGTATTATTTGCCTATGTTTTGCCATCTACTTCTAAGACCAGTGATCACATTACTGCCGAATCAAATATACAAATTATATATATTCATATGCGTGAAGCGCCGCCATATAGCTGGAATATTGCCAAGGTTCGGCGTCAAACTAAACTCACTCACTGATGTGCCTGACTTGAACATAAGTCATGCAATTTGCATGGATCTGTCTTATTTTCATTAATAACACATGAATATAATCATGAATGTTCGATCCAAATAATCGATATAGCGAATTGAATTCACGAAGGGGTAAAGTTGAATGAGTTCGATTCACTGTTCAGCTCCACACAGCTCATGAGTCCATGTGACAGCTCTCCGGGTCGTAACGAACCCGTCAGGATCTGACATCTACTCATCCTCTGCCTAAGTAAATCTGTGTCACTAGAACAGCAACAACACGAAGGATAACTGCTTAATTAATCCACAGATAAGCATCCAAGTAACAGTGTCGTCTATTTCCTACTGGGTCCAATGTTTGACCTCCTATGTTGGAACCGAAAAGGGAGCACAGCGGCCCAGATGCGCAAACGGAAACAGTTTCACGTGTCTGTTGGCATTTCATCCAAGTATTATTCGACTGAATGTGAACAAAATAGGAACAAATAAATATACGACACACATCACATGTAACATTACTTGGCCGTGTAAGACAGGATGAATTCCGCAACCGAAATGTGTTCCACCTTGGAGCGTCTCGTCTCGCCTGTCTCACGAGTTTTGACAGCTTGTGCAATATGGGTTAAAAGAGCCCAGTTTCCATTGAGCACCGCAAAACTGACCTCGTTTGTCTGTTGACACTGGGTAACCTTGTCCAGCTAAAGTAGGTCGTTGAAGCTTACACCACAGCTATTTCGCACTCCAAGTTGAAAACTAAACGTTATTGACGCTCGTGAGTTAATATTATACGTCGCACCGACAATTTTGAGTGAGTGAGTTTAGTTTTACGCCACACTCAGCAATATTCCAGCTATATGGCGGCGGTCTGTAAATAATCGAGTCTGGACCAGACAATCCAGTGTTCAACAGCATGAGCATCGATCTACGCAATTGGGAACCGATGACATGTGTCCCGTTAGTCGCCTCTTACGACAAGCATGGGTTACTGAAGATCAATATTCTAACCCTGAACTTCACGGGTAGACTCTATCGACAATTTTGAAACGAGTGCGAGTGCCAGTATGGTTTTACGCCGCTTTTAGCAATATTCCAGCGATATCACCGCAGGGGACACCAGAAATGGGTTTCCCACATTGCACCCATGTGGGGAATCGAACCCGGGTCCTCGGTGTGACGACCACTATGCTAACCCACCGCCCTCAAATTTGAAGCGACAAAGCGACGTCACTAAATGAAGGATAAGACTTCAATGAACTCAAAGAAAGGAGAAGCAAGGTCTACTGGAAATTTGCTGTATGTAAGAAGAAACAATGCAACTGTCACGTAAAATAATGCTGATAAAAAAGCAACCTGACATTGTCACTAATCGGTAGACTTATTACAAGCAACAAAAGAGCATGACACTATGTGAGTGAGTGAGTTAAAATTTTACATCGCATCGGCAATATTACAGCCATATAGCGATGAAAAAAAGGTAATCATTTTAAAATAACTGCCAACAAAGGACACTAATACCATCTAGACTATCACTGATAGATGTATTTAAAACTAGTAATTAAATCTATAATACTTTAACTATAGAGGACGATACGATATAAAACAGGCTACAGATCGCCAACAACTGAAGGTAGATCACCATACCTGGGATCATGGGGACTTACAGTGCCTTTGCTACCTGCATGGACCCTAGTTGGATTTACGCCATCCCTTCAGCCGCAGGCGATTGTAGGAAAGTTTAGCCGAATTTTAAAAGAACAAAAATACTACGTTTAAAAATCCGGTAAGCTTAAATTTAACTTGGAAAGTTTTGGGACTTACGTGTCCTCTCAGGAAGGCATGGCACTATGGGAAAGGGATAACACTAGACATATCCCAGAAAGCATCACCGGGAAACCATCTGAAACATCTGCACAATTATGTATGCGTTTGTGCAACGACAGTATATTTCTCGTGTCGTGTCACATATCCGTTTCATGGACAGTCATTTATCATTCGTGTAATTATTGTCATTTTATAATACACTGTTGTCATACTGTATTGTACACCTTTCATGGCTTGTGGTAGGAATATTACATTTTGGATGAAGATTATACAATATTCTGATGTTATATACAATATTCTGTACAAATTATGCATTATGCAGTAGCATGTCACATTTATTTCTCACAAATTGGAACTGATTGTTCTGAAAAATTAATGTTAAATAGTGAATATTTTCAATCATGATTGTACTTTTGACGACACCTCATGATGGCGAAACTCGACATATTCCAAACTGTCAATGCTGCATTTATTTCGCACAGCAGTGTTCGTCCCAAGCTTTTTAAAGAGACTGTAAATGTAACTTGTAACTATACAAATGTAACTTGTTGCCTGTTACATATTATACCTGAATGAGCGGAATAAATACTTTATGTTAAGCATGTTAATTCTAGATGGATGCAGATTGATTAATGCATTTGTATTATATAAGTATCTCATTACTTTGATGTTATTTTACTATTTACGAATGTGTTCAGAATTGTTGTGCCTTCGCCATGCAGCTGTCACACGTAAATGGTCTCCCTTATACATATACCACCGGAATGTGTAATGGAGTTGTTCTTCTGGCATATATACTCATGCCAATAATGGTTGTCACCCCTTCAAATTTTTTTTTGGGGGCTTTAGGTTAGGAGGGGGTTGACAACCATTATTGGCATGAGTATATTATGTTCATTAAAATCCTCCTAACAGCCTTCTCATGTACATGTATTACAATACGATATACATTTTACTTCATATTATATTTTATATTATATTTGTATATACCCTATATACATATGTAAATCAAAACCACTTAAAACAATGATTTGGTTATTTGTTTGTTTTGTAAACGCCGCACTCAGCAGTATTCCCTAGTTATGTGATTGTGGTATGTAAATAATCAAGTCTGGACCAGACAATCCAGTGATCAACAGCATCAACATCGATCTATACGCAATTGGGATACGATGACATGTGTCAACCCAGTCAGCGAGCCTGGCCACCCGATCCAGTTAGTCATTCTTGTACGACAAGCACGGGTTACTGAAGACCAATTCTAACCGGGATCTTCACGGGTCCGATGTGTGTTTGGGCCAGTCTGATTCTTTATTTTGATCTCAAATTCTTGAGTTTACTAACTCTTCATTATTATTATTTTTCAGTTAAATTGTTTTTCTTTCCACGTGCCATCAATACGAACATTACTTCACGTTTTGACGTGGCACTGCGCAGAACTGTTTTAGGGTTATTTCGCGGGAGTACATACCACGTATACTGGAACAGCAAACATAATTATACGTACTTCAATATACTAGTCTGTCTCACAGTCCCTGAACCATATTATTTTCCCTACTGGCTAGAACCTCTGCAATGCTAAAGCCCTAATTGAAGCAAGTCTAGATTTCCTCGGGTTCTAAATCTCTGTTCTCCCTGGGGCTCCTTTTTCTATTTAAATGGGTTTGTTTGTTGTTTTCAAAATTATATATATTCAGAGACTAAGCATTAGTCTATTCAATGTGCATGAAACCTCAACTGAAGATGATACGCTGAACGTCATATTTTCACTGGTTATGCCATTTTCATCGTCAGTACCATATCCGTGCTCGTGGGGCGGTGGGGGTAGCTGAATGGTTAAAGCGTCCGCACGTCACGCTGAAGACCCGGGTTCGATTCCCCAAATATGAGTACAATGTATGAAGCCCATGCTGGTGTCCCCTGTCGTGATATTGCTGGCTTATTGTTAAAAGTGGCGTAAAACCATACTCACTCGCTCCGTGCTCCTGGGTACTCCTCATTTTGAAGACAACTGACTAACGTTAGTATCTGAAATACCGTTCACAATGGCGTTAGAACCAGCTGCATGGCACACACTACGTCCTTTTATTTTGCATGCACATTGCTTTGAAAATATTAGCTATTTATAGTTGTATAAATCGATATATATGTGACTACCGCTGAAGTGGCGAATGGAATGTGTTAAAGCACAAAGCACAAAGATGTGTAAACATAGTGCAGTAATTGACATCATGAGCTTCGTACATCAGTGATACATAATGCCATGAATACATCACGTAAGCATTTGGGAACCGATGACATCTGTCAACCAGGCCAGCGAGCCTAACTACCCGATCCCGTTCCAGGGGCGGATACAGCTTTTTGAGAAAGGGGTGTGGGGTGTGGTGGGGTGGGGTGCACACTATTGAGAAAAGGGAGGGTGCACACTTCATTTTCACCAGTTTCAATGGTCATTTAATAAACGTTCAGGACACAAAAGGGGGGGGGGTGCGCACCCCTGCACCCCCCCTCTGGATCCGCCTATCCCGTTCGTCGTATCTGACGACATGCATGGGTTGCTGAAGACCAATTCTAACCAAGGTCTTCACAAGTATATGCTTTAGTACAGACAATATATGGTTGTGCATAACAGCTATTCAGATATATACATGCCTTTAAACTCCTGATTTATACATAGCTTTGTAATACATACCAACATCTGAAACTGACCCAAATCCTAAAATATTTAGGAAATAATCGGCAAATGTACTCCAAATCGTATAGTGTCGCTTTGTTAGCTTTAATTTACCCAAGTACAACCAAAAGCTATCAACATCGAAATTCATACATAGAAATTTCTGAAAATCCATAGGGGGCATGACAATGGTACTCCACATACAGCAAAACGATGGTCGTATGTTTCAAAGGTGAAGCTTAATATGGGAAGTTCATTCGTATCTGGACACATTCGCAAATCCGGTCATTCGTACATTTTAATCTGTATTTGCGTTAGTTTCAGGCGTCTACAATCCGGATATTGGAACTGTATAGGATATCAGCATCTAAGTGGAAACGCCTTGCAACCACATGACCACGGGCTTTTTTCCCACGTCGTGTTTATTCGTGTAGAAGTGCCTGTATACCCATAATACTCAGTCTTGCAATGTAAACATTATTGCAGTCTAAGTAAACTTAGATTCAGTATTACTCGTTACACTGCTATACTCAGTGTAGCAGTGTAACGAATAATACTGAGCCTGTATATCCATAATACTCAGTCTTGCAATGTAAACATTATTGCAGTCTAAGTAAACTTAGATTCAGTATTACTCGTTACACTGCTATACTCAGTATAGCAGTGTAACGAATAATACTGAGCCTAAGTTTACTTAAACTGAACATTATTGCTAACATATTTTGGGTCCTGTTTTCCATCCCAAACCGCGACACTACCTCCAAGCGTATTGACTGCAAAGTGCTTGGCGTTGTTTGGCTATACGTCGGTTGGCTGCTATCTGAACATTTACAATCGGTTTTCAAAATAGAAAAATTGACCCTTGACACTTGTCATACATTTTAACGCCAAGTTAAAAAATGTGACGCTACTGTAGATTGTACGAGCGCTTCAGGGTATGCCGATTTCGCATCTGGAGTTTGCCCGATGACACGCAGCTGAGAGATTAGTTTTCTTTCATACACACTGGTCTCGTGTCCATATTTCTACCAGTTACATTCAGCTGAAACCAACAAATGTTTTAATTGTAACTCAATGTATTGCAGTTCTGTAGTCCAGGAAACCTCTGTTACTACCCGACATCCCTCTGATCTAGTGTTTATCATGTATTAAAGAACTAGCTGTTATTTGAAACTGGTATACTACAGTTTGAAAATCGATTAAACACACAAAAATCACACACAGATATTATGTTGGATATTTCTCCAAGCTATATTTGTGTTTTGATTGAAAAACGCAACTTTGCTTATGTCCCTTTGAATGATCACATGACATGTTACTAGAAAAATGGCGGCGAACTTGTTGGAAGACAGTTTGCGATCGCTTCACAATCTTCATCAAGACGCGGGTGGACGTGCCAAAGAACAAATTGACACTGTTGTTGGCGACATCGTACAGATATGCTTAAACGAATTATCGGAAAAGGATGTCGGTAAGATGTGTGTCAGTTAGAAATGCAAGCAATGTTTGAACGGTTCTCAGTGTCGCCGGTGTAGACTGTCCTGTTTTCGATCGTCAACAGGTTCTCTTTAATCGTGATTGTGTTGTCATTTTGGTAATAACATCTGTAACCATCAACTGGGGATTTGCCGTTTCATTCATGTGCAATATCTCTATTTCTTAAAATGATTGTGTGTCGCTTTGGTCGTTCATTTACAGTCTTGAATCAATCTAGTCAGAGGAATGGAAAGTATCAGGTGCTTTTTTCGTCTCGTTGGAGTGCACTTCAGGTTGTGTCGAGATGATGTGCCATTTTCGGGGTCGTGCAGTCATAAACTGTTTAAAAAATTCTTTTCAAAATGTCAGTTCACTCTTTAACTTTAAGTTTATTAATACATTTATCTTCACTCCTCAGACTATTGCTGCTCTGTGCTGTTTGACAAGGAAATTGGAGTGGTCAAGTTTTTGCAGAAAGTCATCACTGCTGAAGAGGTAGGCTGTACATTTGACTACTTTGAACAATTCTTAAAACACACCTGTATGAGGCACTCATTGGTTGAATCAGAACAAAACGTAGACCTATGTAAATAACCTCGTTTGTAATTTCTGTTTTGCTGATCTGAATATTTACAATTTGACATCTTGAAAACCAGAAAGCTTTGAATGGATGATTTCAACACTGGTAAATAATGAAATTGCTAACTGAACTCTGTTCAGATTCTAAGTATGCAGGGGCGGTGGGGTAGCCTAGTGGTTAAAGCGTTGGCTCGTCACGCCGAAGACCCGGGTTCGATTCCCCACATGGGCACAATGTGTGAAGCCCATTTCTTGTGTCCCCCGCCGTGATATTGCTGGAATATTGCTAAAAGCGGCGTAAAACTAAACTCAGTCAGTCAGTCTAAGTATGCATCTTTGCCCTTTTGAATGTGCAAAAACATAAGATGCATTCTTTGGTTTATTCGACTTTTGGATAAGGCATGTCTGTTTAACCTCTCCTCCTTAAAATATTGGTTTATGAAGATGAAGTTTGTTTTTGACTTAGCAATGGTGTTTGAAAAAATGACATCGTACTTGAAGATGTTAGAAAGATGATACTTGTTGTTACCCTGTCTGGCTCTTGGAATTACAGGGTAAAACAAGGCGTGGTCGACAACAGTCAGTGTACTGTGTCTTAGCGGGGTATCCAGCTGCATCGTGGTCTCTCAGTGAGATAGCATTATGAAACCATCAGTAGCCTGGGCTAATGCGAGCATGCACATACGCACACACACACTTACATGTATGCCACTATAAAAGTGCCTTTATCTTGAATTTGACATTAAACCCCATTTCATCTCACCTCCCCCCTACCACAACTCACCTCACCTCCCCCCCACCTAACCCTCACCTATCCTCACCTAATCTGAGTTCACTCTGCATATTTGTTATTATACCCCCGCCACGGCAACGGGGTATATAAAGCGCTCATTCTGTCCGGGTCCGTCCGTAAGGCCCTTCCGTCCCGATACTTTGTCCGGAGCATATCTCTTAAAGTTTACATGCTAGGTTCACCAAACTTCACACACATGTTAATCATTACCCATTGATGTGCCTTTTGCTATTTTAATTTTTTTTCCGACTTTTGTGTTTTTGCTGTTTTCATGGAAACACGACTTAGTGCCAAATGTGTTTGATGGTTTTGTCCGGAGCATATCTCTTAAAGTTTACATGCTAGGTTCACCAAACTTCACACACATGTTAATCATAACCCATTGATGTGCCTTTTGCTATTTTAAAGTTTTTTCATAAGTTTGTTTTTTTGCTGTTTCCATGGAAACACGACTTAGTGCCAAATGTATTTGATGGCTTTGTCCGGAGTATATCTCTTAAAGTTTACATGCTAGGTTCACCAAACTTCACACACATGTTAATCATTACCCATTGATGTGCCTTTTGCTATTTTAATTTTTTCTCCGACTTTTGTGTTTTTGCTGTTTTCATGGAAACACGACTTAGTGCCAAATGTGTTTTAAGGTTTTGTCCGGAGCATATCTCTTAAAGTTTACATGCTAGGTTCACCAAACTTCACACACATGTTAATCATAACCCATTGATGTGCCTTTTGCTATTTTAAAGTTTTTTCCGAATTTTGTGTTTTTGCTGTTTTCATGGAAACACGACTTAGTGCCAAATGTATTTGATGGTTTTGTCCGGAGCATATCTCTTAAAGTTTACATGCTAGGTTCACCAAACTTCACACACATGTAAATCATTACCCATTGATGTGCCTTTTGCTATTTTAAAGTTTTTTCAGAATTTTTTTTTTTCGCTGTTTCCATGGAAACACGACTTAGTGCCAAATGTATTTGATGGTTTTGTTCGGAGCATATCTCTTAAAGTTTACATGCTAGGTTCACCAAACTTCACACACATGTTAATCATTACCCATTGATGTGCCTTTTGCTATTTTAAATTTTAAATGTGTGCAACATGAGAGTGAGTAACATTCTTCACCAACGTCCACTTTATTGTGTGCACGAGTCAGTAACATTCTTCATCTATGTCCACTTCATTGTGTGCAACATGAGTCAGTGACCTTCTTCATCTGTGTCCACTTTATTGTGTGCACATGAGTCAGTAACATTCTTCATCTGTGTCCACTTCATTGTGTGCAACATGAGTCAGTGACCTTCTTCATCTGTGTCCACTTTATTGTGTGCACATGAGTCAGTAACATTCTTCATCTATGTCCACTTCATTGTGTGCAACATGAGTCAGTGACCTTCTTCATCTGTGTCCACTTTATTGTGTGCACATGAGTCAGTAACATTCGTCACCAACATCCACTTCATTGTGTGCAACATGAGTCAGTAACATTCTTCATCTACGTCCACTTCATTGTGTGCAACATGAGTCAGTAACATTCTTCATCTACGTCCACTTCATTGTGTGCAACATGAGTCAGTAACATTCTTCATCTACGTCCACTTCATTGTGTGCAACATGAGTCAGTAACATTCTTCATCTACGTCCACTTCATTGTGTGCAACATGAGTCAGTGACATTCTTCATCTACGTCCACTTCATTGTGTGCAACATGAGTCAGTGACATTCTTCATCTACGTCCACTTCATTGTGTGCAACATGAGTCAGTAACATTCTTCATCTACGTCCACTTCATTGTGTGCAACATGAGTCAGTAACATTCTTCATCTACGTCCACTTCATTGTGTGCAACATGAGTCAGTAACATTTTTCATCTACACCCACTTCATTGTGTGCAACATGAGTCAGTGACATTCTTCATCTACGTCCACTTCATTGTGTGCAACATGAGTCAGTAACATTCTTCATCTACGTCCACTTCATTGTGTGCAACATGAGTCAGTGACCTTCTTCATCTACGTCCACTTCATTGTGTGCAACATGAGTCAGTAACATTCTTCATCTACGTCCACTTCATTGTGTGCAACATGAGTCAGTGACATTCTTCATCTACGTCCACTTCATTGTGTGCAACATGAGTCAGTAACATTCTTCATCTACGTCCACTTCATTGTGTGCAACATGAGTCAGTAACATTCTTCATCTACGTCCACTTCATTGTGTGCAACATGAGACAGACAAGTTCAGTTGTATGTCAGGTTTCCACGGAAAACACAAAAAAATAATGTTTCCATAAATTATTACTGTAATCAGTACATGGCAAAACTATTATCTAACTTATATAAAGTTTAGTAGAGTCAAGGAGAAAGTCTTGTGAGCTGCTGATCCTTGTCACAATATATATATCAATATCAGTCATTTCCATGTCCCAAAGTGGGAAGCGGGGGTATGTGAGCTGTGCTCACTTCTACACTTGTTTGTCATTCGTTCTACCTTTGTGTTCAGTTCCAGGGATGCAAGGCACAGCTACTAGACTTGCTGGCAGGCTTTACAGAGAAAGTAGGGAAGAAGATCCTTTATTATGCTGTGGATATCAAGGTTAGTAAATCACCCTGGCGTCAAAGAGGTTCTGTGATCAATGCAATCTTGCAAATGCTGATATACTACCCATCAAAAGTTTAGACTCACTGAAAGCACTCACTATATGTTATGTATATGTATGTGGTTACATCGAAGATGAATTTCTCCACCAACTTGGGGGAACCAACTGAAAACCTTATGCAGATGAATTGCACAAGGATGATGCTTCAAATTGCGAAGGCATGAGCAAATGTCGCATGTGAATAGATTCGCTTTTGGTGTAAAGTTTTGTTAAGAATTGCCAATTTTCACAGATTTTAATCATTTACTGAACTCATGACAATAATCTTTTCAATGTTACTTAATATGTTTTACAATACACCAGTTCATAACTAAACAGTACCTTTAAACAGTATGGAATATTTTGCAAAAGCTAGTTTAGAACAGTGGACAAGTAAGTGGCTACATTTACACTAGTGAGTCTAAACTTTTGATGGGTAGTATATATGAAAATTTTAGTTTTATTATGTTGAGATGTATTTAAAGAATACATAGATATATCACTTTCGATTATTATTGACACATTTGTGAATAATATGAATTTACTGATGATTATCATTAATAATCAAATTTGAAATAAAGATTAAAGTTACAGTTGATATGAATACTGTAGGTGAAGAACACAGATGATCCCAATCAGTCCTTACTTTCTGGATCTGACCTGTTGAAAGATGTGTTGTTTTGATGTTGTTATTTACTTTAGTAACTGAACAATTAAGTATCAAATACACCTTGACATTTATAACACAGTAGATTTTACACATTCTGATATCGTTATGATTTGTAATATGGTTCTCTGCAGGAAATCAGTTTCTCGCTGTTTATGTGAGACAGGTTTGCCAAAGTTAAGAATGCAGCAATACCTGTTCTTATCAAGGTAAGCAAAGCCTTCCATACCTAATTATGGGACTAATCATATTCAAAATACTTAAATTATTAGGAGATGTATTTCAGTCAAAAAGTATATTTGGTTTCAGTGCTGTTGATCTTGCCCTCAAGAAGGCACCTTTTACATTCATGTACCTGAGGGTTGTGACAAGTCATGTGCTGGAGAATATTTCCAATGCTGGATGTAATATTAGATTTCAAACATGTTAATGTTGCATGCTACTGTTATTTATCTCTTTAAAGACATATTTGTAATCTTATCCTATCTCACGGTATGTGCTTCTCTCTCTTGATTCGACACTGAGTGGAACGATGTAAACTCTTTTCCCTTGGCCTCTCTTGTCCATCCGCCCAAGCACTCCATGCTACCCTCATTATAAGACAGCTTCCTAGTTGTCATGAAAGCATGCATGCACCACTACCTACCCATGTGACTCCATCATCCCAAATCATCATTCTTTCTTGTCGCGACTTGAGTGTGAACGTGTTTTGATTTGCTAAATGTTTTCAAGTTAGTCTACAACATCGGAAATTGACCAGCCAAAAAGAAGAAGAAATGCTCCCGTGTAATAAAGTGTTCTCCGCATGAAAGTGATCCAAATGCGTATTGTGTTGACTGCTGTGACAGTGTAACTGGGACTCTCATTGCGATAAATGTAAGGATCTTACCTTCGAGGCGTTTGGTGACTACACTCGGGCTTGAGCTCATCGTGTTGCTGACAGAGCTCGTTATGCCGCTTCACTTGACGGACCCAGTCCCACCAAGAAAGGAAAGTTTAAGCGTCCTACTTTGTCTGCTCGGCGGTCACAGTCCCCTCCCTGGAATGAAGAGGATTTCATGAGAGCATCGGCAGACTCTTAGTTATCGGAAGACCTTCGGAATTTGTTGGGCTCTCAACATTCCAGCCCGAGTCCTTCGTCTTCGACCACGTCCCGGGTAGTGGTTGTCGAGACTACTACCACCCCTCAGGATACCTTCTACACAGCAGGACCCTCAAACTACGCCTCTCGTCTCTCGCTCTCCAGACCAGTTATCTCGCAACCTTGCTTATCTGCTTCTGACAAGAATCAGCTGATCTCTACGCCTGACTGGCGCAGAAGCCGCTCTCGCTCTCGCCGTTTGTCCAGTAGTGAGAGGAACCAGTCTACCTCACCTCAATGCCTGTCAGCTGTTACATCGCCGTCTCCTTCCCATTCGGCGAAAAGAAATGCTGTTTCTTGCGCCAGCTACCTCTTTCTTCTGCTTTCCCGAAGCCTGCCAGTTCGAATCACAGTTTGCCGGATCATGCTTCGCCTGTCCGCTCCCCTCCACCTCTACTTTCGCCGGACTGTCCACCTTCCCCAAACTTAGACCGGCTCTCTACGAAACAGCTCTCACCGAACCTGTCTTCATTGAAACAGCAGTCTACTCTTCAGCATTCTCCGGTTTGATCGTCTACTAAACAGATTTCACCTAATCGAACTTCGTCGAAATAACGTTCATCGAAACAGAAGATTTCATCAAAACGGCATGGAGTGAATCAACTTTCGACGAAACGGCCTGCTTCCAAGCAGTATTCATTGGAATGCCTTTCTACGGATCATCTGAGTACTTCTCCGAACTCTGTTGGATCCTACAGTCACGCCTCCTCAGCACGGATGCGGCTGTCACCGAGTCGTCTGGATAGGTCTCCTATTTTATTCGGATTTGTTCACCGGATAGACCTGGTAGGTCTACTTCACCGCCGAGATACCACTCTTCGACTCGTTCACATTCAACAAAGCACACGCCTCCCTCTGTTTCGTTGAGATCAGTTTTTCATTCCAAGTCACCCCCTCGGATTTTGTCATCTTGTCATCATGGGACTTCCGGTTCTGCGCACTCGACCTGTCAACCTAGATCTCCTACACGGTCGACTGCTGCCTATCGCTCAAGATCCAGGGATCGTCGTTCTCGTTGCGATATCTCCCCTCCTTACTCCCGTTCTCCTCAGCGGGTCTCTATTTGTGCATCTTCTCCCGGTTCGTCCCCCTCCAGACATAGATATGGTTCTACGAATAGACGATGTACTCAACAGGGCTCCGATCTTCGATCTGAGCGTGCTACGATATCTGACGGGAGTCCTGCCTCCTCGCGTCTCTGTACTTGGATTGTACCAGATTCCAGGACTCCTGCGCAGGATACTACTCCTCCCCCAGATCTGGCTGCGATGTTGAGTGCTCTTACTACTGCTTGGAATCAACAACAGGCTGTTCATTCAACAGGGAGTGCTCCTCCCCTAAGACCAACTGTTGCGGTGCCTAGTCCTGGTGTTCCACAGGATCCTACATCCCCGGCACATTTGGTTGTAGATTCCCCAGAGGGAAGTTTGGACTTTGTCGACGAACCTCAAATCTTAGCTTGGATAGTGGAGAAACTCCACCTCCCTATGTCACAGAGCCCAGAGGACTTATACATTCCTTCTCCATGAGACGAGACTTGGCATCTATTACCTTCCCACCACGGCCTTGTATTGCTCATATAACTACATCCTTGGATCATGCCTTTAAAAGCCTTAAAAGGATTAAAGATGGCCTGTCTTCGCCTAGATTCTCCCTACCGGCGGCTCATTCCCATTGGTTCCAGTCGTTGTCTACTGCCCCTTCGGTGGATGAAGATGTCCAAACACTTTGCGGGAAGAGGACATGTGCAGCCTTTCTATTTGAGGACAGAGAACTGTCTCACATGGACACAGCCATTTGTCGCTTCTTACCCTCAATCAATTGCATCATCTCGGTGGTGGACGCGGTTGCGGCATCGGTGGAGCACTCTTTCACCGATCAGGATGCTTACATCAGAGGCTGTATGTCCCTTATACTGGACCACTTATTAGATCATGACTTGACCAGCTGTCTCATTTCCTTGGTTATCTCCTGGCAGTTCGACGTCACAGCACGCTCAATTTGTCTTCATGATGACAGGTTCAAGGATGAACTCTTCTGTCAACAGTGGTCTGCAGAGTCCTTGTTTAATGGCATGATTGGGGAAGTTTCAGCAAAGGTGGATCGACACTCAATTTCAAGTTTCGGTGGAATTATTTTTTATTGCAACTCCAGAAATCCCATCTGCAAGTTTCCATGATACAGAGAAAGCCTCCACGGTTTGTGCCATCTCATCCAGAACTGTGTCAGGGTTTTCGTGGCCATTCGTCCCGAGGTAGAGGTAGCAGTCCTCCCGTGGCACTTCTTCACGACGCCCTCCCAAGTGGGGCCCCCAAGCAGTGACTTGTCGAAACAAGGGCATGACTGGGAACTCCCGCCCAGCCGCCCCATTTACGACTCTCCCAACTGGACCATACTAGACGATCCTTTCGTGACCAACCTCCTCGCCAAAGGCTATCAACTTCCAGTCATCGGACGCCTGCCGCTGACAGTGCATCCGGTACATCGCAGCTACCCGGCGGACCAGGTCCAGTTTCTTCAAGAAAAATTCCACAAAAATAAGACTCATTTTCAACGTGAATCTTTTCAGTGCCCCCTATCTTCAGCGCCCACCACAACTTCCGATGGTATCGATCATGAATCTTTCTTCGCACAATCCTGAAGAAAGGCGATTTTCTTTGTCAGCCTAGACCTTCAAGATGTTGCATATCTTCATGTGCCTAAGCATCCGGATTTGCTGAAATTCCTCCGATTCATGTTCCAAGGGATCCATTTTCAATGGACCGGCCCTGCCTTTTGGAATTTCCATGGCCCCGGGTTATTTACCAGGATCACCAAGCCGATCACCAGGTTTCTTCATCTCCATGGGGTCGCGGTTCAAAGTTACATAGACGACTGCATTCAGGGTACAGAGAGACCCAGTCTTTTCTACGCCAGCTGGAGTTCAGTATGAAGCTTCTCCTGCCACTGGGTTAGCTGTTAAACGCTAAGTCGAAACTAACACCGCACTCCAGACCCTTCAATTCATCGGGCAACTTTCGACATGCACCAGGGCCTGATTTTCGCTCCCCAAGACAGTTGGCTGAAAATTCAACGGCTAGTTCCGCTGGCTTCTCCCCAGCCCAGGACTTTACGCCAGGGCAAGAACTTTTGGGCCTCTTGACATCGGGCACAGGGCATTGACACGGGCGGGGACAATTGCAACTGCGTCCGTTGCAGCGTTTCCTGCGTCCGTATCTCGTCTCAGAGAATCTCAAGGAGTTGATTCATCTTCCCGAACCTTTACATTCTTTTCTTAAATGGTGGCTTGTAGAACAGAATGTTTGCGCTGGAGTCTGTTTGATGCCGTTCATTCCAACGCACCATTGTTCGTCGACGCGCCGCTCAAAGGTTTGGGGGTCACTTTCTTCATCATCAGACGACCAGGCTGTGGTCGTCCGCAGAATGGGACGGGCACATCAACGGACTCGAGTTCTTGGCGGTTCTTCTTGGCATTCGACATTGGGCGGCGGAACTTCGGGAGTCCTCCCTGCTGATTCAGACAGACAACTCCACGGTCGTCTGGTACATTGACCATCTCGGGTCGACAGGTTCGGCAAACCTTCTTCGGCTGGAGTTTCGTTTCTTCCATCTAATTGACTCCCTCGCCATCGATGCTAGAGCCAGACACATTCCCGGAGTCAGGAATGTCATCGCAGATGCGCTGTCCCGCCCCGATCGGCCGTCTCCCACGGAGTGGCAGTGGAAACCACAGATCTTTCGGGAACTGGTCTTTCCGTTATCAAGGCCCTAAGCTCCACCTTATTCGCCACACGGTTCAACCATCAGCTCCTCGGTTTGTCTCACCGATACCAGACCAACTAGCATGGGATCCTCGATGCTCTGGCGATTTCGCTGGAGGGGCCTCAACGCCACGCTTTCCCTCCGCCTCTTCTACCCAGAGTCATCCAGAAACTCAGGGTGACCAGACAGATTCTACTGCTTTTGGTCATGCTTACTGGCCAGTCAGGAGTTGGTTTGTCGACCTCGCACAGCTCGCAGTCCTAAACCCAGTTCCTCCCCGCTCGGGACCCACCTACTGTTACCCTCACTCTGATCAACGCCACTTATCCCTTCACACCCTGTCTCTGCACGCTACGATCTGCAGAAGTCCTTAATCCCCAAGAGGTATTCTCAGAGAGTGGCTATGGCCATCACTTCTGCTCATCGGACTCCACCCGCCACTTTATGATGAGAAGCGAAGTGTTTTGAGGATATTGCACGCCCATAGGAATTACATTTCCCATTTCTACTTCACCTCAAATCGCCGCTGAGTTTCTTCAGCATTTGTGGTCGCTCTAGGAAGCTCAAGGGTTCCACTTTGGCCACTTTCACGCTAAGCCAAGCATCAACTCAGTCCTGGCTACCACCACAGGTTCTAAGGTCTCGACGTTCCTGAGCTTCAGTATTTGCTCGCCCTTCCCTGTTGGCCGATCAGTCTAAGAAGTTTAGGACCTCCTGCATGGGATTTATCTGTGGTGCTGCGCCATTTGGCCTCGCAGACTATGAACCCCTAGCTCAGATTTCCTTCAAGACCTTCTTACTTGTGGCCTTGGCTACAGCTGCTCAATTTCTGAACTCCACGCTTTGGACGCTTAACAGAGTCCAGTTTGAACGGAAGGAGTCTTCCTCGGTCTCCGCTTGGGATTTCAGAATGGAAGAATCAGTTGCCGGACAACCTGATCGTGACATTTACCATCCCACCGTTGTCTACGCATCCTTGGGCCACATGACAATGAAGACCTGCAGCTTTGCCCTGTTATGGCTTTGAAGATTTTTCTTGCTGCTTCTAAAGATCGCCATCTCCACAAGCCCCTCTTCATTCTAGAGTTGTCCTCAACATCCAGGGCGGAAGTGTCTCGCACCACATTATCCTTCTGGATGAGAGCCACCATCCTATGGGCTTACACCTTCACTGGGTTACCGCCCCCTATTGAAGCTTCCAATCCATGAGACACGGGCGCTAGCTTCACGCCTTCACGCCTCTGCATAGTAACTGCTCTCTCCACGCCATTATGGAAGGATGCTTCTGGCGATCTGACTCGATCTTCTCCTACCACTACCTTCAGGACCTCTCAGTCAAGGATGTCCAAGGCCTGTACCAGTTTGGACCCCTTGTTCTCGCACAACAGCTGTCTACGCCCAACAACGAGATAGGGTAACGGTCCCACGCCGTTGCTGCTTCCTGCACTTTCCTGAATATAAGTCTGAACTTGATGTCTGCCTTAAGTTTTGATTGCCTATGGGTTAGAACTACTTCACTTAGTTTTATACTAAGACACGGAGATACTACCACCTAGGTGGTTGGACGAATCTGGAGGGTGATTCTGTATCACGATGTGGAAGGGTTCGACATTTCACGTTTCCTGACCTCTACTTTTCGAAGCAATTACGTCAGTGAAGTGTGTCACTCCCGAATTCCAGTGGATTTCGTTGTGTTCCGACTCCGAAATTGCTAGGCTCATCCTTTGACTAGGAGTGAGGGTCAATTTGATGTTGACTGGAACTTAACATTAAAACTGCGAGTTTTCCGAGTTGTGCTTCTCTTTCACCCGCCCCTGGTCGGGTGTCTGTGGGGGTCTTCAAGCCAAGGGCTGGCCTGATTATTGTCTATGACTAATTTACGGGGTACCTTTGAAAATCGTGGGCTATGGTGACATCCTTTCGCTGAGCTGCGCCCCTTCTTCGGAGGATGCGCCTAACACCACATTGCTCGGGAGCACCCATCTCCCTGGGAGATTTTGTGCTTAGTAAGCCAAGGAGTTCAGAGGAACTCGTCCACAAGCATAGGAGTTGCGCTAGCCATAACAGGCCTCCCTTGTGCATGGCTATCTCACGGTTGTTTCCAGTCTACACAGTTCTACTGTTCGCACTGACAAAACACAGGGTATCTCAAGGCCCCGCTGTCCAACCGTTGGATAAGTGCATACAGTGAGATAGGATAACTTTAAAAATTTGGAAATTTAAATATAAATTGTATATTTATATACTTATCCTATCTCACACACGACGGATTCCCAGCCATCCTCCCCGCTCTGCAGATTCTCTAAGATTAATATTCCAGTGGCTCCAAGAATGAGAATGATGATTCGGAGATAGTCATGTGGGTAGCTTGCAAGATGCTTTGCATGACAACTAGGAAGCTGTCTTATAATGAGGGTAGCATGGAGTGCTTGGGCGATGGATGGACAAGAGAGGCCAAGGGAAAAGTTTACATCGCTCCACTCAGTGTCGAATCAAGAGAGAGAAGTGCATACCGTGAGATAGGATAAGTATATAAATATACAATTTATATTTAAAATTTCCAATTTTAGTTTAAGAAGTTGGTTTTTTATAATGCAAAGTTTGACCTTGACCTTTCTGCCAGCTCCTGGAGGTTAGTGCAGGGTCAGCCATGGGGGACCAGCTGAAGGTCAACAAGCTCACTGAGAAGCTCTTCATGGAGCTAACCAAGAGCGCCAGTAAACTACAGGCATCAGGTAAGGGAAGAGCTTTAGAATTAATCTACCTGGGCCCTGTTTCACAAAGCTCTCATAAGCCTAATATTTCGTAACTTTTCTCGTAGCATTTGTACTTCCTCTGTTACAGCATAGGAGGTATGAGTGCTACGAGAAAGGTTATGAGTACTTAGCCTTACAGGGGCTTTGTGACATGGGGCCTGAAGTATACTATAATTCACAAAACTTAAGCTTTGAATAGTTTTCCAGTTAAAAGACAAAAAGCAGAAGCTGTATAACTGTATGAATCTACATGATGAGGAATAATGATAATCAAATGGGGAATATGGCACAAACAGCTGATATCAAAGATCATGAGGCAAAGATTATCTTGAGAGGCGACTCACATGATTCGCCAGTTAGGCCTGCTGACTTGGCTGATGCCTGTCACTGTGTCCCCCCAGATGCGTAGATGCGTGATGTCAGTCACAGGATTGTCATATTCACAGACTGCCGTCATATTACTGGTGGGAATTGGTTCAAATCTCATAATTGATGATTGGTTCATTACAACTGATCAATCATCGAAAATAATTGGTTAGCGTCATTTATGAAATGTTCCTGGTTATTTTTGTTAATGCACAAAAAATAAAGAAAAAACATGCTGTTCCTGGGTTGTTTTTTTCACACATTGCACATCTTTAAATGATGACTAGTATGTTAGGAACATAAATTTCTTGTCGTCTATAAAATAAATTCAATTGTGACTTAGAACGAGCATGTAGTGCTCATGAAATGTCACAGACAAAACCAACAGTGTGAAAAATATTGTTAATGCAAAAAGTGTTCCAGAATTGTTTGTGTTCGATTATGAGAAAACATGATGGATTGCTTGGTCATTTAGTCACTGCGACCAATCGTCGATTTTTGTCAATTAATCGGACCACCACTACGTCATATAGCTGGAAAATTGTTTCATGTGGCATTAAACTGCAAGTACACAAATAAATGACTGTTTTAGCTGCTAATCCTTTTACGTGACATTTTCAGTGAAGGCAAATGTCTACCAGCTGCTGGGAGTTATATCTGAGGTGTATCGGAACTGATGGCAGACTACTTTCGGAGGAGAGCTGGTCGGGCTGTATGTGAATGCCCTGAAAGCTGAGGTATGTAAATTGTGGATAGTGACAGACTGTATGTGGATGCCGTAAAAGCTGAGGTGTGTACCTCGTCCGTTGTGGCAATCTAGACTATATGTGAGGGGAATGCCTAATGGTTAAAGCACGTCCACCGGGTTCAAATCCCCACATGGGTACAATGTGTGAAGCCCATTTCTGGTGTCCCCCTCCATGATGTTGCTAGAATATTGCTAAAAGCGGCATAAAAACCAAACTCAGTCAGTCAGTCAGACTATATGTGAATGCTTCTACACCCACCACAACTACTCCACGTGGTCATGATATGTGAAGCTCATTTCTGGTAGGGGTGTCTATTGAGGGGTAAACAACTATTGTGATAGCGATAGTCTATTGCAACATACTATTGCGATAGTGATGATGTATTGCGACCAACTATTGCAATACTATTGTAATACTATTGCAACAGTTTTTTTCTCCTTGAATTGCCTCATTTGAAGTCATTTCCCAAATGAATGTGTAGTTTATATGAAATAAAAACAATGTTGAAGTAGTTTCAGTATCTTTTAATAACTGACAAGAAACTTGAAACCCAGATCAAGTAAACAGTTAAAACATAACGTATTGTTATTCACAATTTCAAACTTCGAGTTGCATGCGTGTTTGCCTCCATGTTTGTTTAACAGGGGCGGATAACTCTAAATCAAAGTGAACGAATCTAGTACTTCCTGTATTTTTGCTTTGCGCATTTATCAGCGAAGTCAATTGCTAAACTATCGATAGTCACACATATTCTCGATGCATCGATAGTTTTCGTTTCTACCATCGATTAATTGTTATCAGAGACTCAACAATTGCAATCCATCGATAGGATTCGATGTGTCGTTACAGCACTAATTTCTGGTGTCTCCTTTGTGATATTGCTGGAATATTGCTAAAAGTGGCATAAAACTAAACTCACTCACTCACTCACTCCTCTCACCCACCCTCTTTCCTCTGCTGCCACAGCTACCATTGTGCTGTGGCTACTCCATGTACTTCTACAACTGCAGCCCCTACTTCTGAGGCGACTACTACTTCTACTACCTACCACCACCACTACTACTGAGACTACTACTACCACCACCACCACCACTGCCTCCACAAGTAGTAATTAATTGTGTTTATTGCAGATGGAGTCAAAGACCCGCAAACCAGAATTACCAGTTATAGCTGGGTGTTTGGAAGGACTGACAGCCTATCTTGTTAACTTCACACAGTCAGCAGAGGAAGGTATTAAGACTTAGAAGGAATCCCAGATTCCATTTTAAATGTGATCATTACAAACAGCTACTGTAGCCATTTACACTGTTACAACCCCCAAAACTACCGCAGCAATGATTTTCTTTCAATAAATAAACACATCCTGACATTTTTTAATGATCATATTCTCTTTGCAGGATCAAAACACAGCTATGCAATCTTCAAATATGCCCGTATGGCTATTGACCCTGGGATCAGTTTCTCCAGATATGATGTACCTCGAGGTGGTCTCCGACTGTTTGGTAAACACTGTGGGCAGTTCAACCAGTTCATCATGGACGACTACCAGGTAAGGCTGGGAACATGGGTCAGTGATCAGAGGGACAGTGATATACCTGGTTCTATTTAGTTTTGATTCCATTAGTTTAGACGAATTTGACACATTTGTCAAAGTGTTGTGTCGTTTAGGTGTGAGGAAATCATGTTCCATTCGCCCTGATCATGATTCTTGGTTTATCGTTATTCTGGTGTCCATGAATTTTACCAAAACGCTGCATAAAAATTGACTCGCTCACTCAACCACTCTCTCACTCTCTCACTCACTCACTCAAACCCTCACGCACTCTAACCCAACCACTTACTGAGTGCTGAATATCTAATGTCTGTCATGTTGATATTTCAGGGGATGTATGAGAAGTTTCTCAGCTGGAACCGGCACCACAATCGAGAACTGGCAAATCTCGGCATGATGGCCATGGAGTCTTTCCTCAAACAGGTCTCTATCTGAATACTGTACAGTCTGTCCAGTAAAACATGTCAAGAACATCAGAAACACAGTATACATTAACATTCAGCTCTTTTGACATAATTGTGACCACCTACAGATCTTTCCGTAGCAGGGGCGGTGGGGTAGCCTAGTGGTTAAAGCGTTGGTTCGTCACGCCGAAGACCCGGGTTCGAATCCCCACATGGGTACAATGTGTGAAGCCCATTTCTGGTGTCCTCTGCCATGATGTTGCTGGAATATTGCTAAAAGCGGCGTAAAACCAAACACCGTCAGTCAGTCAGTCTTTCCGTAGAGATTTTATGTGTAATACATTGTCATTGTCATAACTTATAATAACATGTTTTGGGTCACACTGTAAGATTTTGTAGCTGATTGTGTGTACTGACTGGTTCAGGTTGCGGAGATGTTAGTTGTCCGTGCCCAGGAAGGGAAGAAAGAGGGAGCTGTGTTCAAGGTAAGTTGTAATTATCCTCGTCACACCGAAGACCCGGGTTCGAATCCCCACATGGGTACAATGTGTGAAGCCCATTTCTGGTGTCCCCTCTGTGATGTTGCTGGAATATTGCTAAAAGCGGCGTGAAACCAAACTCAGTCAGTCAGTCAGTCTAATTATATTACTTTTATTTTACTTTGTTTTGTGAAAATTCATCTGTTTGAAAAAGGCATCAAATCTTAAACACATGGAGTTTCCTTTGTCTCTCATCCTATTTCTTGTTGTCACAATGTATTTAGGAATTCTCAACGGAACCATGGTCACAGTAGCTCATGTCACAGAACATGATGAACAATCTATTTGAGTGTTGTCAGATTCTGTTATATCGTGGTTGCCTCCGTATTTCCAGCATATCCAGGATCCCAGTCCACAGAGTGATATTATGCTAGATGATTGTAAATCCTGTACTTAACATAGATTTAAGACCTGAGATCACTTTGTGCAATGGGGACCTGGAGCAAAACAGCTATTCTAACTTTGTCTCAATGTGTGTGTAAGGAATTTATGTTGTGAAGGAGTTATCACATAACCCTGTTTTCTTTCAGTTTTTCATCCAGCAGTTCCGTAACATCATGAATGATAACAAGTCAAGCTCCAAGCAAGTGTCCCTGGCTATCAGGGGATACGGCTTGTTGGCTGCAGTGAGTGACACTTGTCTTGCTTTTGAAGCCTCATTATGTTGATTTGTTGTTTTCTTTGTTGCAGTAAGGCATTTTAATGTAGCTGGAGTTTATATAAGAAAACAAACAAACAGCTTGTCCTAACAAGATCTGAAAAAAGACATGATTCTAGTTTAATATAAATGCTCAATGAAGAATTTAATGCTCTGTAGCGTCATTTTTTTGTGGCTTTAAATAATTCTTTCTTCAGGAGATTCAGTAGTGAGTGACCTTCTGGGTTAGAACTGGCCTGTAGCAACATAAGCTGGCCATAAGAGGTGGATCAGGTGGTCAGGCTCAGTGACTTTGTTGATAGCACATCAACACACTTTGATGGGGTGGATCGTTAATCAGAATACCTACCAATGCACTGACTTGTTCATACAGTTATTAGAGGGCCACCATCACTATTGAAATCTGAGTGCAGAGCTAAACATTGTACAAACTAAATATGCAAATGTTTCATAATATTGCAATTAAGTTGTTTGTGTCTTCAGCCATGTCGTTCCTTCCTGTCTCCGTCTGATGTTCAGTTCATGTTCAGCGAGATGATCAGCAAGTGTGAACAGCAGTTCCTTGGGTAAATACTAGTTACTTTAAATGGCATTTATGATAGGTGTGTTGAAACAAGAGGCAACTGTCATATTCAGTTACATGCAGCAAGAAACCACAGTAGTGACATATCGTCTAACATACATTTCACAGGCTCATTGTGGACATGAGGAAAGTATGTAGAATGTTTGAGCATGGAGCTGAAAAAATAAAGCCTTGGTGTATGTGTGTGTTACAGACAAGTGGAGGATCTGGAGGACAGGATTGTCTCCCTTCCCAGCTACCTGGAGGCCCTGGCTTACATAGTGAAGGAGGTGGACCAGGTGAGTGGTTGTGGAGGATGACATCCGTTACACTTTCTGTATTTCATTATCTTCATCTGTTTGTATATTGTGTATCTGTGTATACTGTAGGTGTCGGACACCTGTGCTACCATCTTGGAACACCAGCTGGTCTTTCTGCTGGAGGGGCGGTGGGGTAGCCTTATGGTTTAAGCATTCGCTCGTCACGCCGAAGACCCGGGTTCGATTCCCCACATGAATATTATGTGTGAAGCCCATTTCTGGTGTACCCTGCTGTGATATTGCTGGAATATTGCTAAAAGCAGCATAAAACCAAACTCAGTCAGTGATATTGCTGGAATATTGCTTAAAAACTGCATAAAACCATACTCGCTCACTCATTTTCTGCTGGAGAACATTTCACAAGTCCACAAATGCTTCATTTCATCTGTTTGTAATCTGTATATATTGTAGGTGTCGGACACCTATGCTGCCACCCTAGAACACCTGCTGGTCCTACTGCTGGAGAACTTCCCACAAGTGCATCCTAAGCTTCGCTTCATCTGCCAGAAGTCCATGCTGCAGGTTTTACTGGCTCTCATGGCGAAAGGAACAACTTTCCAGAAGGTTCTCTCAGGCATGGGTGAGTACTGCAGGCATTCAGCATTAATACAAGTTGAGACATGGAATAGACTGTGTATAGGGAAAACCGTCGCATGTCAAAATGTCGTTATTGGATATTTTTGGAAGTGGAGTGAATGGAGTTTGTCATAAAGATTCGATTCATGACTAAAACCAAACCTTTTCATCTGACAGATTGTACCAATAGGGTGCAGTCAGTCCATAGAGTCTTGCAACATGCTGAGGTTGGAGGAACCAGTTCATTCATGTAAGTGGTAGGGGCATCCATGTCACCCTTTAGGAGGACACAAAACTGTATATAATTAGTCAAGGCTCCTGAGAGATGTTCTCTGGCTTCGAAGTTGGAGAGGAGCATTGCTATAATGGGTGTTTCTCTCCCATGTTCCAGTATATCAAGGCCTCATCCGTACCTGCTCCCATCCAGTCAGTTTGGACACTGAGCAGACGGAGGAGCAGACGCCAGATGTAGCGGAGAAGAAAGTGTCATACAAGGACTACATTGAGCTGTGGCAGACTCTGCTGAACAGTGCCAGAATCAAGGTTGGTAACACTTTGGTCTATATTCATGTCTGTTCAGAGGTAAACAGCAAACGTTAAAATAGAAAATAGTGTTGGTACTAATGCAACTTGTCAGTGTATATGAGTATAACTCTTTCTTTACTCTTGCATCAACTCTACATGAATGCACAGGCCAGCTCATAGTTTTGAGGGGCAGTGGCGTAGCCTAGTGGTCAAAGCGTTGGCTCGTCACGCTGAAGACCGGGTTCGAATCCCCACATGGGTACACTGTGTTAAACCCATTTCTGGTGTCCCCCGCCGTGATGTTGCTGGAATATTGCTAAAAGCGTCGTAAAACCAAACTCAGTCAGTCAGTCATAGTTTTGAAGGCCAGAAATCACCCAAGTGTTGATGAATGATGGATTCAAGTCCACAGGGCAATCAAAGTCATACAGTGCATGGGGCAGTGACATTGCAAAACTATTTATAAAGCCAGGCTGTGTCATTTGAAATAAAAACACATTTCCAAGAGGTCTGTTTCCAACTTGTTCACAGCTTCCCTGTGGATTCATGCAGTATGATGAATGGTCATTGTTATCATAAATATCCCATTCCTGTCAAAGTAGTAAGTCAACTCGTGTCTAGTGGTTTATGGTTTGCAGAGTTGTTTCCCTTATCAATGTAGTGGACTATAAATAAAATCATGGGATCCAATCCAGGGTTTGATGATGCCCTGATAACGATCCATATCCAGTGGATATGAATCCATGTATTATTTTCTAAAGGGGAGCCTTGCTGAACCCACCTGCCATGTGTCTTGGCCTTCACCTGTGTAGTAAATGCTTTTCAAAGAGGAATTTAAGGCAAATCACTAACATTCACTTTTTGGATTTTTGTATATTTAGGTTAAATTGAATTGAATTGAATGTATCAGTGGGTGGAAAATGGTGCGCTAAAAATATCCATTATTATTATTATTATTATTATTTTTATAATTAAATTGAATTCTCCGGACCAGTTAAACAAGTCATAGTTTAATTGTTTTTATTGCCTGTGTCTTAAAAGTCAGATGCTTGGTAGTCTTTTGTTTCTTCTCTCTAAGGCCTTTGCAAGTGAGGACATCAGCATTGCTGACCGTCACCGGCTGACTGAGGCCATGTATGATGAACTGATGACCTCCACAATAAAGATCCTCAACAAACTCGACCTGTCATCAGCTGCCCGAGAAGGTAGCATTACCTCCAACTAAATGTTTCAGTCTCATGAGTTGTCTTTTCATGACCAAGCTCACTGTTATGTTTTCGGAACAATATCCTGATTCAATTCAATTCAGATCAGTCAATTATATACATAGGAGATCTGTTGTCGTGTTTTATCTTCTACAGTGAGTAGGCATTCGACATGACAAGTGAAACTGATTTTCCACAAAGATTAATATATAGTAGTTCTCACTCACTCTTAAAGATGCACACACATATATGAAGCTCAATCTTAAAGAAAACCTCAGACATGTGTCCATAATGAATGGCAGTGCAGTACTGATTTTATATGTATATGTGCAAACACCTAGTTGCGGGTACAGCAACGTGCAGTAAACTTGGACAAAGTACTGTGACTATGCATCCCAGTCCACCCAGCTGTGCCTAGTAGGCAGCAAGAGTTGTATGATCCCCAGGGAGTTGAGATTGAAAAATATGATGTGCCGTTGTGATGGATATCCAATGATCAAGGGAAAACAAAGCCTTTGAGCAGTTTCTTTTCAGAGAGATCGCCCTTGGGGTACATATTATGCATTTTCCGGCTGAAAATGTCCTGTGACAGTTGTATCAATGTTTTTGAATAAAAAGATTGTACAATAAATAAACTCTTTTATTTATTATAATGACTCTCTACCTCACGGAGTTACCTCCCTTTAGCGCATGCGCACTTCAACTGGGTAGGCTCCTAGACCCGTGATCATCATTCCTTCTGCTGTCACGGCCGCGGAACAGACGGTTTTGATAACCCATTCATGAGCCGTGACGGGCGCTGTTAAAAGAGACTATGTCTGAGACACCACCTGTATGTATGGTCTTTATTTGTCTAAAACAAGAACAGTAAAGCTTTACAGTTGGTTGTTTCATAATTGTGACTTTGTATTAATACAAAATACGCCAACTTTCCCGCGGTTACGCGACGTGTTGCTCTGCCATGGCGGGAAGTTTAGCGCGCCATGTGGTCGTAATATTGGCGATTAAAACCAACTATTACTTTCCTCCGCGGTAACCTTCACGAAGTTTTTCAATGTTTTCACGCGTTTATATGCTGCTGGTCAGCCGCTAACTAACATGTTTGCGCGTTTGTTTCAGGCCTTTCATGCTGTTCGGTCTGTGAGGGGAGTATCCCCGGGCCGACAGTCATACCAGTTGGCGCGGCCTGTCTGGAGAAGACAGGCCATGAGGCTGACTCCTGTCCTATTTGTCTGGCCTTTTCCCCGGCCCAGAAGAGGCGGGCTGCCGACACCTTGTTCTATCGCTAAATGCGGAGGGCGGAGGGGACCTGACGCAGGTTCCCCGCCTAAGTCCAAACGCAGTGTCGTAAGGGGAAAAAATCCCGCGGCCCTTCCCCTCTCCTGCCACTTCGAAAGTGGTTTTGACATGTCACTGATGGAGTCTATGTTTCAGCAGCAGATGGACTCGGCGAAGTCCTTCGCTCGCGGAGTCGGGTTGGAGGTCTCCGCAGGAGTTCTCACCCACTCCGGACGGGGCGGAGAGTCCGGGGTGGGATCGCTGGCTCGCTCGATCCCTCGCCTTGAGGCGCCTGTAGATCCGCTGCCTCTGGCTTCGATCCGACGCCGCGCTGCCCGAGAGGGAGGTGCTCCCAGTCCCTCTCTCGAGCTCTCGCTGCCAGGGCCGCTGAGTATTCCTGGTATTCCGTCCTCATGCACACCCGCCCCATGAGAGCCGAGGCACCAGTTCTGCCTGGCCTGCCTCCAGCGCCTCGGACCGGGTCCACGCACGCCGGGCTGGCGCTTGACGGGAGCAGTCTGTCTGTTCTTCCCTTCCTGTGGTTCCTAGCGCTAGGCAGTCCACCGGGTCGGGTTAGGGTCCTCTTACGGAGGAGACCCAGCCTCTGACTCGGCCTCGACGCCGAGGCAATGGAGCTTGGGGAGGTCGAGGAGCATGACGGGCGCTTCCGCTTTGCTTCGCCTTGGCGGGAGGTCCGCAGAGAATTGCCGAGGGCCTACCCCAGGCCGCTGTGCCTGCTGGTTGCGCGGACTCGACTGAGTTCCGCTTTGCCTGGCGAGGCGCTTGCCCCTAGGCAACCCTCACAGACGCAGCTCCCGCGATTCTGCCATCGCTGGTCTCGGACGGGTCGATCCCCTCTGTCTGGTGCCCGGTAAGGTTTGACTTACCTGAACTCGCGGCGGCGCTACCAGCTTGGGGAGGATTCCCTGTTCGCTGTACCAATTGTTGACGCAATGTGTTTTCACTCACGCCTCTGGGGAGGCTCGGCTTCCTCCGAGCAGCCCGCTGCTCGGCAAGGGCTTCTAACTCCACCTTTTGCCCTCGCTGGCGCTTCGCGGCACGCTGCATCGACCTACGCAGGAGGTCTACCGAACGCTGGCGCAGCAGGTGCGGTGGTGGTCCATGAGGCCTACCTCACCTCGGGTTCAGAGGTCGGCCCTGGAGGCGGAGGGGCATGCTGGCGACGCGGTCGCCGCATGTCGCGGCTGTTCGGCCAGCTGGAAGTGCAGGCTCACCTCGCTGCACTCTTTGGCGGTCTGCTGCGCCGACGGTGATGTGCGCAGTCATGGGGATGCGCCGCTGTGGCTGTCGACGCCTAGGTACTCGGCAGCAACACAGCAGACCTTGCTGGCCCCTCCCTTCCGCCTGGGAGCCACCTCTCTTCCAGGGGCCCAGCAGGTCATACGGGAGGCTGCCGCTGCAGCTACCTCCTTCAAGGACTCTAAGGCCTTGTTGGAGCACCCGCTGGTGTCTCGCCTCCGCCCCGCGCCACCTTCCTCCGCCGGGTGCAGCCTACACCCGAAGTCTGCCGGGCTGGCTTCGCCGCTTGGTAGGGGTAGGCGGAGGAACAGGTCCGCCAAGGGTAGGGGCAAGGAGCAGTCCTCGACTAGCTCCCAGCCTCATGGGCGCTGGAGGTCTGCCCCACCTCCCGCTAACCCATCAGGCTGCCGCCAAGCCGCGGTGTCACGCCCAGTCAGCTCCGCTTACTCGGGTCTACACGCCGCTTCCTACCCCATATCCCAGTGGGAGGTCAGCTTCTCTATTCCTGCCGGAATGGGAGAAGGCTACCAACAACGCTTTGGGTGCTGGCCACGGTCAGCATAGGCCATCTCCCACTGTGGAAGCGAGGTCCGCCTCGACTTCACCGCATACGCCGCGACTCCGTGCCGCCATGTCAAGCCAGGGCGGACATATTGCGCCGACGGTTCAGGCTCTGCTGGACAAGTCCGCAATCGAAGCGCATTCCACCGGGAGAGGAACAGGCGGATTTTATTCCACGCACTTCCTCGTCCCGGCGAAAGACGGCGGGTTCCGTCCCGATTCTCAACCTCAAGGGGTTGAATCGCGATGCTCGGTACCATCCTTCAAGATGGAGACACTGCGCCGGTGATCTCATCTGTTCAGCCCGGCGATTGGCTCACGCCAATCGACCTAAAGGATGCGATTCAGATAATACCCCATACATCCATCGCTCAAGCAGTACCTTCCGGGTTCTCTTTACGACGGATGTATTACCAATTCAGGGTGCTCCCTTCGCATATCGACTGCCCCAAGGGTGTTCACCAAGCTCATGTTAGTCCCAGCTACCCTAGCTCGCCGCAAGGAAGGCGCTTGTTACCCTTACCTAGACGACTGGTTGCTCGGAGCACTAACACAGCCAGCGAAGTCAAGATGCTACTCACACAGTGATAGACATTCTAACTCGACTGGGGTGGATCATCAACCTCAAGAAATCCGACCTGGTACCCACCCAGGACTTGGTTTTTCTTGGAGCGCCGATTCCAAACGAACAAGGATCTCGCTTCCTTGTCGCCTCGACCGGGTCACCAGAGTTCGAGATGGTCTCTTCATTCCTCTCCCAGCCCCAGGCACCAGCACGGACTTGGCTCCGCCTACTGGGCCATATGGAGCGGCGACGCATCTCTGTAGTGTGGCGGGCGCTGCTTGAGGATGCGCCCCATACAGCAAGCTTTGGCTCGGCTGTGGACTCACACGGAGGATCTGGAGCGCAGTCTCACAGTCCCCGAAAGTGGTTGACACCTCACCTTCAGTGGTGGACAAATGTCGGAATCTCACCAGGGGTTCCCTTGAAATCCCGACGCCAGCTCTCACAGTTCAGACAGATGCGCCCCTCACGGGCTGGGGGCGTTTGGGTAGTCTGTCGGCTTCCGGACTCTGGTCCGAAGTCGGGCTCACCTTCACATCAACGTGTTGGAACTGAGAGCTGTGCGGTTGGTATTCGAAAGCCCAGAGAGCATGTCCGCGGGCCAGGTAGTCCGCCTTCAGTTAGACAACCAGACGCCATGTCGCATATCCTGAAGCAGGGAGGCACGGTGTCCCCAGCGCCCCGGGAAGCGCGGACTTTCTCCTCTGGAGCCACTCAGTACGATTGTCAGGTACTCCCTGTTTATCTCCCGGGCTGGAGAACGGCGAAAGCAGATGCGCCTCGCCGATCCTGGCCCCGCGACGAAAGTGGATGCTCGACAGGCAGATATTCACAGTAATCTCCCAGTTGTACGGGTCGCTCGAGGTGGATCTGTTTGCGCCCGGGCGGACGATCAGACACCCGTGTTCTGCTCTCGGATACCGACCCAGGGCGCTGGCTGCCGACGCCTTCCCTGCTGGATTGACGGGCAAAGTGCTCTGGGCGCTCCCCGCCATTACCACTCATTCCCCGCGGTCCTTTCACAGCTGTCCACCCAGCCAGCTCGGCTACTTGTGCTACTGGCACCGCTTTGGCCATTCACAGAGCTGGTTTCCGTAATTCTCAGGTTTCTGGCTCAGCCTCCTGTTCTATTACCTTTGGCGAATCGACATTCTCACTCAGAACGGAGCTTCCACCCAAATCCACGGATTCAGTGGGTGGCTTGGCCTCTGTCAGGTCTAACCTCGAGGCACGCTGGAATTCCTGCAGCAGTTGCAGACACAATTCTGGCTTCGGTATGGATTCGGCAAACGCTCAGTACGAGGATAGGTGGTCCCGCTTATGCGCGCTGGTGTTCAGATAAGGGGATTGCAGATCCCTTTTCTGGGCGGATTTAGTCCGAAGTATTGGAGTTTTTGCAAGCTCGCTTTGGAAGAAGGCCTGGCGGCTTCACCATTCGCCGCTACTCCACCGCTTATTTCCACTTTTCACACCCCTGTCGATGGTGCTCTTCTGGGGCAGCACCTCTCGCATAGCGCCGCTGGCGCTGAACGGATTCGACCTGCTCTCAGGCTTAACCAGTCCACCTTTGGGATTTGTCGATCGTGGCTCGACATTGGCTCCGTCCCACTTTCTCACACCTATCGGCTATTTCCATTCAGTTGTTGACCTGGAAAGCTGTTTTTCTGGTGGCGGTAACATCTGGTCAAGGGTCGGCGATTTACATGCTATGTCGTCCGACCCGGGCGCTGACTGTGTTTCACACGGATCGTGGTCAGTATTCGCCCCCAGATACTTACCGACCGGGTCGACATCACGCTTCCATGTGACAGCTCCTATCGAACTTCCTACTCTTACCCAGCCTTCCACATCGGGACCACTCCTACGAAGCACTCACCCGCTGGATGTCCGTGAAGACGCCAAAGTCTATCTCAAACGAACGCAGGGGATCCGTGACGGGTACCCAGCTGTTCTGTTGTTACGGTGGCGGAAGGCTGGTCTCGCCAGCGCAGCAAGCAGACTTTGTCTCGCTGGCTAGTATCGCGTATTTGTGCCGCTTTATCAGGCTAAGGGCAAGCCTCCCCTGAGGGGTTGAAGGCTCACTCGGTCAGGCAGTAGCCGCGATCAAAAGCTTTTGCATCGGCACTCCCCATTGAAGAGATCTGTCTCACGCTATTTGGAGCCGCCAAGCACGCTTATACGCCATTATCAGCTCGACACGCATTCCCGTAATCGCGGCAAACTTTGGTCGCATTGTTCTCTCAGTGGACAGTGTCCTGCCACCCTGACCGAAAGTGAGTCTTGGTTTATTGGTTTGTTTTGACGCTTACTGTACAATAAGATTCCATTATTGACATGTTCATAATGTGAGCTCACTCAGAGAACCTGTACCCCTTCGACTTCTACGGAGTTACTGTATCGCTAGTGAGTGGTATTTTTGTTTTCCCCACGGTGCTCTCATGAAAGAAGCCACTTAGTGGGTCGGATTTCGATATTCGCACTACGCGGCAATGTCTCATTATGCTAGAGGTCGCCTTTGAGCACAAATCCTCCCTGTCAGTTCCTCCCATAATGCCTCTCAAGGAAGCTTAAACTGGGTCGAGTGACAGGTGAGTGTTATGGCGCCTGTTCAATTTTTTTTCCATGATACGATCGCTATATTTTGAGTGTGCTTGGACAGAATTCCCTCCTCCCTGGCCTCCGGGTCTTTGGGAGTCTGTGTTTATGCATAATATGTACCCCAAGGACTATCTCTCTGAAAAGAATTAACCAAACCTGCAGAGGTTTTCACCTCTTTGAAGAGAGTCGCCCTGGGGTAGGGCCTCCCACCTCCCCGCAATTCTGTTCACTGATAAGAATTCAGCAGAAGGAATGATGATACGGGTCTAGGAGCCTACCCAGTTGGTGCGCATGCTTAAGGGAGGTAACTCCGCGAGGTAGGGTCCGTGATAATAAATAAAAGAGTTTATTTATTGTACAATCTTTTATTCAAAAACATTGATACAACTGTCACAGGACATTTTTCAGCCGAAAATGCATAATATGTACCCCAAGGACTTTACTCTCTTCAAAGAATTGAAAACTATAAAGAATTAATGTCTTTGTCAAGTGATGACTGAATTTAATACAAAATTAGAAGGGGCGGTTGGGTAGCCTAATGGTGAAAGCGTCCTCTCGTCACACCGAAGAAACAGGTTCGATTCCCTACATGGGTACAATGTGTAAAGGGGCGGTGGGGTAGTCTAGTGGTTAAAGCGTTGGCTCGTCATGCTGAAGACCCGGGTTCGAATCCTCACATGGGTACAATGAGTGAAGCCCATTTCTGGTATCCCCAGCCGTGATATTGCTGGAATATTGCTAAAAGCAACGGAAAACCAAACTCAGTCAGTCAGTCAGACATTTCAGGTGTCCCCGCTGTGATATTGCTGGAATATTGCTAAAAGAGGAGTAAAACCTTACTCATTCAGTCAGTAAGATTAGAAAGTGTGCTAAAGTGGTAGCTAGTAGTAAGATGTTGTAATGCATTGGGTTAGATCCCTGTGCTGTGTTGCTTATCGTTTGTTTGCTTCTGTATCACAGACTTCAAGAGATCCTAATATGATGATCAATATATTTTCAAGTCCATTATTTTTCCTTATCCTGACTCATGTATTATTGATTGTCTCCTTCCTTTCCTGAACGTTAGTGGAACACTTGTATCTCCTTTTTGAAGCTCCCTTCAAAAAAGCAGACGTAAAATCACTACTCACCACGAGTTGTCTCCCTCTCTGTTTTGGCGGGAAAACGGCGCCACCCGTCTTCACACTCTTCACTCTCTCCTTCTTCGCCCTAGTGGACGGTTGGGAGAGCACCTGTGTCTCCAACACGGCACTATATCCTTTGCTAACTTAGTTATTACCCTACAATTTACCTTTATAAGGTTTCAGGGAGTATCCTTCTACAATATGGCTTGAAATTTATTAGCAATTTTGACTGTTTATGCACGGTTTCAAGTGATTGTTCAGTTTGTTTACATTTCATGAAAACCTGTTTTCGTTGTAGGTTTAGGTTCTCTGCTGCAGACCCGCATTTATTGTGCCCCAGTTGCACTACAATATGTACTTCCAGCTCTCGCTGTAAATTATGTCAGCAACTAACAAAAATTGAATTTAATAATTATTATTTCTCTGTACTTAAAAACATGCTAAGGATAAATCCAGGCGGCTGTTACAAGTCATGGCTAAACCGGCTGAGTCCCTTAAGAGCTGTCTGTCGTTGTCAGACGACGTACTTCCATCCAGTGACCTGCCGGAGGCGTCTTCAGAAGATGGGCGTGGGATGAAGTCCGCCGATAAGATCTTCTACGTCGGACAACTCCTCAACCCATATGAAGAAAAAGAGGCCATCTTCGTTGCAGAAGAAGCCTTACACCCCTAAGGCTTCAACGAGATCTACTGGGAGCTCTTCACAGACTACAAGGACCTTCTCTGCCGAGATCGTTCCGATGGAAGAAATAGGCTTGTACGAAGAACCGCCTATCCTCATCCCAGAGATACTGCATAAGAAGTAGACGCAGGCCTCAGCAACGGTAACGTCAGCACAGTCTGAGTTACCTTCTACACTGGCAGCAGGGACCCATGAGGTACAGCGATCCCTGGACCATATCGCTACCCTCTCAGATGCGTCATCTCTACAGTCGTCACAGACATTCAACCCCGGGGCCTTCATGCAGCAATTCTCTCAACAAATGATGGAAATGATGGAGAAGTGCTTCGCGCAGGAAAGAACATCGCATGATGGACAGCCAGGCGGCTCTCATCCCCAAGTCATCAACCTCAGAGAGGATCCAGTTCTGCACGAAGGACCCCACACTGATGATACATCTGAGAGGCCTACCAGAGGATCTAGCTCTAGGACTAAGAGCAGACCTACACTGCATGACGTCAGCAAACCTGTGCGAAGGAGGGCACGCTCTTCAGAACAAAAATAGATCGTCATCAGATGATACCCACTTCACAGAGAAAGAAACCTACACCTCCTAGAAGGTTTAGAGAGACGTCTCGGGACTCAGACCCTCAACAAAACCTCTCACCTGCGCGAAGGTCGTCTGAATTATCTTCAAGGGCGTCAACAACACCTCGCAGGTCGTCATGGGATTCACCACTTAGAAATATATTGCCAGGAAGGCAATCCCGCCCTAGAAGACGCTCACCTCCACGCAGGTCCCCATACAGATCGCCTCTTAGAACTACACGTAGTTCAACTTACTCATCTCCACACAGATCGCCACGTAGATCGCCACGTAGATCGCCACGCAGATCTCCATGCACGAAGGATATTCAACGATCATATACCAGTGGACATGATACAGAGGACGATGGCGGTATCATAATTTCGGACTCAGAGATAAAATATTGGATGGCTAATGGACTGGACCTAGCGTCACCCTCTAAGGAAGAGAATGAAGCATTTACGTACCTAATGAAGGACGATGATGTGGACACTATCACTCTACCTTCAATTGACCCGGTCTCGGACGTACCAGAGGATCTTGACGCAGCCTTTAGAAAGGCAACTAAGTTCCAGTCTCCAAATATCCCACAGTTCAACACAAAAAGCCTAAAGGACGAAGCTGCGGGAGGTAATCGGCATGAAGAAATGTGTGAAGGATCACGCACTTGACAATCATGCTCTGCAGTTTCGACGATTAATATAGACGTCATTGGACCATCCCACTTCAACCTCAGACCTTGATCTTCGTTGTGAGCCTATACGAAGGAACTCGTCAGCATGGAGGAAGAGATCTTCGCCGGCGGAAAGACTGAGGGACACGTGTTGAAGTTGAACAAGAGGGGTACTCTTGTCCGAATTCATCACCTGCGCAGATCTTCAGACTGAATCCAGGACGGGATTCACATCGTTGAGAAATTTTAGATAGATATATCTACATCAGAAGATAATAACGGGACTCATGTCCATATAGAGATCGTCACTTGCGTACAGATCTTCAGGTATTCACATTGGCGTGGTTCAGCAGCAGCCTTGCTAAGGCTATGAAGTTACAAAGTCAACATATTCCCAACGTTCAAGGTTGGGAATTCCCGCTACTTTACATGGGACCCTGCATAAAGGCTCCAGAGATTGATGTAAACTACAAAATCATCAACGACTCCCTTTGTAGAACTTACAACAAAGTTGAGCATCAAATCTACAAGGACCTGTGTATTTCAACACAAAGAGGGTAATTTACGACGCTTCATTGAGATCGATGAATGCAGTCTACAAGTAGCAGCGCTGAGGAGGTGTAGACTTCAGCTGATCATCTGTATAAAAGGATGACTGCATTATCTTCAGGTCTGAAGTAACAGTCACAGCAGCCAGGAAAACAGCCTACCTACATCGGTATTACGCTTAAATCTTTCGCGCTTACCATGCTACCCTCTATACACATGGTCACTCGTATAACTCCGGAAGCCTACGGACAAGACCGAGTGTTGATAAGATATCAACGACTGCACAAGATTCTACAAGGACCTTTTTTCTGCTACACCAGTGACGTCACATCGCGGGATGCTAAAGGAATCAAAATGCTTCATTTTGATTGGTCCATGAGAGACAACGCCCTGCGCAGAAGTCGGACGTAGTTCACATGTCAGGGAATTGTTTACAAGTGACAACAACCTTTCAACGAGGGAGGAAGGCCTCAATTACAGTCCAGTTAGACGGGAACTACGTGATTTGGCTGTCTTCACGGGGTTAGAGACCTTCCCTGTCATCATTGAAGACGATTCATCAGGCGAATTGCAGCAACATACGTTTGACGGACTTTTGATTACGGCAGCCAGTCTACTTTATATAGACTTGGCTAAAGATACAACAGATGGTATCGCAAGCTCTACTCTCTCTGTGGCCACTCCGACAGTGGCAGAGTCTGTTGGGTCTCCTCACGTCAGCACAGGATATGACGCGCAGAGGGAGATTACAACTACGCCCACTACAGGTCTTCGTAATTGCACATCCGGACGATCCGGACCCCTTCGGACTCCCGGACAGACTAAAACCATATCTACTATGGTGGACTCAGAGATCGAATTTTGCGGAGGCACCTACTTAGCAGAGCCGGAGTGCAAAACGCATCTATATGTGGACGCATCTCTCCAAGGATGGGGAGCACACCTCGACAACGAAGTGTCAGCTGGGAAATGGAAGTTACAAGAGAAAGATCTGCATATCAACATGCTAGAAATGAAAGCAGTGATAAACGCCATACTCCACTGGACCAGCATTCTATGAAATGCTCATCTAACAGTACACACGGACAACTCCACAGTGGCGTTCTACATAAACAAACAAGGGTCAACAAGGTTGGCGAACCTTCTGAACCTGTGCTTTCATCTGTTCAGCATAACAGACCATCTGAACATCCACATAAAAGCATGCCCCATTCCAGGAGCCAAGAATGTGATAGCAGACGCACTATCTCGTCCAACTCAGCCATCCCCAACAGAATTTGAAATCTTCAAACAGAGATAGGAGCGCCACTAATAGACTTGTTTGCCACAAGATTCAACAATCAACTGGTAACATTTGTCTCTCCAATACCAGATCCACGAGCATGGGCAACAGATGCTCTAAGCATCTCTTGGGAAGGACTAAACGCTTACGCGTTCCCGCCACCAGCTCTAATACCGGAAGTGTTGCAGAAAATCATGCAGACGAGGAACCTGCAACTGATTTTGATCGCGTCTTATTGGCCAGCTAGAATATGGTTCCCCATTCTCATACAAGAACTAGGACCGCCTCAACTGCAACTACCAGAGTGGACGAACTTGCTAGTACATCCACACACAAAGCAAGCACACGGCAACCCCAAGGTGTTCCGCCTACACGCATGGACCGTATTAAGGCGTGCTTGAATAAGAGAGGATATTCCGCCAGGGCAGCTAAAGCGGTCACGCTTAGCTTTACGCAAGTCAACACGCAACTTGTAATGACGACAAGTGGCTAAGCTTTGAGACCTACGCTTTGAAAACAGGCTTCACAGCCATGAAAGCGACACACACCCTCAAGTGGCGGACTATCTTTGTCACCTAGACAAACGAAGCGTTAAAAGGGTCAACACTCTCAACATACCTAGCGGCATTGAGCTCAGTTATCACTATGAGGACGAAAGTGTAAAACTGACTAAGGTACCAGAGTTACTGGCCTTACTACGCTCTTTTAAACTGGAGGACCAACAACAGAGATTTAAAGCTCCGGCTTGGGACCCTCAACATAGTTCTACGGCATCTCACCAGTGACGCTTTATGAACCATTAGATAGGACATCTTTTGAGTTCTTGACACAGAAAACTCTGTTCCTGATTGCCTTAGCAACAGCAGCAAGGATGTCGGAAATACATGCTCTAGACTTTGAAAGGACACGATTTGATGAAAATCGAAACATTGTGCATATGGGACTGAGATGGGACTTTATAGCAAAGAATCAACTGCCAGGTCAACCGACAGACAATTCCACATCCCAGCACTATCATCAGTCCTTGGGCCACAGGATACACACCTATCCTTGTGCCCAGTAAGAGCATTAAAAGTCTACCTACAAAGGTCTAGGACCAGGAGACGAAAAATTCAAGCCGCCTTTTTCATCCCTATATCGGCAGAGACACAGACTGAGATCTCTCGCACTACGATATCAATATGGATGAGAACTGTCATTCTACGGGCCTACAAAGCAGCAGGACTTGATCCTCCAAGAGCCTCCAATCCACATGAAATTAGAGCTCTGACATCAACACTCGCTCTACATGGAAACTGCTCTATCACGAGGATAATGGAGGGCTGCTTTTGGAAATCGGACATGGTGTTTGCCAACCACTACCTGAGAGACATCGCCACTGAAGACGCCTCTGGCATTCACCATTTCGCCCACTTGTTGTAGCACAACAATTGACAGTTCCACAGAGGCTTGAGACAGAGTCTCGCCCTTTATCACATGACTTGCAAAAGCCAACACTCAGGAGAGTTACAGCTTTAGAGTCCATATGCACGCCTAAGACAGACTAGCATAAGTGATAAGACCCAGTACTTGTAAGGACGCACTCAGACATAAGAAGGGTCGCTTCTCCACTTGATGCTTGCATCAAGAGATGGAGTTGCAAAAATCCACATAAAAATGTTAACAGAAGCAAGGACCAAAAGTTAACAATTGTGGTCCCCCCATCAGAGAAAGCTGGAAGTAAAGGGTTACAGCAGCAGCAGAGCCTAGCAGTAAATTGAAGTGCTACCAGGAAGTTCCCATAGGGGTATGCAAGACGAAATCACCAAATTGGAATCCAGAAGTGGCTTGACTCCACCACCAAACTGGCCGGATTCTACAAGCAATAATACATGAGTCAGGATAAGGAAAAATATGTAATTTTCTGAGTAAAATTGATATTTTATACTTATCCTGACTCATGAGGTAAGCCCTCCCAACCTCCCCCGCTTAGGCACTTTGGATTTCCCAGCAAATCTAAGTGTCGGGCTTGCAATTCGGAGAGAGTGAAGAGTGGGAAGACGGGTGGCGCCGTTTTCCCGCCAAAACGGAGAGGGAGACAACTCGTGGTGAGTAGTGATTTTATGTCTGCTTTTTTTAAGGGAGCTTCAAAAAGGAGATACAAGTGTTGCACTAACGTTCGGGAAAGGAAGGAGACAATCAATAATACATGAGTCAGGATAAGTATAAAATATCAATTTTACTCAGAAAATTACATTTTTTTGGTGCTTTTACAAATAATCTGTGTAAGTAACAGTTGTACTTGTGTAAATTGTTGGATTCATCATGTGCTATAAGATGTTTTTTCAAAGCTGTTTCCTTTTTTCATAGTTTTACATAAATCCACATAATGTCTCCCCAGTTCCAGGAATCCTCTTGTGTCTGGCTTCTACAAGATGCTGGCCGTTGCAATGAAGATTGGGAACAAACTAGACTATTTCAAGGTGGGACAGATAATAAAGGAAGAAGTGCTAGTGTTTGATGTTTTTTGATGTTGTGGAAAGGGAAAAAAAGGAACTATGTGTGCTCTTTTGTTACTCCAGATGGAGAATGTGGAAGGGGACTGACAAATAGAATAGAAAGATAAACAAACATGGGTGTTATTTTGTCATGGCTTCTCAATAAGACCTGTATGGTGTTTATTAGTCAATAGTATTCTATGAAAAGTGGTTCTATATTTGTCTCATAACATATGTACCAACATTGATAGTGTGTGGTTTCCCTCCAGAATGTGGCTCCAGTGTCTCCGGTGAAGTCTGCTGATGCCATGGATGTCGACGATGGCCCTGGGGAGGGACCCCAGCAGAAGGATGTCAGCTACCAGCTCATGATGAAGTTCTCTAAGGAGGTAACAAACCGATGGAAACTAGAACTTGATGGTTACAGAGAGCAGTCATGTTAACCATTTAAATGGGTCTTTTAAAAATCTTGAAGACCTCGGGGACTTTATATGAAGGGATACAGCTAGAAACTTTACTGGATGCATTTTACACAATTTGTATTTCATTTTGAATTTTTGGCTCCATATCTGTTCATTAAATTAATTCTTTTGTTGATGTCATCATTGGTTGGATATATTGACATATTCCTGGTCCTTGTAAACATTAACACCACAAGAACAATCCCATTTCAGATGTAAGCATTTGGAAGCATCTCTTAAAACCTGAATATTCATCTGTTTTATTCATTGTACACCTGTTAGGATTCAAATCTGTTCTACTTTAAGTTTTGCTGACCCAACAGCCATTCAGTGCAGTAAATCGGGTGTACATTTAAATGTTGTAACACTCAGATATATTGTCTGTCTTGATGTACTTTAGCAATATCCTGTTATGTTGAGGTTTTTTATATGACCACTATATTGTCATGTGAAGCTGCGATGTGTTGATGTGGTTCACATGGATACTATATTGTCATGTGAAGCTGCGATGTGTTGATATGGTTCACGTGGATACTATATTGTCGTGTGATGCTGTTGTGTTGAGGTGTTGGTGAGGATGAAGCAGTACCGTGATGACCTCCTGGCTGCCTGCCTCACCCTAATCCTTGCTCTGCCCAAGGAGATTATAGCAGAACAAATGACTGAGATTGTTCCAGCCATTCAGGTAGCAGCAAATTTAATGATAAAATTTTTGTCCAGTGTTCATGATATATAGAAGTCGTTATTTTTTTTGTCGTTTTAGCCAAATATGTTCACATAAAGTTCATTCAGGGTGCCATTGTATGAAACAATCTGTGCGCTACGACTGTCATAAGTCTATATTAAAGTATGGATCACACTAGTGCCAACATTTTGTTGGAACCAAATGGAGCCAAATGCAACCAAAAGATCCATTTGTTTTAACATGTCATTTTGAAACCTTTGTGTGTTGCTCCCAATGTCCAGTAATGTTAATTTATCTTGGATATGTCCTTTGTTACTGATAGCCAAAGAGAGTAAACTTGTTTTAGGTCTTGTTCTTAAAAATACCATCCCCCACATGTATTGTCATTATCTTCAGGTGACATTGACCTTGGGCCTGAGTTATCTCCCCTTGGCAGCTATTGGCCTTGATGCACTTGAGTACTGGAGTTCTCACCTTCCGGAGAGAATATTACACCCTCACTATAAGGACATCCTGCCTTTCCTGGACAACTACATCAGAACTGTTGACAAAGGCAGGTTTAAAGTTGCTACTGTGTTCATGTTGTTCAATAAGAAGGAGACTCTACATCCTATTTCATATGTGTCTTAATGGTACATTCTTACGAAGCAGTTGACTTGACAGCCATGGAGTCATGTGTAGCTTTTGACCCATGAATCTGAATTATCATACAGCTTGACTGAAGCTTCAACTACTGTATGTATGGTTGTTATTCGTTCTTGAGAAACGTTTTCTGGACTTTGCAGTCAGTTATTTCTCATTTATGTGACTTTGAATTAACTTTTACGCTAGCTTTCCCGTGGTTTACGCACGTGTTGCTATTCCATGGCGGGAAGTTTAGCATGCCAAGTGGTTGAAATATTGCGTTTTTAACCAAGTATTTCATGTCGCGTTGTCGCATTCACGTAATTTTCAATGTTTTGTACGTGTATATTTATGCTGTTGTGTTACGCCGTTAGCTACATGCTTGCGCGTTTGCTTTCAGGCATTTACTGGGTGTACTTCCTGCGGGCAAAATATCCCTCGCTCAGATAAGCATGATAAATGCTTATGCTGTCTGGAGAAGGCAGGGCATAACCCTGACATCTGTGAATTGTGTATGGTCTTTTCCCCTGGGCCCAGAAGAGACGGACGGCTGACTTCCTTATTTACAAGGAATTACGTGAGGCGGGAGGGGACTTGACCCAGGAGGTTCCCCTGTCCAAGGCCAAAAAGGCTAAATCTAAGTCTACTTCGCATAAGTCACACTCTCATTCTCAATCCAGTGGTTTTGATATGTCCGTTATCACACAATTGTTTCAACAGCATATGGACTCAGTGAAGTCCCTCGTTCACGAGTCTGTTGGAGGGGATCGGGGGGACCGAGAGTCGCCGAGCTCGGCTCGATCCCTTGGCCAGGCGTCTGTCGATCCTTTGCCTTTGGCTTCGGGTCAGATGCCTCGGCTCTGTGGGTGGAAGGGAGCACTGGTGACGTTTCCCCGCATGTTGTTCTTCTCCGCCAACTATCCAAAGTTCAGGCCCACCTGAAGCGAGACTCTTTACAGTCTGCCGCGTCAACGGCGATGTGCGCAGTCATGGGGATGCGCAAGCTGTGGCTGTCTACATAAAACCTCATAAACCTCATGAAATCCGACCTGGTACCCACCCAGGACTTGGTTTTTCTCGGGGTGCGGTTTACAACTCAACATGTTCTTGTCTCTTTGTCGCCCAACCAGGTCACCAGAGTACGGGAGATGCTGTCTTCGTTCCTCTCCCAGCCCCAGGCACCAGCACGGACTTGGCTCCGTCTACTGGGCCATATGGCGGCGACGATCTCTGTAGTGTGGCGGGCGCGGTTGAGGATGCGCCCTATACAGCAAGCTTTGGCGAGTCTGTGGGCTCACTCGGAGGACCTGGAGCGGAGTCTCACAGTCCCCGGGTGGTTGACACCTCACCTTCAGTGGTGGACCAATGTCGGGAATCTCACCAGGGGGATCCCCTTGGAAATCCCGACGCCAGCTCTTACAGTTCAGACCGATGCGTCCCTCACGGGCTGGGGGGGTGTTCTGGGCAGTCTGTCGGTGTCCGGACTCTGGTCCGAAGCCGAAGCCCACCTTCACATCAACGTGTTGGAACTGAGAGCTGTGCGGTTGGTTTTCGAAGCTTCGAGCATGTCCAGGGCCAGGTGGTTCGTCTTCAGTTGGACAACCAGACGGCCATGTCGTACATCCTGAAGCAAGGCGGCACGGTGTCCTGAGCGCTGCTCCGGGAGACATGGGACTTTCTCCTCTGGTGCGACCAGTGCGATTGTCAGGTACTCCCTGTTTATCTCCCGGGGCTGGAGAACGTGCGAGCAGACGCTCTCTCTTGCCGGATCCTGGCCCCGCACGAGTGGATGCTCGACAGGCAGATATTCAGAGTTATCTCCCAGTTGTACGGGTCGTTCCAGGTGGATCTGTTTGCGTCCGGCGGGACGAATCAGACACCCGTGTTCTGCTCTCGAATACCGGACCCGAGGGCGTTGGCTGCCAACGCCTTCCTGCTGGATTGGACGGGCAAAGTGCTCTGGGCGCCTCCCGCCGCTACCACTCATTCCCCGTGTCCTTTCACAGCTGTCCACCCAGCCAGCTCGGCTGCTTGTGCTACTGGCACCGCTTTGGCCGTCACAGAGCTGGTTTCGGTAATTTCAGGTTTCTGGCTCAGCCTCCTGTTCTATTACCTTTTACGACCGGACATTCTCACTCAGAACGGAGCTTCCACCCCAATCCAAGGATTCAATGGGTGGCTTGGCCTCTGTCAGGTCTAGCCTCGAGGCACACGGAATTCCTGCAGCAGTTGCAGACACAATTCTGGCTTCGAGGCGGGATTCGACTAACGTTCAGTATGAGGATAGGTGGTCCCGCTATGCGCGCTGGTTTTCAGATAAGGGGATTGCAGATCCCTTTTCTGCGGATTGAGTCCGAGTATTGGAGTTTTTGCAAGCTCGTTTGGAAGAAGGCCTGGCGGCTTCGACCATTCGTGGCTACTCCACCGCTATTTCCACTTTTCACACCCCTGTCGATGGTGCTCTTCTGGGGCAGCACCCTCTCGTACAGCGCTTTCTCGCTGGCGCGGAACGGGTTCGACCTGCGCTCAGGCGCAGGGATTTGTCAATTGTGCTCGATTGGCTGTCCGGTCCCACTTTCTCACACCTATCGGCTATTTCCATTCAGTTGTTAACTTGGAAGGCTGTTTTTCTGGTGGCGGTAACATCTGGGCGTAGGGTCGGCGATTTACATGCTATGTCGTCCGACCCGGCGCTGACTGTGTTTCACACTGATCGTGTCAGTATTCGCCTCCCGGATACGTACCGCCCGAAGGTCGATCACGCTTTCCATGTGACAGCTCCTATCGAACTTCCCACTCTTACCCAGCCTTCCACATCGGGGACCTCTGCAACGAGCACTCACCCGTTGGATGTCCGTAAGACCCTCAAAGTCTATATCAAACGAACGCAGGGAATCCGTACGGGTACCCAGCTGTTCTGTTGTTACGGTGGCGGGAAGGCTGGTGTGCCGGCGAGCAAGCAGACTTTGTCTCGCTGGCTAGTTTCGTGTATTTGTGCCGCTTATCAGGCTAAGGGCAAGCCTCCCCCTGAGGGGTTGAAGGCTCACTCGGTCAGGGCAGTAGCCGCATCAAAAGCTTTTGGATCGGCACTCCCCATTGAAGAGATCTGCTCTGCCGCTATTTGGAGCCGGCCTAGCACGTTTATTTGGCATTATCAGCTCGATACACATTCCTGTAATCGTGCGAGCTTTGGCTGTTCTGTTCTCTCCAGTGGACAGTGTCCTGCCACCCTGACCGAGTGAGTCTTGGTTTATTGGTTTTTGTTGACGCTGCTGGTCAATACTGAGTTTTATTGACATGTCCGCTAATGGGAGCTAAATAACCTCATTTCGATCCTCTACGGAGTATTTAGGTCGGTTGTGAGCGTTTTGACATTCCCCCCTACGGTGCTCACTAATCGACACAAGGTGGGTGGGGCTTTGTTTACATTTCGCACCATGTGCGACTTGATATGCGAACCTCTGAGGTCGTCTTTAAGTACAATCCTCCCTGTCAGTTCTCCTCCCACAATGCCTATCGCGGAAGCGAAAACTGGGACATGTGACAGGTGAGTGTTATGGCGTCTGTTACATTATTCAATTGACGATAGCTATTTGTATGTGCTTGGACAGAATTCCCTCCTCCCTGGCCTCCGGTCTTTGAGAGTCTGTGTTTATGCATAATATGTACCCCAAGGACGATCTCTACGAAGAAGAATTAACCAAACCTGAAGAGGTTTTCAATTCTTCGAAGAGAGTCGTCCTTGGGGTAGGGCCTCCCGCCTCCCCGCAATTCTGTTCACTGATTTATTCAGCAGAAGGAATGATGATACGGGTCTAGGAGCTTACCCAGTTGGTGCGCATGCTCAACGGGAGGTAACTCCACGAGGTGGGGGCCGTATAATAAATAAAAAAGTTTATTTATTGTACAATCTTTTTATTCAAAAACATTGATACAACTGTCACAGGACATTTTCAGCTTGGAAAATGCATAATATGTACCCCAAGGACGACTCTCTTCGAAGAATTTAAAACCTCTTCAGGTTTGGTTAAGTTTCTGCAAGCTCGTTTGGAAGAAGGCTTCGACCATTCGTGGCTACTCCACCGCTATTTCCACTTTCCATTCCCCTGTCGATGGTGCTCTAGCACCCTGTCTTGAAGCCCTTCTTAGCTGGCGTGGATCGGGTTTGACCTGCTGTCAGGCGTACCAGCCCACCTTGGGATTTGTCAGATTGGCTGTCCGGTCCTATGTTCTCACGTCTAACAGCTATTTCCATTCAGCTGTTAACATGGAAGGCCGTATTTCTGGTGGCGGTAACATCTGGGCGAGGGGTTGGCGACTTACATGCTATGTCGGCAGACCCGGCACTGACTGTGTTCCATCCAAATCGTGTCAGTATTCGCCTCCCGGATACTTACTGTCCGAAGATCGATCATGCTTTCCATGTGACAGCTCCTATCGAACTTCCTACTCTTACCCAGCCTGACATTTTCAGCCGCAGAAAATGCATATATGTACCCCAAGGACGATTCTCTTCAAAGAATTGGAAACCTCTACAGGTTTAGCTAAGTTTTTAATATACAGTAATTTCATCATATTTATGCTGGTATCACATATTTTAATGATATGTATGTAAGTATTATGTTTCATAATTTTGCTTGTCTTACCTTTTTAGGTGCTGAAGAGGTAAATGTGGACAGTACAGTAACAGTGAAATCCTCTAAATCCAAGCGAGGACGGAAGGTCACCGTGAAGAAGGTGAAGGACAAGAAAATGGCGAATGATAAGGTTTGTTTCTCAGAGGTTTTTGTACTGTCCTAAGATTATTCACTATTATTCATGCTTCATGGAATATTGGGATGAACTCTGGCTGTGACATCTGTGACTGACCCTGCCTTGGACATGAACATAAAACAATGTGACAGCCATGACTGAGATCTCAGCAGTATGAACTTGATCCTATGAAGAATATGTCCCCATGTATTACAGGGCTATGAGTCTCAGCTTGCTGTCATCAAACAGAGGGTCATGCTCTACCTGGGATCCCTTGGCGGTGGCATCAACCATGCCCTCCTGTCTCGTGCTGACGAAGAGATCAGCAAGCAGGCCATAGCCTGGGACACAAAGCAGCACCTCAAGTTTGACATGCCCTTCATTGACATGAAACCAACTATATACTTTGGTAAGCTTTCTTCATTCTCCAAAATGTCCAGAGTCAGTGAATGAGCTGTTAAGGAATGTAAGACATGTTATGCACAGTCACCTCCATTTTACCTCCTGCCTTATATTTTCATTGTAGTTCTTATTATCAATGAATGCTACAAGCATTTGTTTTAGCAGAGATCAAAGTTATTATGAAGAATAATGTATAAAATGGCAAGATAAGGCCAGACGAATTTCATTTCTTGTTTTACGGGTTTTTGTCCTCAGAAAACCTAAGGCAGGAAGGAAAAAACATAAAAATAAAAATCACCAGTCAAAGTAATATTCCTTTTAAATACTAAAAGTACTTTACTTTTGGCAATTTATGAAGTGTATATGTGGCAAAAACAATCTAAAAGCACTTTCTTGCACATTTACATTTTTGGCAAATAAATATATTCAAATTTTATTTTTTGAGCAGGGAAATATATATATATATTTTTTTCTAATTCTTGAAAAATATGACAGGCAGATCCGTAAAACAAGAAATAAAATTGGTCTGGCCTAATTGAAAATTTACAAGTTTAGGTTTGTTTATGACAGTTATGAAGAATTGGCCCAATGAAGAGACAGTTACCGAACTTAAAATAACAGAAGCAAGATTGAACCATGTGTTCATTTTTTCACATATAGCATACATGTGGTGAATAGTTATGCTGTGTCAATCTCAATTTACTCACTAACATTAGCAACCCTGGTTCGAAGCTCTCCTCTTACCAAAGTTATCTGCCCCTAGACCAGTTCCTGCCTCACGTGGTTGAGCTGGCCACCAAGTCCGGGGACCGGCAGACCAAGGTGGCAGCTTGTGAGCTCCTCCACTCCCTGGTGCTGTACACTCTGGGCCGGGGTGCCAGCCTCCCGGGGGACAAGCAGAAGAAGATGCCCATGGACCGACTGTACAAGAAGCTGTTCCCCTCCATCCTACAGCTGGCCTGTGACGTGGAGCTGGTGAGACTGACACTGTAACCAATATGTCTGTGAGCTTTAGTCCATGTTATTGTAAGTAGTGTATGGTATGATTTTTGCCACTTTTAGCAATATTCCAGCAATATTGTGGCGGGAATAACAGAAATGTTCTGCCAACATTCTACCCATGTGGGGAATGAAATCCAGATCTTTGGCATGATGAGCAAAAGCTTTGACCACAAGGCTACCCCACCGCCCAGTTATAATTAGTAATGGTTTTCTTGTTAGTCATTGATGTCTGTGAACTTTTATCATCGAAACCTGGCTTTGATAGGACATATGAGTGAGATATCTCCAAGGAGATATTGCTACGATGTAATTGCATTGCAATGCTTTGCGGACCACTGTGACATCATCACTTACCATGATGCCAGAATGAAATGACATCACTACTCTCTGTGCCACTGAAGCTGGCTAGCTATTCTCGAAACGTTCGTAGCCCTACAAACTTCTTAAGCCCATTCTTAACGCACTGGCTACGATCAAAGTTAAGAATTCTTAGAGCTACGAACGTTTCGAGAATAAGAGCCCTGGTTAGCTGTACTTTTCCACTCAATACACTACCCCAAATTATTAACAAACTGAAAAAGTTGGAAGTATGATGTGGGATGATAAACAGCATCTCACTCACTTTTGTTGATATACATCAAGACATTTGGTTTAGCATCTCTATATGGAATACACCTTCCAACAGGTAGAACTGTTTATGTGTAGATGCCTTCATTAATGATAGTGTCTATAATTTTGTGTCCCCTCACATATGTTGCTGAACAATAATTTGAAGAGAACCATTTCTAGACAGAATTATATATTGGTATGAACAAATCAGGACTTATGTAGCAGCTAAGGGACAGGAATCATACTATGATTATTATTTCACTGAAATCCGTATTTGTTGTAATTGAGGTGACAAGTTTGTTATTTGATTGACATGTAAATTTTCAGATCTAATCAACGTCTCTGTGTGTTTCTCTTACAGGTAGCCAGGCAGTTGTTTGAACCCCTGACCATGCAGCTGATCCACTGGTTCACCAACAACAAGATGTCGGAGAGTGTGGAAACCATGGCACTGCTTGATACCATCTATGTAAGTCTGAAGCATGTTACATGCCAAGTGAAGATCCATGTGAGAATTGGTCTTCAGCAACCCATGCTTTAAGAAAGAGGAGAGGAACAAGATGGCGTCAAGCTTGCTGCTTGTCCTTTATCCCTGTTGCATTGAATGATTCTTACGTGAATCACTGGAATGTCTGGTCCAGGCTTGATTATTTGCAGACTGGCCTTGTATCGATGGAATATTGCTGTGGGCTGTCTTAAACAATGAATGAATTTATGTGTGACAGCTTGTATGTCTGTCTGTGACCAAAGTCACAAACACGAATCCCAATTGTACTAAGCTCTGCTTATAATATCCCATATCATACCAAAATCCACTTCCACAATAATACTGACAAAAAGGTTTGGACAAGCAGACTCATAAGTGTTTTAACAGGTTGGCTGTTTTCATGGCTCTTTATTTGACATTGCTGACTTGAAGCTGTTGTTTGTCTGTAGAAACTTGATGATGAGTTTGTGTTTGGTTCTCTTCCTTTAAACTTGTTATTGAATTGATGGATAGATTCATGTCTTTGTCATCTGTAACAGGAGGGCATCATTCAGGCGACAGACACGGCTCTCCGGGACTTCAGTGCCCGTTGTCTGCGGGAATTTATGAAGTGGTCCATCAAACAAACCAAGAAGGTTGGTACCATTTAGTGAGGCTTTCAGTTCACATCAACTTCACCTTTCAAGATACGGGTGAGAATTGGTCTTCAGCAACCGATACTTTTAGAGGACACAAACAGGATCGGGTGGTTCGGGTCACCGACATGGTTGACACATATCATCATATCCCAATTGCGTAGAACAATGTTCATGATGTCAATCACTGTATTATCTGGTCCAGACTTGATTATTTACAGACTGCTGTTATTTAGCTGGAAAATTGTGACAAACAAAACTCCAATGGATTCTTCAATGGAGAAAACTTGTAATATCAATCACTAGTTATCTAATCCTGGGCCCCGTTTCACAAAGCTATTGTAGTGCTACGACTGTTGTACTTCCTTTACTGAAACATAGACTCACGGCAGTCGTAGTGCTACAATAGCTTTGTAAAACGGGTCCCAGATTCTTATCTTCTCTGTATATCAGTTGCATTAAACACAAAACAACTGAAATTCAGAAAGGAGTCCATTGTTTGAGATTTGTATTATTGGAGAAGTTTTGCCAATCAGATTGTATGTTATTATAATGATACCCTGCTTTTTGAATAAAGTTCAAGAGAACATTTGTATTTTTTCTCTCCAGGGCATGGAGAAGAGTGCTGTAAATGCTAAGTCAGTGTTGAAGCGTATGTTCAGTTTTGCCATACATCCAAGTGCCTTCAAGAGACTTGGAGCTGCTCTCGCATTCAATAACTTCTATGCAGTGTTCAGGTAGGTGATTCAAAGGAGCACAGTTGAAGAACATTATGTCACACATTTCAGTTCAAAGCAACTTAACAGTATACTTTAGATAATTGTAACAAGAAAACAAGATTCAATGAAATGTACCAAATAATGAATATTGAATATTTTTGGCAAGGTTTTGCCACTGTAATGAAAACATGGTAACTCTGCAAAGCTAGACATTTGGAACTTATGTGAAAAATTGTAACCAGCATGTGTGTTTCTTGTTTTATAAGCTGTTATGAATATCTATGCTTTTTTCAGAAAGCATTTAAAAAAATATGAACGATTTCACTTGGACATGATATGGAAAGAACCAAACCTAAAATTGCTTCTTTGACTTAATTGAAGAATCTGATATTTGAAGTTTGGTGACGTAGTGATGAGTTGTCGACTTTAAGCACAGCTTCCTTTGTCCCCCAGGGAGGAGCATGCCTTGGTGGACAGGTTCACTTTCCAGATCCTGGTGCACTTTGTGGAGAGTCTCAGTATTGCACACTCAGACCAGGCGTCTCTTGGTGAGGTCGAATCACAGACTTTGTTCTTTTTTCAATTTGCTTTTCACTTTTATTTTATAAAGAATCCATTGAAAGTTTTATCATCTGAAAGGCATAAATTCAAGCTGTTATACTTGATCAAAATATGTTCTAACTTTTGTAAGACTTTCTTGTTTTGTGACATTGTCATGATCCTTGTGTCAAAGTGACATTCATTTTTATTGTGAACAAAATTGCAATATGTGTTCCAATAAAGGAGTGGTGATATATTTCACTTTGATTTCTTAGAACTTGTCTTCAACAGCCCATGCTTAATGTAAGAGGCAAATAATGGGATCAAATGGTCAGCATCACTGACCGATGCTCATGATGTTAATCACTGGATTGTCTGGTCCACTCTCGATCATTCACAGAAGCTGTCATTTAGCTGGTATAGCACAACATCAAACAACAAATGAAAAACATGCATTTTCCTTAGAATTTTGAAAATTGTATGTTTAGTTTATAATAGATTAAGAATTGTCTGGTGCTAGGAACATTTTATTGTCAAAGTGATACTTGATGAAGGTACAAGGGAACAGTGTGCTAAAGCTTTGGAACATCTGGAGAAGATCATCAAAGGTCATGTTGACATGTTGAAAAAAGAAAGCAAGCAACGAGAAGAACCAAGGTACAACATGATTTATCTTTCTGAGTTGTAAACCAACATCTTCCACTGCCTTTGTTACTTTTTGGTACTGGAGAACAAAAGAAAACATTTAAGTGTGGAAACTAATGAAGTATAGACACTGTTGATGTGTAGACATTGTTGCAGAATAGCACTGGTTGATATGTAGGGACCGTTTGAGTAGACATTGTTGAAGAATAGCACTGGTTGATATGTAGGGACCGTTTGAGTAGAGATTGTTAAAGTATAGGGTCTGTTGAAGTAATGGGACTGTTTAAGTGAAGGGAATGTTGAAGAATTGGGACTGTTCAAGTGAAGGGATTGTTGAAATATAGGGACTTTTGAAGCACTGGTACAGTTGAAATATAGGGACTGTTGAAGCATTGGGACTGTTGATGTGTAGGAACTGATAAAATGTAGATAGATTATTACTGATAGGACTGATACATATTTGGGCTGTTGAGGATGTAGCTAAGGATATTGATGTGGATTAGTTGCCAATCTCTGGTCTTTGTCAGGGAATGGAGCAAGAAGACTCTGGACATTGCTGTGCGCTGGCTGACCAGGCAGTGTGGACGTCCGCAGACAGACTGCAGACATTCCTGCATGAAACTCGTGGTCAGTCTAGCACCACTGATTCCAGGTCAGTCCATCATGGTCAATGTCTAGATTCATAGAAGTATTGCTGCATCTCCATGGCGATACCAGTAGAAATTTGTCTTCAGCGACCCATGCTTGTCATAGGTGTCCCCTAACGTGACTGGGAGGTCAGCCTCGCTGACTTGGTTAGTGCATGTTATTGTATCTCAATTATTTACATAAATGCTCAGGATGTCAACCATGGTCCAGATGTAATTACTTACAGATGGGCATCATATAGCTGGTATATTTAAAATTAAAGAAATCCTTGTATGAATGGAATGAAGATGTGAGAATGAGTCATGGTGACGTGCATAAACATGAGGCTGCACATCCTATTTCTTGATATATGTATTTAAATATTCTGCTTGGTAGACGACAATTAAAATAAAAGTAAAGTTGTTGGAATCACTACATAAAGGTACTGCCTGAGCTAGGTCTGTTTTGACATCTTGTTTTGAAAATATGTGAGGTACTGTAAACTAGTTTTAACATTGTATATGAACATTGTGATGTTGGTATGATGTGTTTGTCATGGTATATTGATGTTTGGTCATGTGACAGTGTTAAGGCATTCTGTGTTACTGTGTATATGCAGGTATCAAGGCCGCTAAGACCTACTTCCAGACCTTTCTCAAGTCCAAGGAAGGGCCACTCTATTTTCTGTCCAGGTAGGCTTATGGTTGATACTTGTGAAGATCCTTGTTAGAATTGGTCTTCAGCAACCCGGACCCATGCTTGTTGTAAGAGGCAACGAATGGGATCGAGTGGTCAGGCTCACTTACTTGCTTGACACATGTCATCGTATCCCAGTTATGTAGATCAATGCTCATAATGTTGATCACTGGATTGTCTGGTCCAGACTTGATTAATTACAGACCACCACCATATAGCTGTAACATTGCTGAGTGGGGCATTAAACACCAAACCAACTTATGGGTTGATCACTGGCATACACAGTCACTTGCAAGTGTTTGAGGGAGGCAATCAGGCCAAGTATGGCAAGATGGGGGCAGAATGTAGTTCTAGCTTGTGACCTGTGTTGATGCAGGTTTGAGGGAGGCAACCAGGCCGAGTATGGCAAGATGGGGCAGAATGTAGTTCTAGCTTGTGACCTGTGCTGATGCAGGTTTGAGGGATGCAGCCAGGCCGAGTATGGCAAGATGGGGGCAGAATGTAGTTCTAGCTTGTGACCTGTGTTGATGCAGGTTTGAGGGAGGCAACCAGGCCGAGTATGGCAAGATGGGGCAGAATGTAGTTCCAGCTTGTGACCTGTGTTGATGCAGGTTTGAGGGAGGCAACCAGGCCGAGTATGGCAAGATAGGGGCAGAATGTAGTTCTAGCTTGTGACCTGTGTTGATGCAGGTTTGAGGGAGGCAACCAGGCCGAGTATGGCAAGATGGGGGCAGAATGTAGTTCTAGCTTGTGACCTGTGTTGATGCAGGTTTGAGGGAGGCAACCAGGCAGGCAAGATGGGGGCAGAATGTAGTTCTAGTTTGTGACCTGTGTTGAAGCAGGTTTGAGGGAGGCAACCAGGCCGAGTATGGCAAGATGGGGGCAGAATGTAGTTCTAGCTTGTGACCTGTGTTGAAGCAGGTTTGAGGGAGGCAACCAGGCCGAGTATGGCAAGATGGGGGCAGAATGTAGTTCTAGCTTGTGACCTGTGTTGATGCAGGTTTGAGGGTATGGCAAGATAGGGGCAGAATGTAGTTCCAGCTTGTGACCTGTGTTGATGCAGGTTTGAGGGAGGCAACCAGGCCGAGTATGGCAAGATGGGGGCAGAATGTAGTTCCAGCTTGTGACCTGTGTTGATGCAGGTTTGAGGGAGGCAACCAGGCCGAGTATGGCAAGTTTGGGGCAGAATGTAGTTCTAGCTTGTGACCTGTGTTGATGCAGGTTTGAGGGAGGCAACCAGACCGAGTATGGCAAGATAGGGGCAGAATGTAGTTCCAGCTTGTGACCTGTGTTGATGCAGGTTTGAGGGAGGCAACCAGGCCGAGTATGGCAAGATGGGGGCAGAATGTAGTTCTAGCTTGTGACCTGTGTTGATGCAGGTTTGAGGGAGGCAACCAGGCCGAGTATGGCAAGATGGGGCTGTCTAGCTGCCCCCTGATGGAGGACATCACGGACACATTCTCCGTCTCGGCTGCTGTCAGCTGGTTCGACATGCTCCTGGCTGCACTGGACTGCTACACCTGGGTCTTTGGGGAAGGCTTCCTAACACCAGAAGAATTGTTTGGAGGTGTGATGATGAGAATTCTTTCTTTGTCTCGGAAATTTGTAGGCTCTTGTACTCGGGTTAGAATATTGATCTTCAGTAACCAATGCTTGTCGTAAGGGGCGACTAGCGGGATCGGGTGGTCAGGCTCGCTGACTTGGTTGACAAGTGTCATTGGTTCCTATTTGGGCAGATCGATGCTTATGCTGTTGATCACTGGATTGTCTAGTCCAGACTCGATTATTTACAGACCGCCACCATATAGCTGGAATAGTGCTGAGTGCGGCGTAAAACTAAACTCACTCACTCTCTCACTCACAAAATGTTTGAGCCTCTCTTATATTTGAAACTTTTAAAATCTTATTCCATTAATAGCCATTGCACCATGCAAGCACTACATGGGACATTGTATGAATAGGAGTGGATCATGTTGGCGCATTCATAAATATATATAGGAAATTACGAGTATATCTTTGCATGGCAACACATGCAAAACTACAAACAAAGTAGGTTTTTTAAAAAGAAAATATAGTGCTTCCATCACTCACTGAAGTGAGCTATTATTTTTGTGTTATGTTACAGTTGTTTTGAATACTACAGATCGGAATAATGAGAAAGACCAAAGTGTTTTGAAAATTGATTGCTATTGGTACCAATATAATAATGCAGTAGTCACTGTCAGGCTGATGATAATAATAAGAAAGCTGTTCATGGATGACTTGCACTGGATCAGGTCTTAGGGGCAAATGTCATCTGATGGCTTTTGTTTAAGCTTGTGATGTGGCAGGTTTGCAAATGTAAAAGATTATGTTTCTAAAAAAATCCAACTTGCGGTGAATTGTGACAAATGCGATAAAAAATGCTGATTTTCATTCTGTAACTTAAGATCCTAATCATCTCCAGGTATTCCTCCATGCCTTATTTTAGATTGGAATCTTGGTTATTTCTTCATAACCAATGACTGATTCAAATTGTTATCTAACAGACCACATGTGTCAATGTGTTTGATACCTCCTTGGTGAGGATAGTTTGCCATTCCTTCATATTATGTCTGTATTACTTCAGTACTTCAGTGTGACTGAGGGGTAGCCTAGTGGTTAAAGCGTTCACTCATCACACTGAAGACCTGGGTTCGATTCCTCACATGGGTACAATGTGTGAAGCCCATTTCTGGTGTCCCCCATCGTGATATTGCTGGAATATTGCTAAAAGCGGAATAAAACCAAACTCACTCACTCAGTGTGATCGATTGAACCCATCATTGTGTGTGTTTCAGGCAAATCCCGGTCTCATGTATTCTCCAGTATCCAGTACTTCTGTGAGAAGCTAGCCCTGGCTGACATCCAGGCAGCCTCCCAACTGTTCAAGCATCAATCAACAGCAGACTTCTTCACCCCCAGGGAAACAGATGACTACAACAGGTACTGGACACACATATATGTCACTGAAGAAATTCTGAATAAGACATTAGGGATATCCTAGCTGCTTACTAATATGACTGAAGTTAGTGGGTGATTTTACATTGTGAGTAATTTTATCCTTTCTGCTTGCAAGGGCCAAGTGCACAGTGATGGTCAGAGTGTGGAACCTGCTGACAGTCATGTATGGAGCCCATGCCAAGCATGCTGCTAAGGTATGGGATAACCAAGTCTACATCGATTGAAGATATGTCAAATATTTGTCAGCAATGCTCTGTTAACTTTGTTGTGTATGTTGAAGTGTCTGCTGTGTAGATGTATGGTACATTTCACCCATGTTCAATATTGTTGTGTATATTCCAGGTAATCCCTGAGTCAATGCTGAACCAGTCCCTGTGGGCGCTGCTATGTAGATGTGTGGTACAACCCAGCCATGTTCAATATTGTTGCGTATATTCCAGGTAATCCCTGAGTCAATGCTGAACCAGTCCCTGTGGGCGCTGCTATGTAGATGTGTGGTACAACCCAGCTCGGTCGGCTTCAATATGGGAGATATTGAAATCATGAACAAACTGCCAAAAGAGGTAAGTTGTGTGGTTGTTCATGGTAATTCCAGATATGGTATACGACATTTACCTCCATCATATTTCAGACTGAGAGACTTTAAGCTGATCTGAGTTTATCTAATGTTTTTTAATAATATGTGTAATTAATTTTCAAATGTGATGTATTTTCCCATATATTTTCTGCAAATATGCAGCTTTTCTGAATTTGTGTTTGTATCATTCTGTCAGTCTGTGTGCCACATTTAAGGTGCATGCTCATAACATGATGAAGAAGCTAGGGAATTCAATGTCTTTTCAAGAAAGAATATGATGCAATCATTTTGACATGTCGTAACTGAATAATGTCCGAAGAAAAAAATAATAAGTCTGCGACTTATTATGCAAACTGCAGATGGAGCAGGTGCTTGTAGTATTCAAGCAGTTCCTTCCTCCCAACCACCTGAAACAGTTCAAACTGACACTTGGAGAACAACTCAAGGGAGACAGGTGGGTGGTCATCAGGACTTTTGGAAAATATTCATCACTGTACATCATTATTATTCTAGGATATTTCTATAGCGCACATATCCATGCAACTAGTACATGCTGAAGGCGCTGGTACATTCAAATGTTAGAAATTGTTGTATGTGCTTATTCAAAGATCTTCAAAGTGAGGATAAGTTGAGATCATATGAATGTATGGCATAGTTATTAAAGGCACAGATGTATTGTTTGAACTATTGTGCTTATATCAGTGTCATCTTGATGTAGGAACCCATGAAGATCTGGGTTAGAATTGATCTTCAGCAATGCATGCTTATCGTAAGAGGTGATTAATGGGATCGGGTGGTCAGGCTTGCTGACTTGGTTGACACTTTCATCATATCCCAATTGCGTAGATCAATGCTTGTGCTGTTGATCACTGGATTGTCCAGTCCAGACTGGAATATTTACAGACTGCTGCCATATAGCTGGGATATTGCTGAGTGTGATGTTAACAAACGAACACATCTTGATGTGGGAGGATATGCCTGAGTGATGAAGGTCATTGGCATTTTCTGCTTTTGTAAAAATACAGGCATATAGAAGTGATGTTGAAAATCTGAATCAGGGTGAAGTGGGATTGAGGTCATGGCCATTTGTTTCTGAAACATCTGATGCATAGTCTTTGTGTGAAGGAATAGTTCATACAGTATCTAAGTGTACTCCCTTATTATTCCTTTGACGTGCATGTATTTGTGTACTGATAGTATGAAGTATGTTGTTGTAGAGACGTGGTGGGGTTGTTGCCGCTGTCGTTCACCGATGCCGGTGTTGACCACACAGGTGTCCAGCAGCTGGTGGCCGGGTACACGCAGCTACATAAACATGGCCTGCTGATGGAAGCAATCAAACATGGCGGAGATGCAAACAAACTGGCCAAGAAGGTCATGCAAAATGTGTACCAGGTGAATATGCTCATGATTTGTTTACCTGGGCCAAAGCGTCGTGGCGCAAAATTGATCGTAACTCCCATACTTTAACATAGACTTACGACTGTTGTAGCGCTACGATCGCTTTGAGGAACGGGGCCCTGGCCATAGTATTGTTACATGAAACATGATAATCGCCAATTAGTGGATAGAAAGTTCTGTTTGTTATCATTCGTGACATTTATTTGTGTTTGTAGGGAGTCATACAGAAGACAGGCAGCCAGAACTCATCTGTCAGCCTCACACCGACAGCCCTCTCCCTGGCTAGATCTCTCCTCCAACTGGCCTTCCAGCTGGGTCTGCCGGTAAGTGTTGTGCCCTCTCCCTGGCTAGATCTCTCCTCCAACTGGCCTTCCAGCTGGGTCTGCTGGTAAGTGTTGTGCCCTCTCCCTGGCTAGATCTCTCCTCCAACTGGCCTTCCAGCTGGGTCTGCCGGTAAGTGTTGTGCCCTCTCCCTGGCTAGATCTCTCCTCCAACTGGCCTTCCAGCTGGGTCTGCCGGTAAGTGTCATACCTTCTCCCTGGCTAGATCTCTCCTTCAACTGGCCTTCCAGCTGGGTCTGCCGGTAAGTGTTGTGCCCTCTCCCTGGCTAGATCTCTCCTCCAACTGGCCTTCCAGCTGGGTCTGCCGGTAAGTGTCATACCTTCTCCCTGGCTAGATCTCTCCTTCAACTGGCCTTCCAGCTGGGTCTGCCGGTAAGTGTCGTGTCCTCTCCCTGGCTAGATCTCTCCTCCAACTGGCCTTCCAGCTGGGTCTGCCGGTAAGTGTTGTGCCCTCTCCCTGGCTAGATCTCTCCTCCAACTGGCCTTCCAGCTGGGTCTGCAGGTAAGTGTTGTGCCCTCTCCCTGGCTAGATCTCTCCTTCAACTGGCCTTCCAGCTGGGTCTGCCGGTAAGTGTCATACCTTCTCCCTGGCTAGATCTCTCCTCCAACTGGCATCCCAGCTGGGTCTGCCAGTAATTGTTGTGCCCTCTCCCTGGCTAGATCTCTCCTCCAACTGGCCTTCCAGCTGGGTCTGCGGTAAGTGTACCTTCTCCTGGATGGACCTCTGGCCCAACTGGCCATCTATCTGGGTTTGCCGGTAAGTGTTGTGCCTTCTGGAACTCTCCATCAACTGGCCAGGTAAGTAGCGAAATAGTTGCAGTTCTTGTCTTTTATTTTAGAAAATTGGGCATTTGTAACACCAAGTCCATATTTCATCTTGGAAGACGTCATAGCAGTAATGAGCTCTTTACATCCAAGGCCTTACTAAGAATAGTTTGGTTCAATTTGGAGTACCAGCATAGAGGTTTTGAAGTATGATTTCAATGCAAAGGATTCACTGACCGGTACTCCAGTTTTTACTTCAGATCTATGTATGCTAAATTAACACCAAATTAACACCTGACAGGATGACAGTCTGGTTGAATCACTCTTGGAGAGCAAGTTTGTGCTGGGACTTAGCCAAGGTTTGGAGCAGAGTCATGGGGACCTGTTCTTCACGATGTTCAAAACACCCATCAGCGCCCACTTAGCTGAGAGAGCAGACGAGATACTGGTTCTCCTGGCCAAGCATGCAGCGACTGAGCCTCGCAGAGTGAGCAGTCTGTTGGTCAGCATGGTGGATCACGTGGTCAAGGACAGGGCACTCCGCAAAAAGTAGGTTGTCTTTCGTTGAGGTCAGATTTTGCAAAATGGTTGAGTAGGGAGGAAGGACATCATCACCACCATCATCATTGGTCTAGGCTGGCCTAGTAATCTAAGGCACCACACCATGATGGCACAGCTAGGTTCTCTTCTGTATGACACACTATGAAAGATCAATTCCAGAACCAATCAAAATTTAGAAGTTTTTCAAAGCACAAACAGGTCTCAAATTATCACCACTTTTTTTAACCAACAAGCATAGACATCATGCTGACAAACCTAGAAATATACTTGAAGCAAACTGGCGTTAAAACCCTAAATCATAGGCTTTCGCATGCCCAAGTACGTAGTTCTGAATAACGAATTACGGTGCCTGAAGTGACTGGGGCAACCATGTCCCCATTGTGGATTTGAACCTGGTACCTCATTCACACCATTAAATCCTGGTCCTGGAGTTATGTTTGTGTTCCAGGGAGGGTGAACGTGTGCTGTCTGCCATCCTGATGCAGTGGGAGCGTTTCCGGCCGTGGGTGTTCAACAAGGCCACAGCTGACCAGCAGGAGGTGATCATCATGCTGCTGACTAAAATGCTGCAGGTGGACAGTAAAGTGAGTGTGTACATGTAGCCTGGCTTAGTGACATGGTGAACTGGATACATACAGAATACTCCACTCCTAGCTAGGTATAATTTTTTCCTAGTGTTCTATGGTATGTGTCAAACAATCATCTAGCTAACCGACTATGTCTGTGAGCATTTAAAATGTCCCAGTAATACTGAAATATTACCTGAGTTTCAACAGAAATGATTCAGTTAACTTGTATCTGTACTTATTTATGTTTTCATTTAATCCAGTAATTACTATCTTCAAGTATCTGTATCTACACAGGACCCATGAAGGTCCGGGTTAGAATTGATCTTCAGTAACCCATGCTTGTCGTAAGGGGCTGACTAACAGGATAGGGTGGTCAGGCTTGCTGACTGGGTTGACACATGTCATTGTATCCCAGTTGCGTAGATTGTTCATTGTTCATGCTGTTGATCCCTGGATTGTCTGGTCCAGACTCAATTATTTACAGACCACCGCCATATAGCTGGAATATTGCTGAGTGCAGCGTAAAACTAAACTGACTCACTCACTGTATCTACACAGTATCTAGTCATGTCCCTGAAAACAGACTGCAGAGTGTAGATCCCTATTCCTACCTTCATATGGTGCCTATTCTTACATCTATATTGTGTCTATTCATACCTCCACCTGGTGCTTGTTCCTGCCTTCTTATAGTGCCCATTCTTACCTCCGTGTGTTGCCTGTTTCAGCTGGCCTCGGATACATCACACCCAGCGTACACCACCATGTTTGAGATGTATGTGACCATGTTGACAGACAGCAGGACCAACTTGGCCTTTAAGGTAATGGCATGAAGGCACAATTCATAATATATAGAAATGTCCAAGTAATGAAATATTGTCAATAAAAGTATGAGATATATTTGTATGTCATCTTTGTTTTCAGAATCGTGTGTTGGATTTGCTCCCGTTCTTCTCTGTTGTTGGTGAACCCCACATATCTAACCTCAAGTAAGTGTGGTTCAGATAAGACACATAGTCAGCCATTGTACTCACCCCAAAGGTGAGGTTAAATTTGTACCAGGCCACTGATGCTGGTTGTAAGAGATCATGAAATGGATCTGTGCAGACAACAACAGACAAGCAGGCAAGAGTTTAGTCAAACCAATTTGGTCAGCACAATCTTTATAGCTAGCATTCTTTTTCAGAGAGATCGTCCTTGGGGTACATATTATGCATTTTCCGGCTGAAAAATGTCCTGTGACAGTTGTATCAATGTTTTTTGAATAAAAAGATTGTACAATAAATAAACTCTTTTATTTATTATACGGACCCTACCTCACGGAGTTACCTCCCTTAGCGCATGCGCACCAACTGGGTAGGCTCCTAGACCCGTATCATCATTCCTTCTGCTGTCACTGCCGTGAACAGACATGTTTATAAAAACGCACTTCATGAGCCGGACAGCGCTGAAAGCTACTAAGAAAGCTATGTCTGAGACACCACCTGTATGTATGGTCTTTATTTGCCTAAAACAAGGAACAGTAAAGCTTTACAGTTGGTTGTTTCATAATTGTGACTTTGTATTAATACAAAATACGCTGAACTTTCCCGCGGTTACGCGACGCGTTGCTCTGCCATGGCGGGAAGTTTAGCGTGCCATGTGGTCGTATTATTGGCGCATTAAAACCAACTATTACTTTCCGGTGGGTAACCTTCACGTGAAGTTTTTCAATGTTTTCTACGTGTTTATATGCTGCTGGTCACCGCTAACTAACATGTTTATGCGTTTTTTTCAGGCCTTTCATGCTGTTCGGGTCTGTGAGGGGAGTATCCCCGGGCCGACAGTCATACTTGAAGTTAGCGCGGGCCTGTCTGGAGAAGACAGGCCATGAGGCTGACTCCTGCACTATTTGTCTGGCCTTTTCCCCGGCCCAGAAGAGGCGGGCTGCCGACACCTTGTTCTATCGCTAAATGCGTGAGGCGGAGGGGACCTGACGCAGGTTCCCCCGCCTAAGTCCAAACGCAGTGTGTCAAAAAGGGAAAAAATCCCGCGGCCCTTCCCCTCTCCTGCCACTTCGAAAGTGGTTTTGACATGTCACTGATGGAGTCTATGTTTCAGCAGCAGATGGACTCGATGAAGTCCTTCGCTCGTGAGTCGGTTGGAGGTCTCCGGCAGGAGTTCCTCACCCACCCGGATGGGGGCGGAGAGTCCGGGTGGGATCGCCGGCTCGCTCGATCCCCTCGCCTTGAGGGCGCCTGTAGATCCGCTGCCTCTGGCTTCGATCCGGACGCCTCGGCTGCCCGAGAGAGGGAGGTGCTCCCAGTCCCCTCGAGGGAGCTCGCCACAGGCGGCCGCTGAGTATTCCTGGTATTCCGTCCTTGCGCACACCCGCCCCATGAGAGCCGAGGCACCAGTTCTGCCTGGCCTGCCTCCAGCGCCTCGGGACCGGGTCCACGACGCCGGGCTGGCGCTGACGGAGGAGCAGTCTGTCTGTTCTTCCCTTCCTGTGGTTCCTAGCGCTAGGGCAGTCCACCGGGTCGGGGTTAGGGTCCTCTTACGGAGGAGACCCAGCCTCTGACTCGGGCTCGGACGCCGAGGCCAATGGAGCTTGGGAGGTCGAGGAGCATGACGGCGGCTTCCGCTTTGCTTCGCCTTGGCGGGAGGTCCGGGCAGAGAATTGCCGAGGGCCTACCCCAGGCCGCGGTGCCTGCTGGTTGCGTGGACTCGACTGAGTTCCGCTTTGCCTGGCGAGGGCGCTTGCCCCTAGGCAACCCTCACAGACGCAGCTCCGCGATTCTGCCATCGCTGGTCTCGGACGTGGTCGATCCCCTCTTGTCTGGTGCCCGAGTACGGTTTGACTTACCTGAACTCGTGCGGCGGCGCCACCAGCTTGGGGAGGATTCCCCTGTTCGTTGTACCACCATTGTTGACGCAATGTGTTTTCACTTCCGCCGCCTCTGGGGAGGCTCGGCTTCCTCCGAGCAGCTCCGCTGCTCGGCAAGGGCTCTTAACTCCACCTTTTGCCCTCGCTGGCGCCCCTGCGCACGCTGCACTGACCTACGAGGAGGTCTACCGGAACGCCGATGCAGCAGGTGCGGGTGGTGGTCCATGAGGCCTACCTCTCCTCGGTTCAGAGGTCGGCCCTGGAGGCGGAGGGGCATGCTGGCAACATGTCGCCGCATGTCGCGGCTGCTCCGCCAGCTGGAAGTGCAGGCTCACCTCGCTAGCGACTCTTTGCGGTCTGCTGCGTCCGACGGTGATGTGCGCAGTCATGGGGATGCGCCGGCTGCTGGGCTGTCGACGCCTAGGTACTCGGGCAGCAACACAGCAGACCTTGCTGGCCCTCCCTTTCCGCCTGGGAGCCACCCTCTTTCCAGGGGCCCAGCAGGTCATACAGGAGGCTGCCGCTGCAGCTACCTCCTTCAAGGACTCTAAGGCCTTGTTGGAGCACCCGCTGGTGTCTCAGCCCGCCTCCCCGCGCCACCTTCCTCCGCCGGGTGCAGCCTACACCCGAAGTCTGCCGGGCTGGCTTCGCCGCTTGGTAGGGGTAGGCGGAGGAACAGGTCCGCCCAAGGGTAGGGGCAAGGAGCAGTCCCTCGACTAGCTCCCAGCCTTTCAAGGGCGCTGGGAGGTCTGCCCCGACCTCCCGCTTAACCCATCAGGCTGCCGCCAAGCCGCAGGTGTCACGCCCAGTCAGCTCCGCTTACTGGTCTACACACGCCAGCCCTACCCCATATCCCAGTGGGAGGTCGCTTCTCTATTCCTGCCGGAATGGGAGAAGGCTACCAACAACGCTTTGGGTGCTGGCCACGGTCAGCATAGGCCATCTCCCACTGTGGAAGCGAGGTCCGCCGACTTCACCGCATACGCCGCGACTCGTGCCGCCATGTCAAGCCAGGGCGGACATATTGCGCGACGGTTCAGGCTCTGCTGGACAAGTCCGCAATCGAAGCGCATTCCACCGGGAGAGAGAACAGGCGGGATTTTATTCCACGACTTCCTCGCCCCGAAGAAAGACGGCGGGTTCCGGCCCGATTCTCAACCTCAAGGGGTTGAATCGCATGCTCAAGCACCATCCTTCAAGATGGAGACACTGCGCCGGGTGATCTCATCTGTTCAGCCCGGCGATTGGCTCACGCCAATCGACCTAAAGGATGCGCGATTTCGTGCATGTACCCATACATCCATCGCTCAAGCAGTACCTTCGGGTTCTCTTACGACGGGATGTATTACTCAATTCAGGGTGCCCTTCGGCATATCGACTGCCCCAAGGGTGTTCACCAAGCTCATGTTAGTCCCAGCTACCCTAGCTCGCCGCGCAAGGAAGGCGCGTTACCCTTACCTAGACGACTGGTTGCTCGAGCACTAACACAGCCAGCGAAGTCAAGATGCTACTCACACAGTGATAGACATTCTAACTCGACTGGGGTGGATCATCAACCTCAAGAAATCCGACCTGGTACCCACCCAGGACTTGGTTTTTCTTGGAGCGATTCCAAACGAACAAGGATCTCGCTTCCTTGTCGCCCGACCGGGTCACCAGAGTTCGAGATGGTCTCTTCATTCCTCTCCAGCCCCAGGCACCAGCACGGACTTGGCTCCGCTCTACTGGGCCATATGGCGGCGACGATCTCTGTAGTGTGGCGGGCACGGTTGAGGATGCGCGCCCATACAGCAAGCTTTGGCTGGGCTGTGGACTCACACGGAGGATCTGGAGCCGCAGTCTCACAGTCCCCGAGTGGGTTGACACCTCACCTTCAGTGGTGGACAAATGTCGGAATCTCACCAGGGGTTCCCCTTGGAAATCCCGGACGCCAGCTCTCACAGTTCAGACAGATGCGCCCTCACGGGCTGGGGCGTTCTGCAGTCTGTCGGCTTCCTCGACTCTGGTCCGGTCGAAGCTCACCTTCACATCAACGCAGTTGGAACTGAGAGAGCTGTGCGGTTGGTATTCGAAGCCTCCAGAGAGCATGTCCGCGGCCAGGTAGTCCGCCTTCAGTTAGACAACCAGACGGCCATGTCGCACATCCTGAAGCAGGGAGGCACGGTGTCCCCAGCGCCCGGAAAGCGTGGGACTTTCTCCTCTGGAGCCGACCAGTACGATTGTCAGGTACTCCCCTGTTTATCTCCCCGGGCTGGAGAACGTATGCGAGCAGATGCGCCTTCTCGCCGGATCCTGGCCCCGCGACGAGTGGATGCTCGACAGGCAGATATTCACAGTAATCTCCCAGTTGTAATGGGTCGCTCGAGGTGGATCTGTTTGCGTCCGCGGACGATCAGACACCCGTGTTCTGCTCTCGGAAACCGGACCCAGGGCGCTTGGCTGCCGACGCCTTCCTGCTGGATTGGACGGGCAAAGTGCTCTGGGCGCTCTCGCCGCTACCACTCATTCCCCGTGTCCTTTCACAGCTGTCCACCCAGCCAGCTCGGCTACTTGTGCTACTGGCACCGCTTTGGCCGCCACAGAGCTGGTTTCCGTAATTCTCAGGTTTCTGGCTCAGCCTCCTGTTCTATTACCTTTGCGACCGACATTCTCACTCAGAACGGAGCTTCCCCACCCAAATCCACGGATTCAGTGGGTGGCTTGGCCTCTGTCAGGTCTAACCTCGAGGCACGCCGGAATTCCTGCAGCAGTTGCAGACACAATTCTGGCTTCGAGGCGGATTCGGCAAACGCTCAGTACGAGGATAGGTGGTCCCGCTTATGCGCGCTGGTGTTCAGATAAGGGGATTGCAGATCCCTTTTCTGGCGGATTTAGTCCGAAAGTATTGGAGTTTTTGCAAGCTCGCTTTGAAGAAGGCCTGGCGGCTTCGGATCATTGGCGGCTACTCCACCGCTATTTCCACTTTTCACACCCCCTGTCGATGGTGCTCTTCTGGGGCAGCACCTCTCGCATAGCTTTCTGCGCTGGCTGAACGGATTCGACCTGCTCTCAGGCTTAACCAGTCCACCTTTGGGATTTGTCGATCGTGGCTCGATTGGCTGTCCGTCCCACTTTCTCACACCTATCGGCTATTTCCATTCAGTTGTTGACCTGGAAAGCTGTTTTTCTGGTGGCGGTAACATCTGGTCAAGGGTCGGCGATTTACATGCTATGTCGTCCGACCGGCGCTGACTGTGTTTCACACGGATCGCGGTCAGTATTCGGCCCCAGATACTTACCGAATCGAAGGTCGATCACGCTTTCCATGTGACAGCTCCTATCGAACTTCCTACTCTTACCCAGCCTTCCACATCGGGACCACTCCTACGAAAGCACTCACCCGCTGGATGTCCGTAAGACGCCAAAGTCTATCTCAAACGAACGCAGGGGATCCGTGACGGGTACCCAGCTGTTCTGTTGTTACGGTGGCGGGAAGGCTGGTTCGCCAGCCAGCAAGCAGACTTTGTCTCGCTGGCTAGTATCGTATTTGTGCCGCTTATCAGGCTAAGGGCAAGCCTCCCCTGAGGGGTTGAAGGCTCACCGGGTCAGGGCAGTAGCCGCCTCAAAAGCTTTTGCATCGCACTCCCCATTGAAGAGATCTGCCCGCCGCCATTTGGAGCCGCCAAGCACGCTTATACGCCATTATCAGCTCGATACGCATTCCCGTGAATCGCGCAAACTTTGGCCGCATTGTTCTCTCCAGTGGACAGTGTCCTGCCACCCTGACCGAAAGTGAGTCTTGGTTTATTGGTTTGTTTTGACGCTTACTGTACAATAAGATTCCATTATTGACATGTCTGCTAATGTGAGCTCACTCAGAGAACCTGTACCCCTTTCGATTCTCACGGAGTTACTGTATCGTTAGTGAGTGGTATTTTTGTTTCCCCACGGTGCTCTCATGAAAGAAGCCACTTAGTGGGTCGGATTTCGTTGATATTCGCGACTACGTGCAATGTCTCATTATGCTAGAGGTCGCCTTTGAGCACAAATCCTCCCTGTCAGTTCCCTCCCATAATGCCTCTCGCGGAAGCTAAACTGGGTCGAAAGTGACAGGTGAGTGTTCTGGCGACTGTTCAATTTTTCCATGATAATGATCGCTATATTTTGAGTGTGCTTGGACAGAATTCCCTCCTCCTGGCCTCCGGTCTTTGGGAGTCTGTGTTTATGCATAATATGTACCCCAAGGACGATCTCTCTGAAAAGAATTAACCAAACCTGCAGAGGTTTTCACCCTTTGAAGAGAGTCGCCCTTGGGTAGGGCCTCCCACCTCCCGCCATTTCTGTTCACTGATAAGAATTCAGCAGAAGGAATGATGATACGGGTCTAGGAGCCTACCCAGTTGGTACGCATGCTCTAAGGGAGGTAACTCCGTGAGGTAGGGTCCGTATAATAAATAAAAGAGTTTATTTATTGTACAATCTTTTTATTCAAAAAACATTGATACAACTGTCACAGGACATTTTTCAGCCGGAAAATGCATAATATGTACCCCAAGGACGACTCTCTTCAAAGAATTGAAAACCTCTGCAGGTTTGGTTAAGTTTTAGCATGGATTTGTTGTAAGAATGACACATTTAATTGTAGGAACTCTATGAGAATTATGAAATAGTTTTGAAACTGGAATTTCTTTCTTTAATTTTGGTACCTATATGATTGATGTTTGATGCCACTGATATGTGTCGGAAAAGAAAATGGGGAACATGATATCTGTGCAAGCTTGCATCCCTTTGTCTTGCAAGTATCAAGTGATTCTGGGTTCGAATCTTGCATTCTGCCTCATCAAGATTCTGTCAACACCAAACCATCACATGGAGGTGCCACAAGATAATAAACGTCTGCTACCTGCATTTCTTCCTTTAAGTTGAGACACCATGACACGGATGTTGTTTTTGTGCTCACTCTCACTCATTCACTCACTCACTCACTCACTCACTCACTCACTCACTCACTCACTCACTCACTCACTCACTCACTCACTAATGTTATGAAACATTTCAGGAAGAGTCTGGATAGATTTGTGGCTGACCATTTCCCACTGAAGAGTTCTGAGTTTGCAAAGGGGAGTCCAAAATACAATGACTACATTGTATCCATAGACAAGGTAGGAGAGTGTGACACATGCATTGTGCTGAGAGGCTATGCTTACGTTAGTGAGGGTTATCCTAATGGTTTAAGTGTTTTACCTTAGTGAAGGGTATCTTAATGGTTTGAGTGTTATCGAGAGGCTATGCTTTACTTAGTGAGGGTTATCCTAATGGTTTAAGTGCTTTACCTTAGTGAGGGTTATCCTAATGGTTAGAGTGTTATAGAGAGGCTATGCTTACCTTAGTGAGGGTTATCCTAATGGTGTGTTTTACCTTAGTGAGGGTTATTCTAATGGTGTAAGTGTTTAACCTTAGTGAGGGTTATCCTAATGGTGTAAGTGTTTTACCTAAGTGAGGGTTATCCTAATGGTGTAAGTGTTTTACCTTAGTGAGGGTTATCCTAATGGTTTAAGTGTTTTACCTTAGTGAGGGTTATCCTAATGGTGTAAGTGTTTTACCTTAGTGAGGGGTATCCTAATGGTGTAAGTGTTTTACCTAAGTGAGGGTTATCCTAATGGTGTAAGTGTTTTACCTTAGTGAGGGTTATCCTAATGGTTTAAGTGTTTTACCTTAGTGAGGGTTATCCTAATGGTGTAAGTGTTTTACCTTAGTGAGGGGTATCCTAATGGTGTAAGTGTTTTACCTAAGTGAGGGTTATCCTAATGGTGTAAGTGTTTTACCTAAGTGAGGGTTATCCTAATGGTGTAAGTGTTTTACCTTAGTGAGGGTTATCCTAATGGTTTGAGTGTTATAGAGAGGCTATTCTTACCTTAGTGAGGGGTATCCTAATGGTTTAAGTGCTTTACCTTAGTGAGGGTTATCCTAATGGTGTAAGTGCTTTACCTAAGTGAGGGGTATCCTAATGGTTTAAGGGTTTTACCTTATTGAGGGTTATCCTAATGGTTTAGGTTTTATTGAGAGGCTATGCTTACCTTGGTGTGGGTTCCCCTTATGGTTTAGGTGTTATAGAGAGACTATGATTACCTTGGTGTCGGTTATCTTAATGGTTTATGTGTTATAGAGAGACTATGCTTACCTTAGTGAGGGTTATCTTAATGGTTTAGGTGTTATAGAGAGGCTGTGCTTACCTTAGTGAGGGTTACCCTTATGGTTTAGGTGTTATAGAGAGGCTATGCTTACCTTGGTGTGGGTTATCTTAATGGTTTAGGTGTTATAGAGAGACTATGATTTCCTTGGTGTGGGTTATCTTAATGGTTTAGGTGTTATAGAGAGACTATGCTTACCTTAGTGAGGGTTATCTTAATGGTTTAGGTGTTATAGAGAGGCTGTGCTTACCTTAGTGAGGGTTACCCTTATGGTTTAGGTGTTATAGAGAGGCTATGCTTACCTTGGTGTGGGTTATCTTAATGGTTTAGGTGTTATAGAGAGACTATGATTTCCTTGGTGTGGGTTATCTTAATGGTTTAGGTGTTATAGAGAGACTATGCTTACCTTAGTGAGGGTTATCTTAATGGTTTAGGTGTTATAGAGAGACTATGCTTACCTTAGTGAGGGTTATCCTAATGGTTTAGGTGTTATAGAGAGCCTATGCTTACCTTGGTGTGGGTTATCTTAATGGTTTAGGTGTTATAGAGAAACTATGCTTACCTTAGTGAGGGTTATCCTAATGGTTTAAGTGTTATAGAGAAACTATGATTACCCTGGTGAGGGTTATCTTAATGGTTTAGGTGTTATAGAGAGCCTATGCTTACCTTGGTGTGGGTTATCTTAATGGTTAAGGTGTTATAGAGAAACTATGATTACCCTGGTGAGGGTTATCCTAATGGTTTAGGTGTTATAGAGAGACTATGCTTACTTTAGTGAGGGTTATCCTAATGGTTTAGGTGTTATAGAGAGAATAGGCTTACCTTGGTGTGGGTTATCTTAATGGTTTAGGTGTTATAGAGAAACTATGATTACCCTGGTGAGGGTTATCTTAATGGTTTAGGTGTTATAGAGAGGCTATGCTTACCTTGGTGTGGGGTATCTTAATGGTTTAGGTGTTATAGAGAGACTATGCTTACCTTAGTGAGGGTTATCCTAATGGTTTAGGTGTTATAGAGAGGCTATGCTTACCTTGGTGTGGGTTATCTTAATGGTTTAGGTGTTATAGAGAGGCTGTGCTTACCTTGGTGTGGGGTATCTTAATGGTTTAGGTGTTATAGAGAGACTATGCTTACCTTAGTGAGGGTTATCTTAATGGTTTAGGTGTTATAGAGAGGCTATGCTTACCTTGGTGTGGGGTATCTTAATGGTTTAGGTGTTATAGAGAGACTATGCTTACCTTAGTGAGGGGTATCTTAATGGTTTAGGTGTTATAGAGAGGCTATGCTTACCTTGGTGAGGGCTATTTTAATGGTTTAGGTGTTATAGAGAGGCTATGCTTACCTTGGTGTGGGTTATCCTAATGGTTTAGGTGTTATAGAGAGGCTATGATTACCTTGGTGTGGGGTATCTTAATGGTTTAGGTGTTATAGAGAGGCTGTGCTTACCTTTGTGTGGGGTATCTTAATGGTTTAGGTGTTATAGAGAGGCATCATAAATGTCAAAGGGGGAAATCACAGCATTGTCACAGGTATCAGGGGTTCTATTTATTGTTAGTTTTGTGAACATCTTAAAATGTTACTTCAAGCAATATGGTTGCTTTTGAGTGACTTCAGTCAAAATCAGTATCCCACGTACACTGTCTATCATGAAATGTTTGCAGTGTATTTTGGCTAGTGGTATCTCACTGTATATCACATTGTCCAGGTGATCACAATGTCCAGGTGTATATCATTGTCCAGGTGTATCTCATTGTATATCACGTTGTCCAGGTCATCACAATGTCCAGGTGTATCTCATTGTATATCACGTTGTCCAGGTCATCACATTGTATATCATGTTGTCCAGGTCATCACATTGTCCAGGTGTATCTCATTGTCCAGGTGTATCTCATTGTCTAGGTGAATCTCATTGTCCAGGTGATCACAATGTCCAGGTGTATCTCATTGTATGTCACCACAATGTCCAGGTCATCACAATGTCCAAATGTATCTCACTGTCCAGGTGTATCTCGTTGTCCAGGTGTATCTCATTGTATATCACGTTGTCCAGGTCATCACAATGTCCAGGTGTATCTCATTGTCCAGGTGTATCTCATTGTCAGTGTGAATCTCGTTGTCCAGGTCATCACAATGTCCAGGTGTATCTCATTGTCCAGGTGTATCTCATTGTCAGTGTGAATCTCATTGTCCAGGTGATCACAATGTCCAGGTGTATCTCATTGTATGTCACCACAATGTCCAGGTCATCACAATGTCCAGGTGTATCTCACTGTCCAGGTGTATTTCATTGTCCAGGTGATCACAATGTCCAGGTGTATCTCATTGTATGTCACATTGTCCAGGTCATCACATTGTCCAGGTGTATCTCATTGTATGTCACAATGTCCAGGTCATTACAATGTCCAGGTGTATCTCACTGTCCAGGTGTATCTCATTGTCCAGGTGATCACAATGTCCAGGTGTATCTCATTGTATGTCACATTGTCCAGGTCATCACATTGTCCAGGTGTATCTCATTGTCCAGTTGTATTTCATTGTCTGGTTGTATCTCATTGTTCATGTGTGTCTTAATGTCAAGGTATATCTCTTTGTTGAGTTGTATCACGCTGACTGAAATATATTTCAGCTTCTGGTTGGTCTGGAGCTGTCTGGGAGTCCACTGCTGCTGGAGCTGATAATCAGCATCTTCTGTCGGGAGAGTCACCACGCACACGAGGAGCAGATACAGGCCACCCTTGTCAGGTTCATCAAACGGTGAGGAAACTGTACTTCAGAAGCTCACTGCTCTGTGTGGCCATTTCTCTGAGCACCAGCCTAGGTATAAGTGTTTTGGACATTCTTGAGATTACAACAAGAAGTTTTTGCTGATCTTCTTCCTTTTCTGCCAACCTGACTGCTGTTTATTTGTTGTTTTCATCCATAGAACAGTTAAAAATGGGATCGAAATAAAATATATTCTCACATAGCTGGAATATTTCTGAGTGCAACACCAAAAACAAACAAAACATATCAAGGTGAGTTACAGTGAGAATAGTTTTCATCTTCACCTTCATAAGTATATAGTTTGGAATCCAAGAACTATTTTGAATGTAGTGCACCAGGTAATGAGTAGTGGTAGGGATGACTGTGATAGCAGCTTGGTCAACACAGGGTCTACATCTCCCCTGACTTGTTGTGGCAGGTTGCCAGGAGACAAGCAGAAGGTGGTCCTGGATGTGCCACTCAAGATCTTCCAGAAGGAAGGAAGTTTCCCAAATGAGATCCGCCGTGCTACCATCGAGCGTGTGTGTCTACCAATGCTCCGGTTATGCCAGAAGTCTGCCTTCATCGAGTTCTACCTGGACCACATTGGAGAGATTATGAAAGTAGTTGAGACAAAGTTGATCAAGGTGAGTGGGGATATCGTACATTTGGTGAAATTGAGACAGTGTGAGGTGACATGTGTTTTTGTTACTGCTATTTCCTCTGCATATTTTGTATTCAGCATGTAATGTTTTGATGTTGAGACAGAATGGTGTGATGTAAAGACAGTTATTTTATATTTATTTTGTTACTGCCTATCTGTATAAAACACAAAACACTGATGTATCTATTAGTGAAGCTTTTATCTTCCACTCTGACCCCCCATTTCTGGTGTCCCCCGCCGTGATATTGCTGGAATATTGCTAAAAGCAGTGTAAAACTAAACACACTCACTCCACTCAGACCTGTGAAGATACGGGTTAGAATTGGTCTTCAGCAACCCATGCTTGTCGTATCTTGGTTGGCACATGTCATCGTATCCCAATTGCATAGATCGATGCTCATGCTGTTGATCACTGGATTGTCTGGTCCAGACTTGATTATTCATCGAACTTGGCCATATAGCTGGAATATTGCTGTGTGCAGCGTTAAACAACCAACCACCAAATCTTTCACTCTACCACACAGACCGCATCAGAGATGGAGACCCAGCTGACCAGCAAACAGTGCTGCTTCCACCTGCTGGAGATCCTGTACTCACGCATGTCCAAGGATGAGATTAACACCAAGAACTCCATCATCAACGACAAGTTCTGCTCAGGAAATGCCACAACGGGCAAAGAGCTTACACAGAAGATAATCAAGTAGGTTGAAATAGAAACCAAGGTTTGTTGGTGCAGAGCACTAGTCACTGTAAGTTGAATAGACCGCATGAAGAAAGTTATATCCTTGTGACCATTCCTTATTGACAGCCCCATGTTGTAAGAGGGAACGTCATGGTTTGGGTGTTCAGGATAACTGAATTGGTTGATAGCATGTTGATTGTGTGAATTATTCAAAATGACAATTCCAGGATTTGCGAGTGAGTGTCCAGGCTCCTTCTTTGATTACAGGACCCGTGAAGATCCGGGTTAGAATATTGATCTTCACTAACCCATGCTTATCGTAAGAGGTGACTAACGGGATGGGGTGGTCGGGCTCGCTGACTTGGTTGACACATGTCATCAGTTCCCAACTGCGCAGATTGATGCTCATGCTGTTGATCACTGGATTGTCTAGTCCAGACTCGATTATGTACAGCCTGCCATCATTTAGCTGGAATATTGCTGATTGTGGCGTAAAACTAAACTCACTCACTCACTCTTCGATTACAGTCATCCTTATTCTGTGTTACTTTGTGCCAGAGCTGCTCAGGAAGCCAAGACTGAGGATGTGAGAGGAGAGACCATGTTGGTGGAACAGCGTCGCCTGTATCACTGTGCAGCTTACAACCTGCTGATAGCCGTCATCTCCCGCACACAGTCAGATGTCAAGTTCTTCAAAGGATTCCTGTTTAATGATGATGAAGCAAAGGTCAGTATCTAATTGGCTTGGAACTTTGAGAGTATTTGAGGACTAGTTTGGAGAGCATTGGTATGCTGTTGACTTGTCCTCCAAATACAGATTTGACTTTTTCTAGGTGTCCACTGCCATAATCTGGAATGTTGCATTGAAGCGTCTATTATTATGGACTTTCATCCAGGACAGATTAATCTAACAAACTTGCAGCATGATAGTTATTAGGGCAAGACAGCAGAATACCGGATACCTTCCGCCATCTTTGAAAGCACGCGAGTTTACTTAGGTTTAGAGTTAGGGTTAGGGTTAGGGTTAGGATGACGTGACACTAAACAATATGGCTGGTAGGTATCCGGTAGTCTGTAGGTGTACCGTTATTAGGTTACAACTGTTTTTTGTGAATACATTTTTATAGGCCAAATTCATCTCAGTTATTATCATTGTTTGTTGGCACAACATGTGAGGTGGCTTTCACCCTTGCAGTAAATGTGATTGGAGTCTTTTAGGCATCATGCCATTGCAGGTAGGATTCACTAAAGATTTAAATTTGATTTGAATCATGGTGGGCCAATACTTCTCAAATTTGGTTAGCACAAAACCCAAAACTACACAATGAAATACAAGAACCAAAGTTACTTTTTTGCCTTTTAGAATGTCCCTAATTCCACCAGCTTTACTCTATAGAAGAGACAATATACACAGCACTATCTTCATTCAATGAGTGTCTGTAAGATGGCACTTGTCTCCACTACTCCAGTATGTGTGACAGTAACTGTTTGTGATGGTGTTGTATAGGGGCAGTTCCTGCTGGACAACATTGTGGACAAGGAGAGGACATATGAATTCACTGTGGAGCTGCAGGTAAGTGATTGGAACCTCTTGTCTGGAGCATCAGTACAACACACAGCTGGACAATGGGAGGGGATGGACACTGGGATGGGGGTACAGTGGGACAATAGCAAGGGGTGGACCCTGGGGTGGGGGTACCGTTGGAGAATGGCAGGGATGGACGGGGGGTACAGTTGGACAATGGCGGGGGTGGACCCAGGGGTGGGGTGACAGTGGGACAATGGCAAGGGGTGGACCCTGGGGTGGGGGTACCATTGGAGAATGGCAGGGGATGGACGTGGGGGTACAGTTGGACAATGGCAGGGGTGGACCCTAGGGTGAGGGTACAGTTGGACAATGGCAGGGGTGAACCCAGGGTTGACAGTTGGACAATGGCAGGTGAACCCAGGGTTGGGGGTACAGTTGGACAATGGCAGGGGTGAACCCAGGGTTGGGGAACAGTTGGACAATGGCAGGGGTGAACCCTGGGTTGGGGGAGTACAGTTGGACAGTGGCAGGGGTGAACCCAGGGTTGGGGTACAGTTGGACAATGGCAGGTGTGAACCCAGGGTTGGGGGTACAGTTGGACAATGGCAGGTGAAACCCAGGGTTGGGGTACAGTTGGACAATGGCAGGAGTGAACCCCAGGGTTGGGGGTACAGTTGGACAATGGCAGGGGTGAACCCTGGGTTGGGGGTACAGTTGGACAATGGCAGGTGTGAACCCAGGGTTGGGGGTACAGTTGGACAATGGCAGGTGTGAACCCTGGGTTGGGGGTACAGTTGGACAATGGCAGGGGTGAACCCAGGGTTGGGGGTACAGTTGGACAATGGCAGGGGTGAACTCTGGGGTGGGGGTACAGTTGGACAATGGCAGGGTTGGATCTGGGCTTTGCTCCACAAAGCGATTGCACTGCTGTGTCAGTCGTAAGTCTGTGTTATAGTATGGGAATTAAGATCATCTTAGTGCTAAGATCACTTTTGGAACAGGCTCCTGGTATTCATTCACACAATAGTTTAGTCCAGATAATACTTTAACATATAACTTGGCCTCAGATTTAGGTAAGAAGAATCCTATATAAATGCTGGGTGCCTTGAATAGAACTTTGTTGTTTTGTGAAATATACTGATTGTTCGGCACATCCCTTCAGTAAAGAAATTGTATGTTTTGAAGCAGAAAAGGAAAACATCTATAGTGTCATGTCTTTTACAACCAGTCATGAACCCCTGAGAATATTACAGGATCAGAGCCAGAAAGAGACCATCTGAACGCATAAGTTCAAACAGCAGTACATGGAAATAACTCTTTCAGCCAAATGAAACTGATATTTTATCATGATATACATCAATTGAGAATTTAGGTTAGTATCAGTATTCTGTCTTCTTTCAGTAAGGCACAGTTACTGGACCAAGTCTCTTTCTTTATTTTCTTGCAGAACCCACTTGAAAGGAAGAAAAAGTTTGTGTCAATCCGTAATGAAGTTAAGGAGAAACGTGCCGACGAGGAAGACGACACAAGCATGACGTACGGTTCCTCGTACCACCTGGCATCTCAGTATCTGGCTGACAGCAGCCTCAGTGAAGATGTCAGCCAGTACGATTTCTCCATGTCTGGATCAGCTCAGGCAAGTTTTCTGGCAGTACTTCAAATGTATACTAGTTACGTTACACAGGCAAGTTTTCTGTACTTCTCATACTAGTATGCTAGTTAGGTTACACAATGAAGTTTTCTTGTACCCAAAAAACATTTTGGTCATTGATTATAAAGGATTAAACATGTAACAGAACTGTTAACTTACTCAGTTAGTGTTATACTTTCAACAAAGTCACGGTATTAGCCAACAAGATATATATGTAATATATGATTAAATGTTTTTGGACAGCAGCGTTTACACTCACTCTCATGTTTACATTTTTTTACAAACGATTAGCAAGAAAACAGCGAGGGTGACTTAATTGTCTTGTAACCTTTTTATGTGATTATATATGAAACCAACTGAGTTGATGTGCATTGCAGTTAACGATAATGATGTGTTATATGCTTGCTCCTGTAGAGCATGACCGGAGACAGATCAAGGGGTAGAGGTCAGGTCAAGAGGAAGGCCAGCTACACTGATGTCGAGGAGGTGAGTCTGAAGATGGCCACCATGACAAGCTCCTCTCAGTCTGCTTATGAACTTAGGCTGCATGTATCATGAAGTTACATGTGTTTAAGTTATAAAGACTTGTTGGGATCTCAGGAAAAAGATGTAATTCTCCAATATTCTAGATGATAAGACCCGTGAAGATCCAGGTTAGAATTATCTTCAGTAACCCATGCTTGTCGTAAGAGGCAACTAATGGAATCGGGTGGTCAGGCTCACTGACTTGGTTGACACATGTCATTATATCCCAATTGTGTAGATTGATGCTCATGCCATTGATCACTGGATTGTGTAGTCCAGACTCAATTATTTTCAGACCGCCACCATATAACTGGAATATTGCTGAGTTTGGCGTAAAACTAAACACTCACTCACTCAAGAGGATAATGTCTAAGCAGGTCCCCAGGAAAGTTAGACAGAATGTTTACAGAGCACTGAATGTTTCAGGAAGGGAACGTGACTGTCGAGGACGACTACGTGGAGCTGGAGATGGATGAACTAAACAAGCACGAGTGTATGGCAGGTGTCATTGCCTTGCTGAGACACATGCAGAGGGCAGAGATCACACCTCCAGTAGCTCAGGTAGGGGCTGAATCATTGTATTGTATCAGATATTATAAGATATATGGACACACATTAGGCAGATGGTTCTCCATATACTAAGAATCACAATCCGCACATAATGTCCTGTCTTGTTTCAGGGTACTTTGCCCAAGGAGATGCCTTCCTGGATGATTTACCTCCACAACAAGATGATGAAGGCCACAGTGCACAGTAACATCAAACTGTTCATAGCTAAGCTCATCATCAACACAGCAGATGTAAGGCAACTACTTTGAACTTGTCTGTCGTAATCATAAACTGAAAATTGTGTAAAGAAACCGAAGTCATGATTCTCTCAGGTGGCACTTTTTGTAGTGTAGAGTTTTATTCCTTAGCCGTACAGAATGACTGTATCCATGATCATTGGTTTGAATCCTAGTTTTGCTGGGAGCATCACTTCAGGCTCATTATGGGCATTATCCAAACTCAGTATTATAATTATAGTAATAGTAATAATTGGCCACTTATTTAATGCTGAACTCCATGCCGCACTGGCATGCCCAAAGCACATACAACATTCTGGACATTATTACTCTAGATAACCCAAGCTGCCTGTGAGTCGCCAGAAGGGTAATAGTCGTATGACTTATACCACCGTGTACCCATTTTATGCTGGAACTTTAAACAATCAAGAAATTAAAATACTCAAGGGCACGTTCCAAAAAGCAATTGTTGCAGTAAGGTTATTGTAACTGCCATGCTTTAACATAGACTTACAAAAGCTGTAGCACAACAACTGCTTTGTGGAATTGGGGCCCTGTAATATGTTTATATATTCCAGCTATTCCAGCCGTACGCCAAGTTCTGGCTGCGGCCCCTGTGCCAGTTCCTCTTCACTGACACAGTCATGTCTGGGGGCATCAACTTCTTCATCGTGGACCTTGTTGTCACCATGATGTCCTGGCACACCACGGCTATACCGCAGGTACGTTGAAATGTTACTCAGCAGCTTAAGATCAGAAGAACACCACCTTTCACAGACGCAGCAGATATAGCTTAGGAAGGCCCTATGTTGTTTTGACACAACAGCAGCAGCTGAAACAAAGGCCCCTTGTTGTATTGATACAACAGCTGCACCAAAGGCCCTTGTACTGTTGCACCAGAAACAAAGGCCCCTTGTATTGACACAGCAGCTGTAGCTGAAACAAAGGCCCCTTGTTGTACTGACACAACAGCTGTAGCTGAAACACATGCCCTATGTTGTACTGACACAACAGCTGTAGCTGAAACACATGCCCTATGTTGTACTGACTCAACAGCTGTAGCTGAAACACATGCCCTATGTTGTACTGACTCAACAGCTGTAGCTGAAACACATGCCCTATGTTGTACTGACACAACAGCTGTAGCTGAAACATGGGCCCTATGTTGTACTGACACAACAGCTGTAGCTGAAACGGGCCCTATGTTGTACTGACTCAACAGCTGTAGCTGAAACATGGGCCCTATGTTGTACTGACACAACAGCTGAAGCTGAAACACATGCCCTATGTTGTACTGACTCAACAGCTGTAGCTGAAACACATGCCCTATGTTGTACTGACTCAACAGCTGTAGCTGAAACACATGCCCTATGTTGTACTGACACAACACCTACAGCTGAAACACAGACCCTATGTTGTACTGACACAACAGCTGTAGCTGAAACACAGGCCCTATGTTGTACTGACACAGCAGCTGTAGCTGAAACACATGCCCTATGTTGTACTGACACAGCAGCTGTAGCTGAAACACAGGCCCCTTTGTACTGACACAACAGCTGTAGCTGAAACACAGGCCCCTTTGTACTGACACAACAGCTGTAGCTGAAACACAGGCCCTATGTTGTACTGACACAACACCTACAGCTGAAACACAGGCCCTATGTTGTACTGACACAGCAGCTGTAGCTGAAACACAGTCCCAATGTTGTACTGACACAACACCTGCAACAGAAACAAAGGCCCTTGTTGTACTGACACAACAGCTGCAGCTGAAACTAGGTGATAGTAGTTATGTTTTAATTTGAAAGGATTCTGCAGAGGAGAAAGCTATGGCATCTCGCCTTGTGGAGTTCCTCACAGCCAACATCCACCATGACACCAGGTTTGTGTTCAGGAACAACCTGGACCTGCTGAAGACCCTCCTGGAGTGCTGGAAGAGCAGAGTAGACATCCCCTATCAGTGAGTTCCAGGCAGTAGTTTATAATGACAATCTTGCACTGTTGTTTTGGTATTTGTTTCAATTTTATCATCATAGAATGTTCTTAAGGAAGTTCTTCTTGGTCTGTACCTCTTAGAGCAACTTCAAACTCATGAAGTCCACCTCTGTTTCAACAAGTTAAAAAAGAGAATAAAATAAAGATTCAGTAGGTTTTATGAGTGAAATTTCAGGGACTCTCCTGATATCTCTTATATACAAGCATGTTAAGATGTCTGACACAAAGTCGACCAAACTGATACATTTTTGTTTTGCCTTTCTCCCCTTGTTGCAGTATTGACCTGGTTGCTGTTGTACCAAACGACCTTAGTGCTAACACTGTTGTAAGTCTCTGTTAAGGTATTGGAGTTACGGTCACCTTAGCTCTAAGATCGCTTTGTACAATGGCACCCTGACTATGATCCTTGATTTGCGGACATCATACCAGTTGCCTTTGGCTTCTCTCCTACATTTACCTGGCATGCCAGGATGTACTGGTATCTGAAACACTTTTAGAAGCAGAATCAAAGCCAACCCATTGTTATGTACAAGCACATACAAGACGTCGGTCCTAAAATCCAAAGACAGCCTAGGATATCTTTTTTTGGCCGCCGAGATTACAATGGTGGGGGTAGTTTGGTGTTTGTATATAGTGTTTGTTCATCACGAGAAGGCCCATGATGGATCCCATTTTTGTGTCCCTGCTGTTATAATGCTAAAAGTGCCAAAGTTTTCACTCTCTCTTTCACCCACTGTTTCAGTGTTATATACAAGCAGCTGAAGACGTCTGACCCAAAGTCCAAGGACAGCCAGACTGGGATTCAGGTGCTTGGAGTTGTCATGGCCTGTCAGTTCTCACCATACGGGCCGTCTGCTCCTGTGGACAGAGACAAGTGAGTCTGTTACCCTGTATTCTTTCTTTCTTTTTTGAAGTCAGTTTGATTGATGACCATCTCCCACTGAATATTTTGTTGACACGTCAAATCTCTTTGTAATTCTTTTCAGTTTGGTTTGTATTTTTCTTGCAGATACTTTAGTGCTGTTGTCAATGCTATGGGCAACCATTACAAGGCTACATACGCTTCTGCAGCAGAAGTTGTGGGGATGATCTTCAAGTACTTGGCTGACAAGGAGAAACAGACTGAGGGCTCCTTCCATGACCATGTGGTTCACTTCATGTCCTCCATACAACAGGGCAAGCCAGACAACTTCATTGTGTGTGTCCACCACATGCAGAGGCACTACCCCGCCATTGCTAACAGGTAGGCAGCTCTTGCAGTGGTAAAACAGATTGTTTGTAAACCTTTAAACATACATGCCATTGCTAACAGGTTGCCAGCTCTTGCAGTGATCAAACAGATTGTTTGTAAACCTTTAAACATACATGCCATCGCTAACAGGTAGGCAGCTCTTGCAGTGGTAAAACAGATTGTTTGTAAACCTTTAAACATACATGCCATCGCTAACAGGTAGCCAGCTCTTGCAGTGGTAAAACAGATCGTTTGTAAACCTTTAAACATACATGCCATCGCTAACAGGTAGACAACTCTTGCAGTGATCAAACAGATCGTTTGTAAACCTTTAAACATACCCGCCATTGGTAACAGGTAGACAACTCTTGCACTGATCAAACAGATCGTTTGTAAACCTTTAAACATACATGCCATCGCTAACAGGTAGCCAGCTCTTGCACTGATCAAACAGATTGTTTGTAAACCTTTAAACATACCCGCCGTTGCTAACAGGTAGGCAACTCTTGCAGTGGTAAAACAGATCGTTTGTAAACCTATAAACATACCCGCCATTGCTAACAAGTAGGCAGCTCTTGCAGTGATCAAACAGATTGTTTTTAAACCTTTAAACATACTCCGTCATCGCTAACAGGTAGCCAGCTCTTGCAGTGGTAACACAGATCACTTGTAACCTTTAATCAAACCCAGCAGTCGCTACAAAGTAGGCAGCTCTTGCAGTGGTTTTAGAATCAAACGGGTCACCTCTAAATGTATTGATTTCTTACAGTGGTGTAAGAATTTGTAAACCTTTAAACATACTCTCATCAAATCAAGCTTAATATCCAAGGAATTACAGACAAAGGCGACATTACTCATGGGACTTGTCAAGCTGCCATGATGTTTTTTCATTCAATACTTTATATCTCCGCTATGATCTATTGAGTTTCCCAGTGTTCAGTGTTTTTCTCTAAAAGATGATTACCCTTGTGTGTGCACAGATTCCTGAACCGACTACTGTTTATGCTGCCAAGTCTACATGGAGAATTCCGCACACAATGTCTGGAAGTGATACACAGTGGGATTGACCAAGTGGAGAATGTCTACCTGGAGCTCCATAGTAAAGGCCTTCTCAAATTCCTCACACACAGGTAGGTGTACCTAGAACTCAATAGTATAGCCACAGAGCTTCTTACTAGGCTCACTGTAGCGTGAAACTCACTAGGCTCAGCTAAACTCACTAAGTATCTCTATTCATCTATGTTGTTTCCAGGGATGAGGACACCCAGCAGATCTCCCTGAAGATTGTGAAGTCCATCGCAGCCAAGTTAAAGCCCGAGGAACTGTCCAAGCTGATGTCTGCTGTGTGTAGCATGAGTCAGCACCCCAGCACTGTCTGTCGTAACACCATGTACGACATACTCATGTGGATATACGACAACTACAGGTACGTCCTCGTCACCATTGAGGAATCAAGGTGTGGCTGATCACTGGATGAACCTGAACCTTGTTAAGTCTGGGCAGGGGACAGATTCGTTTACTGTGGTACAGGGACCTGTCCCACAAAGCAACCTTGGCAAGATGATTATTGCAACTCCATTCATAGCAAAAAGGTCTCTTGGAACAGTGCCCATAGGTACATCACTGAGGAGCATTTGCTGTTTGGAGTGTCTTTAGAAATAGAAACAATCAACATACTTCACTTTAACACTTTTGATGTTTGGCTGTTTTCCACAAAACAAACTGTTCTGTGTTTTCTTGCTCACAGAGAAGATGAGTCAGAGGAGGGTCACCAGATCATGCAGCAGACGAAGGAGACACTGCTTCGGGGACTGGGAGATGAGGACCTACATTGCCGGTCAGTCTTACAGCAGCCATATATCATGAACGCATATACAGTCAAATCCGGATGAGTCGCATCGCTGTGGACCAAGTAATAAATTCGACTTATCGATGTATTCGAGACATAGGTATGTCTATGAGGGTAGAAAAAAAGATTCCTCCGCCTAAGCATTTGTTTATCTAATGATTTCCCTATCACTAATAGGGGCCCTTTATCAGTTCCAGTCTGATTAGCACAAACAGTGATTTCCGTAAAATTACTAATCTGCCTTTTGAACTCACCCGTCAAAGGCGGAAAGGTGTGAGCCACGCTGGTTTGTTAATTGGATCAGTTTGCTACACCAATCAACTTCTCATTGACTGACTTCGGCTTATGTATACAAGATTGCTGTTGTTTGAATCTCATGGGACCAAATTTCTTCTCGTGTCATCGTGTGTATTTATGAGTCGAATTCGTGTAACTGGTATTCAAATGATGACAACTATAACAGGGAATGGTCGGGACCGACAGGTACTTCGAGTTATGCATAATATTCGAGACACCGGCATTCGACTCATCGGGATTTGACTGTATGTAGTATGTGGACTAATAATGAAAATGTCAGTTTGCCAATTACTCAGCCATATCTGGTTTATGATTGTGGACTTTGAAGTCTAGCATGCATGAGGTATCTTGTGGAAGATATTCTAACTCATTTTGCTTATGATTTTTTTTATCAGTCTAATTTGACATTTGTTTCCCACCATTTATTCAAAATCATTGCCTTTCTAACAAAGCCTAATCAGCTGAAAGTATATTGGAATGATCCTAACATAATTCAGGTTGGTTTCAGAGCCTTAGCCTAGTTGTGTATTTCGTCCACAGTTGAAATCTGTTTAAAAATCCAGTTATTCCTGTTTCCAGACTGCTAGTGCAGAACTTCTGGAGCAGTGAGACCCGTCTGCCCACAGGAACCCTGGACCGGATGGTGGCCATGTTAGAGGCCATGTACTCCCCCAGCACAGAGCAGCAGTACCTCAGCTATTCCACCAACCTCCTGCTGGAGATGACCTCCAAGAGCCCTGACTACCAGAGGGAGATATTTGAACATGCTCTGTCAGAGTGCACGTTTCAGGTAGAGTCATAATTTATCCTCCCACTTCTTCCTCAGTCTACATGGAAACTAGATCCTGTGTAAGAATGTAGATGTCTAGCAACTGAGGTGGCTAAATCGATCAGATTGTCAGGCTCACAGAGCTCCTGATAAGGTTTAGCTCATGTGGGTACTGTACCCACTGTATTTTTTTGGAGTGGTTATTATGAATGTTGAGTGGGTATTTCATTTTCCGTTACTTATTTTCCGTTTCCAACAGTACAACACTAGTGCTATACTAACAATACAACTTGATACCTATCGTTGTCTTTTTCATTATGCAAGTGATTTTTATAGATATATTCTGTATGCATATGTTTTAAACTTTGTGCGTATCTAACATTTAAATGCGTAATTGGTACGCAACAATTATTTTTCAATGTGTAAATAGAAATTTTCTGTGCGTATTTTACCCAAATACTCATCTTATCTGGGCCTCTGGGCTCAGAGACTGGGTTAAGCGTGTGCATCGTAACCCAAATGAATTGAAAATGTAAATGAAAAAGTGATGAAAATCACAGAATTGGCTGGTTCCGATTGCTGGCATGTAGCTGGAGTAAACTACAATACCTTGCTCACTCTGTATGGTATCAGTGCAGGAAATAAAGTTTACACCATAAATAACACAAATTATTGACAGTTTCTTTATATCCCAGGACTACTCCATCCACTCCTCCTGGAGACAGCGCCATGCCGTCATGACGCCGCTGTTCGCTAGCACCCAGGCTAGTCAGACAATGGATGCCTCCATGATGGAGGACAGTCTGGATGGAGGAGTCCGAGCTACTATGGATGCTGCTCAGTTCACTCAAACACAGGAAGCAGGTTGGTTAGGCTCAGGTGTCCAGGTATAGGTTACTATGCTGTTTTGGCGAGTATTATCATAATAGTGATTTCTAGTCAACATTGCAGCTAATAACCAATGATAGTAAAAGTTATGATATATATGTTAGGGTGGTGGGGTAGCCTAGTGGTTAAAGCTTTGGCTCGTCACACCAAAGACCTCGGTTTGATTCCCCACATGGGTACAGTGTGTGAGGCCCGTTTCTGGTGTCCCCCTCCATGATATTGCTGCAATATTGCTAAAAGCGGCGTAAAACCATGCTCACTCACTCATATATATGTTACATACTTACTTTTTCGGGTGAAGTCCGATCTGGGATTCAAACCCACACTTTCAGTGTCAGGCACTTTATGGCCAGCACACAAAGTTAGCCATCTAACCCACTGAGCTTCCACAAAAATGGAAGTCTGGCAACTGGTAGTCTCGATCACATACTTTGTGTACCCTTCTGATGAGTTTAAATTGGCATGGCTGCCACATCTGAACGCTGTAAGTGAGTGAGTGAGTGAATATGGTTTTACGCTGCTTTTAGCAATATTCCAGTAATATCACAGCGGGGGACACCAGAAATGGGCTTCACACATTGTACCCATGTGGCCGAACGCTATGAACACACTATGCCATTTAGAAAATGGTCAAATGTAACCTATGTTGTATATGGGAGTAAAGTAATGATTCTAGTAAAAGCAAACTCACTCACTCTGCTTGTCAGCTCAGTCTCTTTAGGTTTACTAACCTATCAAACTGAGATGTAACTGATGTGCAGTCAAAGCAGCGTTAAACTTACGCACTCCGATGATATGAGGTCTAATTATGATCATTATCATATCCTCGAGTTAGATTAAGCATTTCGGCAGTCTAAACCATGACAGGATTGTTTGTTGGTCATTTGTTAATTATCCACCTTGCAGGGTCCCGGGCCCCATTCAACTGGCTGACCCAGAGCAGCCTGGACACCTTCTCTGATGCCTTCACCCTGGGGGGAGAGACCCAGACTCAGAGCTCCCTGCTCTTCTCCGTGGGCGGGGCTGATAGTCGGACCAAGTCACGACGACCACGGTCCAAGGGGCCAGGACCAGGATTTGGCCAGAGACCAGGTCCTTCTCGACCAACACCAGGAGCAGATGTCAAAAAAGAAGGCCCAGGTTTGACCCACTGTCTCTTCCTTATATCTTTCTTATAACCCTTTTCAGGACAGAATACATCTGAAATAATTAGAGGTAGCTTGTAGTGGCTGCTAAAGCTGAGTAGTAAGATAAAATCTAAGGTAGGTGAGGTGAAATTGGGTTTAACGTCGTGCTTGAGAATATTTCGCTCATATGACGATGTGCATGCGTGTGTATGTGTATGTGCGGCTGCTTGTACTAGCCCAGACTGAAGCTGGTTTTATAGTGCTAGCCCACTGAGATACCATGCCCACAGTTAAGCATGAATACCCCACTCAGACGCATTATACTGACTCCGAGCCGACCAGTCCTTGTTGTACCCATTAATGCCGAATGCCAGGCAGGGACCAACAAGTACCATATTTTAACGTCTGTTGGTATGACGCTGTCGGGGATCGAACCCGTGATCTTCCGCTCCGGGCGGATAAAAACTAAGGAAACCAACCTGTTATCTGTGACTGATGTGGCACAGTCTTTTGTTCAGGCTACTGACTACCACATGCTCTACCACAGCCTGTTGTCACAACATTGCGGAATATAGTGCTGTAAGCAACAAACACACATTGACCACACTTGAACTAAAGGCAGCCATGTGAATGTCATGATAATGTAGCTCACATCGGAATAAGATGATTATTTTCTGTGTGTAGAGTCTAGTCAGCAGAGTGACATTCTGAGACTGAAGCGCCGATTCCTGAAGGACCAGGAAGCATCCAGGCTGTATTTTGTGAAGAAGGCATCAAGGATGAACAAGATGAGAGAGGTTTGTCGAACTAACACTATGAGTTCGACCATTTCATACTCTGGTGTATGATAAAAATCATGTCAATGAAAAATATGTAAGAAATCATTATTGTATGTTTTTCACATCTGTCTGTGAGCACCATCACAACCCCATCTGTGTACACGGGGATTCATTTCAAGCTGATCTCAGGTGTAGACTGTACATGGACATATTGGATGACTTGGTTACCTCCTAACAGAATCTCTAGAAGGAGTTTGTATTTCACTGGTTAGATGTTAAGAATTAATCACCTGATCAGCCATCGGGAACCTCTCTTTCCAGACTGCCCGCCAAGAGCAGCAGAAGCGTCGTGAGAACCAGGTGACGATGTACCGCAAGTACCGTATCGGAGACCTGCCGGACATACAGATCAAGAACTCCTACATTATAGCACCCCTGCAGGCAGTTGCCCATGTAAGTCCTCAAACTGACAACTGAGGTTACTTCCAAAAGTAAAAAAAATTCTTGAGAAAAAAATGGATCAGGATTACCCTTGTGCATCGTAAAGCAGAAATAGATTGCTCTCTTTCAAACTTTCTTATTGATGTAGTGATGTTTTATTATAACACTTTGTAATCATGTTGTTTTCATAAATGTGATTCTATTTCTTTTACCTGTTTTCAGCGAGACAGCACCGTGGCCAGATTACTGTTCTCTTCCCTCTTTAAAGCGATATTTGCCAAGATGGACACTGTGAAGACTGAACGAGAGATTGAGGAGATGACTGAGCAAATCAACAAGAGTCTGGACTTAATCTTCACTCTGTCCAGCCAGTACTTTCCTCCATTTCTCTCTTGTATCATGGTAAGGCTTCTCTCTGAACAACCTGTGGCAAAGTTCCTTCCATTTCTCACTTGCATCACCTCCATCCATCTTCTCCATGACCGACCTGTTCCATTCCTTCCATTTCTCACTTGCATCACCTCCATCCGTCTTCGCCATGACCGACCTGTTCCATTCCTTCCATTTCTCACTTGCATCACCTCCATCCATCTTCTCCATGACCGACCTGTTCCATTCCTTCCATTTCTCACTTGCATCACCTCCATCCATCTTCTCCATGACCGACCTGTTCCATTCCTTCCATTTCTCACTCCTGCATCACCTCCATCCATCTCTCATGACCCACCTGTTCCATTCCTTCCATTTCTCACTTTGCATCACCTCCATCCATTTCCTCACCTCCATTCCCTTCCATCACACCTCCATCCATCTTCTATGACCACCTGTTCCATTCTTCCATTTCTCACTTGCATCACCTCCATCCATCTTCTCCATGACCGACCTGTTCCATTCCTTCCATTTCTCACTTGCATCACCTCCATCCATCTTCTCCATGACCGACCTGTTCCATTCCTTCCATTTCTCACTTGCATCACCTCCATCCATCTTCTCCATGACCGACCTGTTCCATTCCTTCCATTTCTCACTTGCATCACCTCCATCCATCTTCTCCATGATCCATCTCACTTGCATCACCTCCATCCATCTTCTTCCATCACCTCCATCCACCTGTTCCACCTGTTCCTTCCATTTCTCACTTGCATCACCTCCATCCATCTTCTCCATGACCGACCTGTTCCATTCCTTCCATTTCTCACTTGCATCACCTCCATCCATCTTTCCTGACCCATGTTCCATTCCTTCCATTTCCACTTGTTCCATCCATCTTCTCCATGACCGACCTGTTCCATTCCTTCCATTTCTCACTTGCATCACCTCCATCCATCTTCTCCATGACCGACCTGTTCCATTCCTTCCATTTCTCACTTGCATCACCTCCATCCATCTTCTCCATGATTGACCTGTTCCATTCCTTCCATTTCCATTTCACCTCCATCCATCTTCTCCATGACCCACCTGTTCCTTTCCTTCCATTTCTCACTTGCATCACCTCCATCCATCTTCTCCATGACCGACCTGTTCCATTCCTTCCATTTCTCACTTGCATCACCTCCATCCATCTTCTCCATGACTGACCTGTAGTTCTGTTCCTTCCCTATCTCACTTGTATCATGGAGAGGCACCATGTTCCCTCTGCCCAAGCAGTATGGTAAACTCCCTTCATCTCAGTAGATGAGAACTGATTACAGATTTGGCATTTTACTTTGTTCCGTGACATACAGAGGTGTGATAAGTGATAGTATCTCCCTGTTGCAGGATATCCTGTACGACCTGAGGACCACGCTGAAGGTGGAGCCAGCCAACCTCGGAGTGTGTGCTGTTATCAGCAACCTGCAGCCCCTAGGTAAGAACCAGTGACAGGCTGTCTAAAAACCTGGCCTCTTTCCACAAAGAGATCTTTTCTAAAAGATCATAACTCAGTATATTTTCCACAGTTGTAGAGTACAAGATGCAGGCAGCATGGCCTGTTAGAGGTTTTACATGTACGAGAAATAAAGTAATATATGTCAACTGATCAGGGATGAAGAAGCTTCATAGTAGATCAATAGCATCAGTCCCTTCCTCATGACCAAATTATTTGTATTATTATATTGATGAATACAAGATTATAAAATAGTACTATTATTCCTCATGTACACATTACCATATATGATCAAAAGCCCACTTCATGGCTGTAAGGACAGGCATTGCTGTTGTTTGAGAATGTTGATGATGTTGCCAGGGCTAACTGTAATGGAGGAGCAGTTGATCCAGTGTAACACCGAGGAAGCTCGGCCCACTAAACGTGGCAAGATGGAGGCCACAACCGTCTCTCTGGACACCAGTCTGTGGATAGAGATGGCCAGGTCAGGCTTTTATGCAGCAGCTAGTGGTAAACAGATGTGTTATGAGTAGCTAAATTTGTGAGAAGTAGGGACTGCTCTTATCAGGGACAGACCCATTATTGGTTGTTCAGCCAGCAGCCAGAGCATGTTTGCAATAGACTGGCAGTCACATGCATGATGGTGTTACCACTGATGGCATCGCTCACACTCTTGGACCATTTGACAAATTCGTTGGGGTCACATGCAGGCCCTGTCATCTCTGTGTACCAGTAACTACTTGACTTAGTTTGGTTAAATTTTGTTACCAGACACTGACAAACTTTACAGTCTAGTTTATTACCATGAGGGGCTTAAATGTTATTAAACTTGGTATTTGAGGTCAGAAGTTAAGAAACCAAAATGTCTCTCTCTTGTGCTGGGTGCCTTCAACTGACTCATACTAAATGTATGTCATGTAAGACTCTTTCAAAATATATGCAGTTTTTCAGTGATGCATATCCACAGGTTATCCATTTTTATGAAAATGCTCAGACCCTGTGTTTACTAATTTTGTATAAAATCTCTGACCGACAGACTGTACAAGTCCGTGGACGAGAACGAGTACGACGTTCTTCAGGGGATCTTCAGCGGCAAGATCAAGACCAAACCCATCACCAGCAAGGCTCTAGAGGCCGAGGCTAGAGGGGACTACCAGGGAGCCAGGAAACTCTACGAGGAGGTAAGTGATCCTTCTGATGGCAAGTACTTGATATAGACTCGCGTAAAAATATGTAACAGAAAGATAGCTCTGTAGATTCAACCTTGCTAATATTGACAATATATATATACCCCAGTGACAATAAGTGTCCATTCTCTTGTTGTGTGTAGGCAGAAATGGAGAGAGCAGTGGGGTAGGCTAGTTGTTTCTTATAAACCAAAGACTCGGATGTGACAACCAGTGTGTGGAGCCAATTGTTTGTGCCCCCTGCTGTGATGTAGATGGCTGGAAATATGGCTGTATTGAATGTAAGGGTCAATGAACCCACTCAGTCATGCTGGTTAAAACAAGTTAAAGGACACTTGGTTCTTTCACTACAGTTAATCAGTCCTGGAACAACAGATTAATTAGGATGAAAGAATCAGGTTTTTTTTTACTTCCTTTACGTTGTATATAAGAATATTTGGTGAGAAGGAACAACTTGTACAAAATGACAAAAGTATGGATCGTGTTTGGAATCGTAATTATCGAACCAGCTCACAGCTTGATGTTAGCATTGAAACTCGACAATGTCATTGTTTGCCTTGTCTATGCCTGATCGGGTTTAATACTACCTTATGTAGTTTTAAGATCCACTGCTTGGAATTCTGGGATGTGTGTATGACCCATGTTGTTGCAGGCGTTGTCGTGTAATGATTGGAAGGGAGAAGACCCAACTGATGCTGAGGTGGATCTGTGGGAAGATGCCAGGATGGAGGTATGCTGCACTCAGTGTTAGAGTAGGTCTCCATCAACGGCCTCCTCAGGTTGTCGTATGCAACTTAATGGATCTGGTAGAGTTGGGCAGTGGGGTAGCCTCGTGGTGAAAGCATTTGCTCGTCATGCCAAAGACACATGTTTGATTCTCCATGTGGGTACAATGTGTGAAGCCCATTTCTGGTGTGATATTGCTAAACTCACTCACTGCTGTTCTGGCTGTGTGACTGGATTAATAGCATGCCTGTTGTTGTGGATCATTGCTGTATCAGTGTTTTGTCAGGTCCACATTTGAATATTTACAATCTTCTGCCTTAAATTTTAAATATAAAATCTTTCAAAACCATTCTAATGACTGTTTCGTAAGTTGTCCGTGAATGTTCAGTATAAATCATTACTCTGTATTAATCTGTGAACTCCATCTCCAGTGTTTGGACCACTTGACTCAGTGGGATGCTCTACAAGAGATCTGCAACAACGGCATCGACAGCACTGGTACGGGAACACTCAGCAATGTTTGGGGGGTTCAGGTACGTACCTGCCGCGTATGACTCATTTTGCTCAGGTACTGTATGTTTGACTTATTCCAGGTGAACCTAAATGAATGTGTGTAAAATCTGTTCCAGGAGCACTACCTGCTGCGCAGCATGTTGAAAGTGGAAGATGTCTGTTCCAGGAGCACTAGCTGCTGCGCAGCATGGTGAAAGTGGAAGATGTCTGTTCCAGGAGCACTACCTGCTGCGCAGCATGTTGAAAGTGGAAGATGTCTGTTCCAGGAGCACTACCTGCCGCGCCTGCTGTCTGTTAGCACTATGCGCAGTTGAAAGTGGAAGATGTCTGTTCCAAGAGCACTACCAACCATACTGGCTGTGCATTTTGAATGTGTAAATGTTCCAGGAGTAGTACCTGCCTTATTTGTTGCGGTACATTTTGAATGTGTATAATGTCTGTTCCAGGAGCAGTACAAGATAACGAGCTGTGCTGCATTTTAAATGTATATAATATCTATTCCATTCATACCAACCCTATGAGCTATGGAGTATTTTGAATGTGTATCATGTTCCAGGAGCACTACCTGCCCTACCTGCTGCGCAGCAAGTTGAAGCTGATGCTGCAGGGAGATGAGAATCAGCAGTCTTTCCTCACCTTCATCGATGATGCCATGAAGGAGGTGGAGAGGAAGACACTCTTGGAGGTATACACAGTAATGGAGGGTCTAGGCATAGTGGAACACTGATGATGATAGCACTCCTTACGGATTATGTTCGCTGGATCTCTGGTAGCAGTAAATTTAGCATGTTGATTGAACATGCAAATATCCACAATAATTGACTACTTTGGTCTCAGAAAAGACACCAAAAAGGACAATCTGTGTGATTTTAGCTCATTCAATTATGATCTTCGTAGAAATGGATGCTAGCATGCGTTAAGGTTTATGTAAATATGGAGCTAATGCTTGGCTCTGTTTATGGCCAGTCAACAGTCTTGACAATGTGTCATGTTTATGGATCTTATTGCTGAGAATGTATTATTATAAGTGGTGGATTGATGGCCACTCTGGTCTCATCTATATGGGAGGTTTATTCTCTACCTAGTTTTCATCATGGAGAGACTAGGTTCAAGTATGATGCACTGTAGGACACTGCCCCTGATTGCAGTAATACTGCAGTCTTAAATGTTTCTGAATGACTCAGTTTGAACTATACACAAAGATTATGTTCAGCTAGTATTATTACCAGTGAAGATCCGGGTTAGAATTGGTCTTCAGCAACCCATGCTTGTCATAACAGGCGACTAACAGAATTGGGTGGTCAGGCTCGTTGACTTGGTTTGACACATTTCATCATATCCCAATTGCGTAGATCAATTCTCATGATGTTGATCACTGATTGCCTGGCTGATTATATACAGACCGCTGCCATATAGCTGGAACATTGCTAGTGCAGCTAGTTTATTAGATGATGTCAGGACTTTAAAATACACATAGTTTGAACAATGATAATGGTGTATTAAGATTCTTGACTTCTATATATTCACGAGATGAGCTGTCAGCTGCAATATGTCATAGAATATGATTTTGAAATCTAGCAGCCAGCAATGGTATGTCTCTCTGTTATCCTGTAGACCAAATGGCTAGCAGTAACATGTTATTTTCAGAGTCACTACTGCTTTGAGCTGGCGCTGATGTACCTGTGGCAGGAGGACTACGACAGATCCAGGCATTACTCCACCATGGCGTCACAGAAATTCCTACAGGTACACAATGTACCTTACCCCTGAACTCTTTTGTTCAAAACACCAACTCTGAAATGAATATGAATTTTATGTATTTATGAAATGTAAAAGATTTCTTTGTCGTGGTTAGTGTTATAACAACATTTCTTAGAATCTCACTGTATCTACATTTATGTACCTTTGTCTACCTTTGTCTACCTCTGTCCTCCAGGTATATTGCTGAGTGTCAGAATATAGATCTAAGAGTTAATATAGGTCTTAGATCTTAATGACAATTACTAGTATTACCTGTGATGACCAATTCTCTATCTACCTGCTATTACCTTTTTCTACCTGGGATCATATAATCTCAAGTGTATACCTGTGATTACCAAATCTCCAGTGTCTACCTGTATTAACTGTAACTACAACTGATACTTCTGACTACCTGTGGGGCGGTGGGGTAGCCTAATGGTTAAAGCGTTGACTCGTCATGCCGAAGACCCGGGTTCGAATCCCCACATGGGCACAATGTGTTGAAGCCCATTTCTGGTGTCCCCCGCTGTGATGTTGCTGGAATATTGCTAAAAGCGGCGTAAAACCAAACTCAGTCAGTCAGTCTGACTACCTGTGATTACACTTTTCTTCCGGTGATTACTGATATCCCAATGTCTACTTGTGATTACCTATATTCTACCTGTGTTACTTCCATGTACCTGTATCTATGTCCCCAGGACTGGAGCAGTACAGACACACTGATGGCCTCCAGTCGGACATGTCAGCTCCAAAGACTGCAGCCTCTCATGGAGTTGCAGGAGTTCCTCACATTCCGCAGCAAAGAAAGTTAGTACCTGTTGCAGATCCCTTACTGATAATTAAACACCACCTGTCTTCATAAGACATGTTTTTCACAATCAGAAATGCCGGTATTATCCTTATGAAGGTAGTCAGAAGCTAAGGGATTTTTGTTTAATGTTGAATTGGGTGTCCAGTTCCTAAACCAGGCACATGCATACAAGTTATTATTAAAGTAGTTAGAACCATCAGATTTTCTCAGTCACCCTGCATTCCACTGCTATCAGTATTTAATCCTCGACATATTCCAAGAATGCCATATTCCTTCCAGGCAACTTTTCATCAACTGGTCCTGCCCGGCACCTGGCCCAACAATGGGAAGGTCGAGCCCCTCATCTTCTCCTTGACTCCACAGACACCTGGGATGATGTCATCACCAACAGGTAGTCACAATAATGTGTATCTCTCATGTTCATATTTTTAATTCTCCCCACCCAGAGTAAACGTGAACTTATGTCATGACCAGTTTGTTCAGTGTCCAGTGTCAATCATCCTCTTAGGAGCTACTGGACCAATGAAGCTGGGACTTCATGTGCTTGTTCTCATCATTGTTGGCACCCCTGTTTGTTCAAGCGGTTGAAAAGTGATTTTCAATATGGCAGCCATTTTGGAAAACCTATCATTGGCCAATAATCAGCCATATTATTTTTAAAACAGAATATGATTTGATGCATTTGAAGTTATAAGTGTGACTCGACTTATATATATTTTTTTCAACTATTTATTTTGCATTATCATATATTCAGACTTTGTTTGGACTATGCTGTTATAATCTCAAAGGCAGGCTCAGAAGAAAATGTTTATCCTTGTAATGACATGGTATATTGTTCAAATCAGTTGAATTTAGTATTAGTCTACTCATTTATTTGTCTACTCACTGGTTTCATCAGTTACTGCTAAGTGCTTAGCCAATTATGTCAGTTATGTTGTCTACTTTGCCAGTATGTTGTTTTCATTGTTATATTCAGTATATATAAATCTCCTCCTCTTCATGTATCATTCCTGCTTGACAATGGTGCAAGAATCTGTATCGAAACGTCTCACTCACGAAAAAAATGAAGTTGTTATCCATATATAGTTTGTTCTATATTGTCATGCTAAGTGTTAAATTGAGTATTTGGTTGTAGGAATGTCTTCCTGGACCTGATCTGTAACCGCCTGGCACAGCAGACTATGAAGAACGATTCCATGGAGGAAATGATGGAGGAGGACATGTTTGAGGATACCAAACTGAGGCTGAAACTGGCAATGGCTGAGAGTGCACGGGATCAGAACAACTTCACACTGACGCTCCGGATACTGAAGGAGACTCACGGGGTAGGTGGTACAACTTTACCCTGACGCTGAAAGAGACACACAGTCGGTGGTACAACTTTACCCTGACGCTCCGGATACTGAAGGAGACTCAAGGGTAGGTGGTACAACTTTACCCTGGCTCTCCCGATACTGAAAGAGACTCATGGGTAGGTGGTACAACTTTACCCTGACACTCTGGATACTGAAAGAGACTCATGGGGTACATGGTATAACTTTACCCTGGCACTGCAGATACTGAAAGAGACTCACGGGTAGGTGGTACAACTTTACCCTGGCAATCCAGATACTGAAGGAGACTCACGGGTAGGTGGTACAACTTTACCCTGACACTCTGGATACTGAAAGAGACTCATGGGGTACATGGTACAACTTTACCCTGACACTCCGGATACTGAAAGAGACTCATGGGTAGGTGGTACAACTTAACCCTGACGCTCCGGATACTGAAAGAGACTCACGGGTAGGTGGTACAACTTTACCCTGGCACTCCGGATACTGAAGGAGACTCATGGGTAGGTGGTAAAACTTTACCCTGGCACTCCGGATACTGAAAGAGACTCACGGGTAGGTGGTACAACTTTACCCTGACACTCCGGATACTGAAGGAGACTCACGGGTAGGTGGTACAACTTTACCCTGACACTCCGGATACTGAAGGAGACTCAAGGGTAGGTGGTACAAATTTACCCTGACACTCTGGATACTGAAAGAGACTCATGGGGAACATGGTACAACTTTACCCTGACACTGCAGATACTGAAAGAGACTTATGGGTAGGTGGTACAACTTTACCCTGACACTCCAGATACTGAAAGAGACTCAAAGGTAGGTGGTAAAACTTTACCCTGGCACTCCCGATACTGAAAGAGACTCACGGGTAGGTGGTACAACTTTACCCTGACACTCTGGATACTGAAAGAGACTCATGGGGTACATGGTATAACTTTACCCTGACACTCTGGATACTGAAAGGGACTCATGGGGTACATGGTATAACTTTACCCTGACACTGCAGATACTGAAAGAGACTCACAGCTAGGTGGTACAACTTTACCCTGGCACTCCAGATACTGAAGGAGACGCACGGGGTAGGTGGTACAACTTTACCCTGGCACTCCGGATACTGAAAGAGACTCATGGGTAGGTGGTACAACTTTACCCTGACACTCTGGATACTGAAAGAGACTCACGGGGTACATGGTACAACTTTACCCTGACACTCCGGATACTGAAAGAGACTCATGGGTAGGAGGTACAACTTGACCCTGACACTCCGGATACTGAAAGAGACTCACGGGTAGGTGGTAAAACTTTACCCTGGCACTCCGGATACTGAAAGAGACTCACGGGTAGGTGGTACAACTTTACCCTGACACTCGGATACTGAAGGAGACTCGAGGGTTGGGGCACAACTTTACCCTGACTCGGATACTGAAAGAGATACTGAAGGAGACTCAAGGGGTAGGTGGTACAACTTTACCCTGGCACTCCAGATGCTGAAGGAGGCCGAGGGTGTTGGGGGCACAACTTCACCCTGACTCTCCAGATACTGAAGGAGACCGAGGGTGTTGGGGGCACAACTTTACCCTGACTCTCCAGATACTGAAGGAGACTCACGCAGGGGTAGGTGGTACAACTTTACCCTGACACTCCAGATACTGAAGGAGACTCACGAGGGTAGGTGGTACAACTTTACCCTGACACTCGGATACTGAAGGAGACTCAAGGGGGTAGGTGGTACAACTTTACCCTGACACTCTGGATACTGAAGGAGACTCACGGGTAGGTGGTACAACTTTACCCTGGCACTCTGGATACTGAAAGAGACTGATGGGGATACTGAAAGAGACTCACGGGTAGGTGGTACAACTTTACCCTGACACTCCGGATACTGAAGGAGACTCAAGGGTAGGTGGTACAACTTTACCCTGGCACTCCGGATACTGAAAGAGACTCATGGGTAGGTGGTACAACTTTACCCTGACGCTCTGGATACTGAAAGAGACTTATGGGGTACATGGTACAACTTTACCCTGACACTGCAGATACTGAAAGAGACTCACGGGTAGATGGTAAAACTTTACCCTGACGCTCCGGACACTGAAGGAGACTGACAGGGTACTTGGTACAACTTTACCCTGACTCTCCGGATACTGAAGGAGACTGAGGGTGTTGGGGGCACAACTTTACCCTGACTCTCCGGATACTGAAGGAGACTGAGGGTGCTGGGGGCACAACTTCACCCCGACTCTCCGGATACGGAAGGAGACTGAGGGTGTTGGGGGCACAACTTTACCCTGACTCTCCAGATACTGAAGGAGACTCACGAGGTAGATGGTACAACTTTACCCTGACTCTCCAGATGCTGAAGGAGACCGAGGGTGTTGGGGGCACAACTTCACCCTGACACTCTGGATACTGAAGGAGACCGAGGGTGTTGGGGGCACAACTTTACCCTGACTCTCCAGATACTGAAAGAGACTCACGGGTAGGTGGTACAACTTTACCCTGACTCTCCAGATACTGAAGGAGACCGAGGGTGTTGGGGGCACAACTTTACCCTGACTCTCCAGATACTGAAGGAGACTCACGGGGTAGGTGGTACAACTTTACCCTGACTCTCCAAATACTGAAGGAGACCGAGGGTGTTGGGGGCACAACTTTACCCTGACTCTCCAGATACTGAAGGAGACTCACGGGGTAGGTGGTACAACTTTACCATGACTCTCCAGATACTGAAGGAGACCGAGGGTGTTTGGGGCACAACTTTACCCTTACTCTCCAGATACTGAAGGAGACCGAGGGTGTTGGGGGCACAACTTTACCCTGACTGTCATGAGTACTGAAGGAGACCGAGGGTGTTGGGGGCACAACATTACCCTGACTCTCCGGAAAACTGAAGGAGACCGAGGGTGTTGGGGGCACAACTTTACCCTGACTGTCATGAGTACTGAATGAGTCTCTAGTTCTCTATCCTTTGTGGAGTAATTCTAGTTTAGAGTCCTTGGTCAGTAGGAGCTTAATTACAGGCATATGTGCATGTTTGAATCACCTTATGTTGATGTAACATATTATTAATAATTTCTATTTGTAGCGATGTAAGCGTAGTGGTGATGAGAGACACCTGGTGGAATGGACTCACCTGTACGCCAGCACACACCACAGGAAGTCTACCAGCTCTCTGGATCAATGGACCGACGACACCTTCAACAATGTACTTACCACCCTCGATCAACTAGGTATGTGTCATACTTCCAGTAAAGTGCAACAGCACAGGTGACTTCATCAGGAATGTAGCAAGCCATTTTTTCCCCTGTAAGCCCAATAGGTTACAAGCTTCATATTTACATAGTATTGAGGGCTTGTCCAGCCTTTTTAGCAACAATCATGTATAAGCCTGGGCTTTTTATATTATGGTAACTACGCTCCTGCTCATCGTCTCGTGTTCTGCAAGATGATGTCCCTTCAGCATACCAGAAGCCTACCAGGGGTGGAAATAACCCATTGCCCGACGTCCGAGTCCAGTGTTTTATTCTGTCGGGCAAGCAAATTTGTATATCACACTGTACCGGTGTCCAGTTGACTTTCCAATGTTAATTGTGTTGTTTATTTAAAAAATCAGCAAGAAAACGGTCGGTATAGTGGGAAAATTATCAGGGCAAGTGACTTTACATATGCCACTGTACCGGGGTACACTATCAATTTTAAAGTTATTTCCACCCCTGCCTACTACAAAGACTTCCACGTTAGGTTGACATGTTGTGACATTATCATCATTTAGTTTTCTATCAGTGTTAAACCAATACACCATCTTACACATGTCAAGGTCAAACTTGGGTGGGACCCAAATTAAGGACATAACTAAAAAGGGTTGAGTAACGTGAGTTGGTTTGATGTTGCTGGGAACCTTATTTCTATAATTTCTCAGCGTGTCATGACAATGGTGGTGGAAGAATCATCATGACATTACCTTGTCATTAAGGTGATGCATCTCATTGGAGTGAGTCGCTCAACCTCAGACCACTAGGCCTCCTTATGTACTGATTAGGAATCATAAGGGTACCTCTTATACTAAGAGCAATTCACATGAAGATCCGGGTTAGAATTGGTCCTCAGCAACCCATGCTTGTCGTAAGAGGCGAGTAACAGGATCGGGTGGTCAGGCTTGGTTGACTTGGTTGGGGCATGTGATGGTATCCCTGCGTAGTGGAATAAGTGTGTCATGTCTTGAGCAATACATGGTCAGACTACAAATACAATATTTAATACCGCATTGGCTGCTCTGGTTGAAAAACATTTCTTTTCAGTGTCTACAAAAAAAATCTGCATAATCCAAAGTTGGTCGTGAACAATTGTACCTTGGCACATGTTGAAATATTAGCAACAATATGTATATGATTAGACATAAAACACCCACTTTTGCAGGACACATGTCATTATATCGCAATTGTGTAGATCAATGCTCATGTTGTTGATCACTGGATTGTCTGGTCCAGACTCCAGATGGCAAACAACAAACAAACAAACGCCCACTTTTGCAGGGAAGTATTCCAGCAGTGATGTACTGACGGAGCGGCCGGACCTTGGCGTCGTCACTGTGTGTTGACGGGTCAGGCCTTCCAGCTGCTGGGGATGGACTCGTCACCCTGGGGGACATGAAGGACCTCAGTCAGAAGACCAGCGATAAACTCTTTGAATACTCTGGAGGGAAGAAACTTTCTATAGAAGAGGTGGGTACACTAGTTTACATGGCTCGCTGAATAGAGTTTTGTGTATGCAGTCTTAACAATTTGTAGTTTATTTTCAAGACTATTCCAAAAGATTCGAGTAAGAAATGTACAGTATTACTAATACCAAAATACACTTTTCAAAGGACATATTTTGCCCCAAAAAATTCTGTGTTCCTGTGTATTGGTTGAAATACTCAATGAATACACAATGCCTGCTGAGTGAGTGAGTGAGTGAGTTTGGTTTTATGCTGCCTTTAGCAATATTCCAGCAAACACCAGAAATGGGTTCACACACTGTACCCATGTGGTGATTTGAACCTGGGCTTTTGGCATGACGATCGAAACTTTAATCACTTGGCTACCTCACCACCCCCCAATGCCTGTTGAAACAAAAATACAAGTTTCATTATTATTTGTGTCATTTGATGTAATATGAACTGATGTTCCCTTTGGGACAAAATGGTGGATATTGTTTAGTTGTACAGTGGAAACCCTCTAAACCGGCAGCCCTCCAATCCGGCATGCTCTCAATATCGGCACTAGATTTTTTTCCCGGCAGAAACTAATTAATATATGATTCTCGGCATCTCAGCTCTCCTGTTGATTGGCTGATTGACTGAACGTGTATTAACAACACAGTGGATTACCATTCGTTGGTTTCACATTAATTTTCGACTCGCTCTGCGCATGCGTAGAGCGTGTAAAAATATCCACTGGTCAACTTCCGGTTTGGTCGTATTAGCGGTATTGTAAACACACTCTAAATAAATGCTGTATGGATATTATTTACGCGTGACAACTGTTCATAGTTGAGTACATACATCCATTTGCCTATGCTTTTCAATAATTGATGTCCTATTTTGGTGGCATTGCATCAGAGATGTGTTTTTGACTTGTGAGAAGGGGATGTGCAGGAAGGACAGTGGACAGGTGGTGGTGAGATGTGTTTATACAAGAGCTTGTTAACAAACGTTAAGCTATTTATTTAACTAATTCCGGTCCCTTCCATTCATAAATGAATTGACATTAGTTAAATTCGACATAAAACCATATATTTGTTTTGATTTTTGCTTTCTTTAGAGTGTGTTTACACTATCGGTAAAGCTTACGACCAAACCGGAAGTTGGCCCGTTGATATTTTTACACGCTCTGTGCATGCACACAGCGAGTTGAAAATTAATTTGAAACCAACGAATCTGCATTAAGCTCATTTATCTTGCCTGATAAAAGGAGTATGAATAAGGATTAGGCCTAAGTAGGCGAGGTAAATTGGTGAGTGACACGTGTCACTTGTATTATAAATTGTCATATGAATGAAAACAGTAAATTTGACAAAATTAACACACTGACGCATGATTGGTTTTTGACTGCATGCTGTGAAAACATTTCCATTTTCTGGCCCTATTTTGAAAGAGAGAGCTATTCGACGGGAAAAGTTCTCGAAACCGGCATGCCCTCTATACCGGCATTTTTTGCCCTCCCAACGAATGCCGGTTTAGAGGGCTTCCACTGTATATGAACAAAGTGGCAAGCATTGTAAAGAAACAGCAACTGAGTTTTGTACAGGAAACACATGAGTTTCGTAGGTCAGTTCATGAGTGATGAAGCTTCTCATATAATTATGTATTTCGAAATATTTAAGACCATGATATATCTGCAGACGAAGGACAAGTTAATTGAGCGGGGATACCGTGAGATCAAGACATCTGTGAGTGTTGACAATGAAAGAGAGGTCCGCCAGTCCAAGTATGGCTGCGATGAGGCGTATCTGGCCATGGCTAAATACTGTGATAAAGTACTGAGGGACCTGGAAGATGGTAAGTATCAGTCTGTGTGGCACCAAGAAGATGGAGGGGGAGACCTGTGTTTATATTTACTATGGTAGAAATAATTCATACAACTATAGAGGGTACAGGCAGCCATGATATAGACAATACTTGCCTCACTAGTCCATTTTTCTAAGCTGCGGCAAGAAACTGTCCAGATGGTTGCTTCAACTCCCCAATCAACCGTGATAACGGTGTAAGAATCTACACGAAGTTGCTCTATGCAGTAGACAAGTTGCTATCCATGAAGCGTATCATTATTGACTCACCGACTTCTGGAATGCCAATAAAACAATCAGTCGGCAATAGAACACATCTGGAGCAATCTGCCCGTTGTATTCACAGATGGTATGAAAGTTGTATACATGGTGTTGTATATATGTTAAAGTTATATGTGATAGTTTCTCTTGGTGCATTATATCATTTTGAAACAATTTCCATTCAAACCCATAAAACAAATATTGATTGTTTTCTTGTCTCAGTTGTGTGAGTTATTATCACAGATGAGGGTGATCTGTCGCCGGCGGTAGTGAAAGCGTTCCCAGACACGGTGGTGGTCTGCATGCTGAAGGCCATGAAGCTAGGGTCTGTGGAAGCTAGGGAGAGATTCCCTCGACTCATGCAGCTTGTGGAGTACTACCCCGAAACCATGGCAACATTCAGAGAAAAGGTGGGAAGCTGAATTTGTAACACAAAAATGATCTGTCATTAATGTCTTTAACTGAAATAGATTTGAGAGTTGAGGGCAGGTTTCAAGTCGCTAGATCAGTTTTTAAAATGAAGGTATTTGTTTTGGCCTGTAGTTTAGCTGCTATAGTATAAGAGTCTGGTTACTGTTATGTTTAACATTAGGGTTTTCACAGAGAAAAACTTGATATTCAAATGAAGTTTTGATTCAGGATTCCTATCATGTATTGTGGTTTGAAATTTTGACAAGTTTGCAGATAGTTGTTGGAGGGGGTAAGTGTTTATGACCTTCAGCGATTTTGTTGTGTTCAGCAAAATTACAATTGGCGGACACAGTAACAAGTTTCATCAGCCTAATGCATGTCCACATGAATGCTAGGTCTCATGTTGTGGCTGGGGAAGCACTGACCACCCAACTACTGTGGTACTCACATGTTCCAAGTGAGGCTCTGAAAAATATTCTTCTCAGGTTCTGACTTTTGAATTGGTACACGATACTTGTTTTTTAATGGGTTCAAGAAAGTACAACAAAAGGTGGCTGAACTTTTGTTTTGAGTCTGTATATGTAAGTGTTGATGAAGCAGAAGTAAAACTGTCACTGTACTGATTGTGAAACAGTGAATGTTTTCTGGTGTTGGCTGAGTCGTAGAGAGAGACCGTGTATTGAATGTCATGTATTACAGAGTCAGGATGTGCCCAACTGGATGTTTTCTGGTGTTGGCTGAGTCGTAGAGAGACACCGTGTATTGAATGTCCTGTATTACAGAGTCAGGAGGTGCCCAACTGGATGTTTTCTGGTGTTGGCGGAGTCCGTACAGAGTCAGAGACATCGTGTATTGAATGTCCTGTATTACAGAGTCAGGAGGTGCCCAACTGAATGTTTTCTGGTGTTGGCTGAGTCGTAGAGAGAGACCGTGTATTGAATGTCCTGTATTACAGAGTCAGGAGTTGCCCAGCTGAATGTTTTCTGGTGTTGGCTGAGTCGTAGAGAGAGACCGTGTATTGAATGTCCTGTATTACAGAGTCAGGAGGTGCCCAACTGAATGTTTTCTGGTGTTGGCTGAGCGGTAGAGAGAGACCGTGTATTGAATGTCCTGTATTACAGAGTCAGGAGGTGCCCAACTGGATGTTTTCTGGTGTTGGCTGAGCGGTAGAGAGAGAGACCGTGTATTGAATGTCCTGTATTACAGAGTCATGAGGTGACCAACTGGATGTTTTCTGGTGTTGGTATTGAGTACAGAGTCAGGAGCCCAGAGAGAGACCGTGTATTGAATGTCCTGTATTACAGAGTCAGGAGGTGCCCAGCTGAATGTTTTCTGGTGTTGGCTGAGCGGTAGAGAGAGACCGTGTATTGAATGTCCTGTATTACAGAGTCAGGAGGTGCCCAACTGAATGTTTTCTGGTGTTGGCTGAGCGGTAGAGAGAGACCGTGTATTGAATGTCCTGTATTACAGAGTCATGAGGTGACCAACTGGATGTTTTCTGGTGTTGGCTGAGTCGTAGAGAGAGACCGTGTATTGAATGTCCTGTATTACAGAGTCAGGAGGTGCCCAACTGGATGTTTTCTGGTGTTGGCTGAGTCGTAGAGAGAGACCGTGTATTGAATGTCCTGTATTACAGAGTCAGGAGGTGCCCAACTGAATGTTTTCTGGTGTTGGCTGAGTCGTAGAGAGACATCGTGTATTGAATGTCCTGTATTACAGAGTCAGGAGGTGCCCAACTGAATGTTTTCTGGTGTTGGCTGAGCGGTAGAGAGAGACCGTGTATTGAATGTCCTGTATTACAGAGTCAGGAGGTGCCCAACTGGATATTTTCTGGTGTTGGCTGAGTCGTAGAGAGAGAGCGTGTATTGAATGTCCTGTATTACAGAGTCAGGAGGTGCCCAGCTGGATGTTCATTCTGTGGCTGGCCCAGATGATGGCACTGCTGGACAAGAAGGAGGCCCCAGCTGTACAACCCATCGTTATCAGCCTTGCCACAGACTACCCACAGGTAGAACTACACTGTGTTACTCTTGTTATGGTAGTGCAAATCTGTTGAAGATAAATTGATGAAGTTTTGAGACTCAAAAAGATAAAAACAACATATAAACCTAACCTGATACATGAAACAACTGAAAAGTGGCTTAAACCATCTCTCATACGATGTGCTCAAGACCTTTGCATACATTCCACACGTCATGCAAATCTGTTTGCATGAAATTTGGCCAGTTAAAGCTTAGAGTTGTATATTTGCACGAAGATGTCCTGTAATATTGCTGGCATGGCTAAAGTTACACAGTTACTCTTTCCTCTTGCCAGGCTGTCATTTACCCCTTCAGGATAAGCTGTGAAGGGTTTACGTTTGGGAAAACTCCCCAGGATGCTAAGAACAAACAGGCAGTGGAAGAGTGAGTGTTTCCTATCAAACTTTGATAATATGGATGCATAGTAATTTACATGTAGAGCTGTGATACATGTAGATGTGATAGCCTTAAGAATGCTATGTTTACTTGCAAAGTGGAGCCGGAGCCTAGTGCTCAGACTATTGTCTTTATATATATAGTGGAATCTTATTAGTCGAGTGAGTGAGTTTAGTTTTACGCCACACCCAGCAGTATTCTAGCTATATAGCAGCGGTCTGTAAATAATCAAGTCTGGACCAGACAATCCAGTGATCAACAGCAGGAGCATCGATCTGCACAATTGGGAACTGATGACATGTGTCAATCCAGTCAGCGAGCCTGACCACCCGATCCCGTTACTCGCCTCTAATGACAAGCATAGGTTACTGAAGATCAATTCTAACCCGGATCTTCATGGGTTATTAGTCTGGATGGTTCAGTTTCATAACAATATGTGAGGATTATGACACGTGTTGATTTTGCTGTGAATTCAGTGAAAGTTTGCTGTCATCATTTTGTAAGAGCAGTTTATCAAATAAGGGTGATGTACTGATCAGTTCATTTCTGTTTGTGGGTATCATGTGGTACACGTCTTAGACCTGCGTAACTTCAGGCTTTGACCCCCACATTAAGCTGACACGTTATGATATACCGGTAACTGGAATACTGTTTAAAGCATGTTATATCCAACACTTTCATTCTGGATTGAAATGTTTATACAACATTTATATTGTTTATCCATGTTTTGATGATTCCTTTTCAGGATTTCCTCTCTTCTGACTGAAGACAGAGTGCCACTGGTGTCGAAATTGATCAGTGCTCTCAACCAGTTTGGTCAACCAGAAATGCTGTTTAAGGTAAGTCTCAGTCAAAAGAAACTGTTTCTGAAAACTGAAGCCTAAGTCCTGTCAGACCTAGAATTAACAAGTGTGCAATATTTCCCTGTCACAGGACTGGTCGACAGACATGAGCAAGCTGCTTCAGTCCAGCAGGAAGACCAAGGAGAAGATCCTGGATATGTACCAGGAAATGTATGAAGGTCTGATTGAAAACAAGACCTCAGCATCATCAGTGGAACCCTCCGGGACACAGCTGTCTATACTGACCAGCACAAGTTCCGTTGGCTTCGGAGAGTATCGCAGAAAATTTGCAGATGTATGTACTGCTGTTGCTTGTTAGGTTACATTTCATGCTGAAATGCTGACATTTCTGAAATTACATTTTTGTGATCAAGATGAAAAGAAATCTTTCATGTTGGGTTGTTATGACAGTATGATGTCAAGAAAGATCCTTTAAAGTCCTTTTTTTCTATGAAACATTTTCTGCTTTTAAATAATACAACAATGTTTAAGCATCACCATATAATTGGATGTGCTAAATTTTCATCAGAATTTGGTCACACTGGCCTCATCTTGTTGTCGACATCATGTAACACAACGAGTTATTTATATAATCAATTTGGGATCCAAGAGAAGTGTTTTGGGGCACCTTGACTGGTCATGCCAAGGGTCAAGGTCTTACTCAGAGGTCAAGCCAGGGCTCAAACCCTGAAGAATTTTAAAATTCAAAAATCATAATTCAAAAAGTGTTTACAGTGAAACGTGGTACATGTCATCCTTTGGAACTTGTTTTGAAAATATTTTGAATGGCCTATTTGTAAGGTCAAGGTCTCGGTGAAAAACAATGAATGTCATGGTTAAGTGATCAAAGATTAGTGGTAGGTCACTGTGACTGACTTTCAACAAGTAGCATGGGCTATTTTAAATGATTAGGTTAAATTCAAACATTTAGACTTCATATATGTTATTTTGTGCTGGATAACTCTTCTGGAATGGGCCATTTTGAGTTGGTTGTGTTTGAGTGATGTGTTGTGAGGCCGGGAACTTAAAGGATACATGTTCTACATTTCGTTTCCGCTCAGCATGGAGCACATTTTGCAGAATGCAATATATGAGATATATTAAGTCTTTCTTCTAATTTTCTTATAAATTTGGTATTTTATTGTTCTTTTATTGTTATTTCCAGAAATTCAAGAAAGATATGGAGACTCGCTTCGGGAAGGGAGGAAGTAAAATAGTCAGCATGAGCTATAAGGTGAGTGTTTGGTTTGACTGACTATTCAGCAACTATGTTCACAAAGGCTCAGTCTTTCAACTTAAGTTGTCTCTTGTTACAGGAATTTGGGAAAGTTGTGAAAGGTTTTAATGATGAGTTTGACAAGTTGAAAGAAGGACGTGGCGCTATGCTGATACCCCCTACTACACTGAGGCTGTACTGCCAGTGGATGTCAGACTTCAACCCCAACAGAGAGAGCCGGGACCTCGAGATCCCAGGTGAGGGCAGCAGGGGCGTTTTTTTTATAAAACCTTGTTAACACAGAATGAATCATGGTGGCATTCCTACTGAAATCTTGCTGATAATGTTTTGAGGATAACAAAATATTCTTATTGCTGAATAGATGGATGGTTTACTGGATGGATGAAGGTCAAGTAGTTTGTGAAGCAAGAGGATCATAATGATCTTCTGACATCGGTTGAATCTGATTTAGAATCATTCACCAAAACATTAATTATCCAAAGCAGAATAAATACTTCCTCTGAGTATCCTTACTTGTCTGAAGATATTGACCAGGGTGCCGTTGTACAAAGCAACCTTAGCGCTACGCCAGTCGTTAGTCTATGTTGAGGTATGGGAGTTACGATCACCTTAGCACTATGCCAGTCGTAAGGCTATGTTAAGGTATGGGAGTTACGATCACCTTAGCACTACGCCAGTCGTTAGTCTATGTTAAGGTATGGGAGTTACAATCACCTTAGCACTACGCCAGTTGTAAGGCTATGTTAAGGTATGGGAGTTACGATCACCTTAGCACTACGCCAGTCGTTAGTCTATGTTAAGGTATGGGAGTTACGATCACCTTAGCGCTACGCCAGTCGTAAGTCTATGTTAAGGTATGGGAGTTACGATCACCTTAACGCTACGCCAGTCGTAAGTCTATGTTAAGGTATGGGAGTTACGATCACCTTAGCACTACGCCAGTCGTAAGTCTATGTTAAGGTATGGGAGTTACGATCACCTTAGCACTACGCCAGTCGTAAGTCTATGTTAAGGTATGGGAGTTACGATCACCTTAGCACTACGCCAGTCGTTAGTCTATGTTAAGGTATGGGAGTTACGATAATCGCTAAGTTTGCTTTGTACATCAGCACACTGGTCATTATCTGCTGAGTGTCTGCAGTCAAGATTTCCTCCACATGTCAGCTTGTGATTCTGTATGGGTTCAGTGCAGTTGCTAGCATGAAAGAGATGTTGGGAGTTTTAGGAGATTTTAAAGTTAAGACTAATATTTGATCAAAGTGATATTTTATTTCTAGCACCAGAAACTTGAAACTTCTGACAAGGAGAGACTATAATGGTCTTCAGTCTCACTGTGTCTTCTGCTGGACATACTGTCTCACCCCTTATGTCGCTTCACTGTAATGATATTTTCTGTGTATTGCAGGTCAGTATGACGGACTGTCCAAACCTCTACCAGAGTACCATGTCAAGGTGGCTGGATTTGATGAACGAGTGAGTACAGTTCTGATTACATTCACTTCTTTAATATCTGGAAGCACGCAAGTTGCTGTGTAGTGTTGCTTTGGGATGCAGCTATTTATGCTTGCCATATGTGGGGCCTAGTTGTTAAAGCAATCGCTTGTCACACCGAAGACCAAGCTTCGCTTCCCCTCATGGGTACAATGTGTGAAGCCCATTTCTCGTATCCCTTGCTGTGATGTTGCTGGAATATTGCTAAAAGTAGCGTAAAACTAGACTCACACACACCCTTAACATCCGTGGGGCAGTGGGGTAGTCTAGTGGTCAAAGCGTTCGCTCATCACACCGAAGACCCGGGTTCGATTCCCCACATGGGTACAATTTTTGAAGCCCATTTCTGGTGTCCCCTGCCGTGATATTGCTGGAATATTGCTAAAAGTGGCGTAAAACCAAACTCACTCACTTAACATCTGTGTAGGTTCTGGTGATGTCTTCAATTCGTAAGCCGAAGAGGATCACAATCCCGAGGTAATGATGAGAAGGACTATCATTACCTGGTGAAAGGAGGGGAAGATCTCCGTCAGGACCAGAGAATCGAGCAACTGTTTGTTATCATGAACAAAGTGATGGCCAAGGATCCTGCATGTCGGCAGCGGAAACTGAAGCTCAAGACGTACCAGGTCATTCCCATGACACCAAGGTTTGTCATAATTCTGTCCGATGTTATAATGCCACTTATTTATTGTAATGTCGCACATGCTGTGTGGAGTTGATGTTTTTTCATTAGAAGTTATGTTTACAATTAACTGACTTTTATTAAGATTCTTTTATACTTTGTAATAGTATGGAGACATTGTTCAATCTTTCAATGCAAGCATTTCTGGTGTCCCTGACCTTGATATTGCTGGAATATTGCTAAGATGGTGTAAAACCATACTCATTTTCTTCTCAACATGTTGGTGCAGGTGCTAGTACCTTCATCATGGAGTTATATAGACAGTATTTACTAAAGGATTGTGTTAGTTTAAAATACTGGTGTAATGTGTTCTAGCTTTCTTTGTTGGTACATAAGACAGACATGCCATTCATTCCCTCCCTCTCTCTCCTTGCTGTGTAACAGGGTGGGGCTCATCGAGTGGATGAACAACACATGCCCTCTGAAGGATTTCTTGCTGGACGCTCTTACTGATGATGAGAAGAAATTTATTAACTCTGAGTAAGTATTCCTTTTCGTATGAGGCATTAGTGAAATAAGTTCAGTCAGTTGTTGATACCAAACCTATTTCGGGACCATCTATAAATTGTACACATACAAAATATACTTGGTCGGACATTTTGAAAAATTATCGTCCAATATATGGAAGCATTCAGAAGGAAAACTGTTTCCAGTAGTTTCGTGAAAATTATATTCCTTTAAAGAAACTTTGAAAACAGATTTTCTAAATGCAAAATATCATTTTCAAGTTTTTTGGTTAAAAATAATATTTTTTCTTATCCTGACTCATGTTTATTTGCTTGTCTTCTTCTTCTGGCGAACCTAGTGGAACACTTGTATCTCCCAATTGAAGTTCCCTTCAATAAAAAATCACTCATTAGTACTGACCACGAGTTACCTCCTTTCCACAAGCGCTGGAACGAGGGCGCCACCTGAACCCATGTGCCTCACTCTCTCCTTCTTCGCCCAGTGAACAAGACGTGAGAGCACCTGTGTCTCCCTGCACACTATATCCTTTATTTATATTTAGTTTGTTACCTCTTATATTCATCTATAGAGGTGTAACTAGTATCATTATTCAACATGCATTGATAATTATTCGTGTTTCTGCTGCTTGATTCACGGTTCGCCGTGTTTGCTCAGCAGTTTGCGTTAATAAAAATCTGCACTGTTTGTAAATTACGTTACTCTGCTACCGATCCACATTTAAAATGCCCTAGTTGCATTACTCCATGTTCTATTGTTTCTCGTTGTAAATTATGTATTAATTTACCAATTTCTGCCTTTGATAAATATTTATGTTCCGTTTTGAGACGGAAGGCAGATAAATCTCGGAAACAATCTTCAGTCATGGCTAATAGATCGGAGTCAGATATATCCTGAGTTACCTTCGGGATAAGCGTGGGGACGCAGTCCGCTATATCTAGAAGCGACCTGCTTCCCAGGACGTTCCTTCATCACAGTCTAAAACTAGAAGAACTTTCACGTCGTCTCAACGTATGCTCCGAGCCCCCAGGTCTACACCCTCGTCAAAGGGAAATCCACGAAGCTACTAAAAAAAAACAAACTTTGCTTCTGATATTCAGAATTATGTTTATATGATGATGACATTTCGTTTATCATTCCAGATGTATGTCATAAGAAGTGACCAGTACGGCTACCGTCACTTCAACGCAGATCAACATGCAATCAGAGATGCCTACGCTGATGCCGGAGATTATAACTGAGGGTCCCGTCACTATCACAGAGAGGACACCCTCAACGCCAGCGCAGACCATCCCAGACAACCTGGTCAACCAAATCATGAGGCTGATGGAAGACCGTTACGGCTTACAGAGGCCTCAGAGCCACGGGCCCCAGAGCCCATCCCATACTAAGTCATACAGGGCCCCAGAGCCCGCCTTTGACTTCGCCAGAGGGCCCCTGAGCCCATAGACGCCTCCGCCGGAAGGGCAACCCTGTTCGAGTGAGCTCTTTGCATAAGGTATCCCAGGTCAGCCCGAGGAGGAGCTAGAGCCTGACCCTTTGCAAGAGGCTTTATGGAGAAGGAGCGCTTCGCCTAGCACGCACCTTGTCATGTAACGGCATGCGCTCGCAAAGCAAGCACTCATATGTCGGATCGGACACTGACTCCAGACATTCGCAAGCAAGACGCCAAGGCTGGTGGTTCTACAACGCTTAGAGGAGGCGTTCAGCGTAGCCCCTCGACGCTCGAGAAGTCCAGAGCGCCTGCGCGGCCATCACCGCTCAAGCCCACAGTTTCCACGAAGGATGTCTTCTTCAAGGTCTACATACACTAGCCAATCGCCAGTCCGTTTCTCCTCAGTCCTCACATAGATCTTCTTACAGATCGAGGTTCGACATACCACCATACGCCAGAGGAAGACGATGGTATCATTTAAGATCGAAGGAGCGCCACGAGCCCACACCCCGTAGAACACAGAGGTCGCTTCTGAAGCAAAGCTCATATATTGATCGGACTCTGACTCGATACTTCGCGAAGGTCGCGAAGGCTAAGTGGCTCCAAGTCTATTTCACCCAGAAGATCTAGAAGCGCTTCGAGATCTTCGCGAAATCCTTCGGCGCTCGCCGAGGAAGTCTCCTCCAAGGTCTCCATATACTAGCCACTCGCCATATATAGCCACTCGCCAGTCCCTTCAAGACATCACATGAGTTGTTTATCAACTGTAAGCCATATGTCGCCTACAAGCCTACGCCAGACAATTGCACAGGCTATTTACAACACACAACGCCGCTGTATTAATTTATCAACGGATGAAGAGCCTAATTAGGGATCTTCGCTTCACTACCTACTACGATACGATTATCTACATGCGTGACCATTACGCAGATCTGCAGACAATTCAAAACGAAATTGAACAGCAGTCTTGTTACAGCGAGTAAAACTCATAATCGTCAACGATTTCCTCAGAAGTAATATGTACAACAAGTTCAGCTTTAACAGTCTACAAGCTGACAACTTGCAAGGTTATTGAACCTTATATAAGGAAGTCGGAATTATCTTCAAGACTGAAGTTACTTTCACGACAGCCTGGAAAATAACTTACCCAGCATTAATATTACAGAGCGAGGTATTTCGCGCCGGAGGTTTCGCGCGTTTACCATCAACCCTCGAAACACGTGGTCACTCGGGTAACTTCGGGAAGTTACGGTGAAGACCGACGATTGTTCTAATATCAACGACGGCACTATATTATACAAGATTCCTTTCCTGATACACCGGTGACGCCACAGCTGGTACTCTACAGAATCAAAATGCCTTGTTCTGATTGGACCGAGATGGACAACGCCCTCACGAGAGAGGTCGATCATAGTTCACAGTTCAACACTTAGGTTGCAAGTGACAACAATATATCAGTGAACGAGCAAGCCTCCTTACAGTCCAGCTAATCTAAACCTTCATGATTTGGCTGCCTTCTTGAGGTTAGAGACCTCCCCTGTCAAGTAAGGACGAGGACACGGCAGTCAGACGATTTTTTTTTTACATAAAGTTCAACGATGGCAGTCACCCCTGGTTATGCATCTACATCGTCAAGCACTTCGCAGCGAATTTACCTCGACGACGGGATACAAATGGATCCAAATCCATAGCGTCTCAGACTACAGTTGAATTCATCATCAAGCTACTAACACAACTAGATGGTTAGTAAACCTAATTAAGTTGGACCTAGAACCTTCGCAAGATCTGCTATTTCTAGGTTTTTGATTTGTAACGGCGCAGAATCGTGATAATTGTACCGAGGACCATGGATCAAGATCCAACAGTCATTTCATTAAGCCTTACTATCTCCGCTACCACTACGACAGTGACAGAGTCTGTTGGGGTTATGCACTTCAGCTCAGCTCAAGACATGACAGACAGAGGCAGACTACAATTACATCCGCTACAAGTCATCAGCAATTCGCATCTAGACGAATCTCTACCGTTCAATTCATCGGTTCAGGTCAAACCTCATCTACTATGATGCACCAAGAGATCGAATGTTGAATAGGCGTCTCGTTAATAGAGCTGGAATCGATAACACTTCTCTACGTAGATGTGTCACTATAAGGTTGGGGAGCCCATCTTGCCAACAGGACGGCATCAGGGCTATGAGCAATCAAGAGAGCAATTACACATAAATCTGCTAGAGATGCAAGCAGTAATAAACGCCTTAATACACTGGAGCAACTTACTACAGTATACCCAGTGGATGATTCACACAGTCAATTCGACAGTGGCGTTTTATGTGAACAAACTAAGCTCAACCAGGTCCCCGTCGAGTTAATCGACAATCTCAACATACATGTCAGAGCATATCACATTCCAGGAGCAAAGAATGTGATAGCAGACGCTCTCTCTCGGTCACACATACCATCGCCGACAGAATGAATGCTCCATACAGAGATATTCACTCAAATTATCAAGGAAATAGGAACTACACTAATAGACCTATTTACCATTCGATTCAACAAACACCTGACAACATTCGTATCGCCAGTTCCAGACCCGCTAGCATTGGCAACAGACGCACTAAGCATATCGTGGGAAGGTCTCAACGCGTACGCTTTTCCTCCACCAGCGTTAATCTCACAAGTTTACTCTAAATCAGTCTAAAGCAGAGCCTCCATCTGATTTTGGTCACGGCCTACTGACCAGCGAGGAAGTGGTTTCCAACTCTTATTCAAGAAATCGGACAACCAATACTACATCTTACAGAGTGCTCGAATCTGTTAATACATCCGCGACACCAAACAAGCACGGAAGGCCAGATATATTCCAACTTCACGTATGGATTGTATCATATGCGTGTCTGAATAACAAGTTATTCAGCCAGAGCGGCAAAGCAGTCTAACTTGCCCTGCGTAACTCAACTGGCAACTTATACGATGACAAATGGCACAGTTTTGTCAATTATGCTGCAAAGGAAGGATTTACAGCTAGATATGCTACTCATCCTCAAGTGGCGGACTACTTATGTTATCTACGTCAGACTAAGATTTTATAAGGCTCAGCTTGTCCACCTATCTTGCAGCAATAGCTCTATCATAACTGAGAACGGGCGTCAAGTTAACCTAACCCAGTTACTCGCCTGCTACGAGCTTTCCGATTGGAGGATTAAAACGGAAGTTCACGCTCCAACTTGGGATCTGAATATAGTGCTCCAACACCAAGTGAGGTTTATGAACACGCTTTGATGATATACTTGAACCCCATGATACGATGAATCTATCACGATGGCCAGTAACAGCACTGAAAATATATCTGCACCGAGCCAAACAGGAGGGAAAAATGCAAGAGATTTATTTCCTCTATCAAGCTACGCAGACGAAAGTCTCACGTACTACTATATCTCCTTTTGGATCAGAACTGTCATACTACGTGCCTACAAGACTGTAGGACTCTACCCTCCATGAGCTTCTAATCCTCATAATATTAGAGCGCTAACATCTACAATTGCTCTACACAAATGCTTTTGGAATAATGGAGGGTTATTTCTGGAGATCCGATATGGTGTTTGCCAACCACTATCTGAGAGATATCACCACCGAGGACGTCTCAGGTATCCACCTATTCGGTCCCATGGTCCTCGCACAACAGTTGACAGTTCCTCGGAGAAGATAAGTCCATCTTACAGAATTTTACTTATCTTATAACAGTACTAAATAGCTACATGCTATATATATTTTGCTTAAGTTCAATTTATTATCTTAAGCTCAGTACTATGGTTATTATATCATACAATATGTAAGCTAACAACTCTACGGAGTTTGTTATTATATATTTAGCTTAAGTTTATTCATATCTTAAGCTCATTACTATGTTTATATCATATAAGTATATTAGCTAACAAACTCTAAAGAGTTTTTTGCTATCATATACTTAGCTTCAGTTTCATCATATCTTAAGCATTATGGTTACATTATAACATGTATTAGCTAACAAACTCTACGGAGTTGTTTTGGCTATTTAGGTTGCTTAAGTTAATTATATCTTAAGCACAGTTCTATAATCATACTATATATATGCCTACAACTCTTAGGAGTTCTACTATTATATATATGTTCAGCTTAAGTTTCAATCCTTAAGCTCAGTCATATGTTCATTTCATAACATGTATTAGTTAACAAACTCTCAGTAGTTGGTTACTATTATACAGCTTAAAGTATCATTATACCTTAAGCACAATTCTGTTATAACTTACATATATGCATATTGTAAGCTTACTACTTTGGTTCTTATAAAAGTATTCATTATAAACTATCAACAGTTTATACTATCACATTAATAGCTTTAGCTTAATTAATGTTCTATATACTTTTATTATATTCAGTAAATTGTAATAACCCTTATATGGCAACTGATAAGTTAACAGCAGGAATTCAGTTCAGTGCCTTCATGAAGTTCCCTTAGGGTTATTACAATTATCTCAGTTCAAATCACTAATTAGTAAAATCCAAAGTATATATAATCCCACCTCCTATTCCGTAGGATTCTACAAGCAAATAAACATGAGTCAGGATAAGAAAAAATATGAAATTTTTAAAGTAAAATTAATATTTTTATACTTATCCTGACTCATGAGGTAAGCCCTCCCGTCCTCCACTTAACACTTTGGATTTCCCTGGAAACTCAGGTGTTGGGCTCAGTATATGAGGAGAGAGTGAGGCACATGGGTTCGGGTGGCGCCCTCGTTCCCGCGCTTGTGGAAGGGAGGTAACTCTTGGTGAGTACTAATGAGTGATTTTTTATTGAAGGGGAACTTCAATTGGGAGATACAAGTGTTCCACTAGGTTCGCCAGAAGAAGAAGACAAGCATATAAACATGAGTCAGGATAAGTATAAAAATATTAATTTTTCTTTAAAAATTTCATTCTTGTAATTTACAATTGTTTTCAATGTTTTGCCAAACTTAGTACATGATATTTAAATTTCAATACCTCACTGTCACTTGTTGCTTCTCTCATATTGCAATGTAGGCATGTTGCTCTCTTCTGTAGTGGTGTGAATGAAGTTGTTATCTGAAGGACTCTTCACTCAGAATCTCTTTGTTTCAGCCATGGACCAATTAAAGTCCACCAGCGCTGGACAGGCAAGTTTTTTGATGCCAAGAAGGGTGTGGCTAACATGTACTCTCATGTGTATATGAAGTACAACAAGACGGAGACCGAACGAGAGTTCAGAATGAAGGAGAGCAAAGTACCCTGGGATCTCTCCAGGTTAGAATCCCATAATCTATATGCTGCAGGATTTATTGATGAATTACAAAGTTCTCAGGCAAGATTCCACAATAAAATCATCTTCCTTTTTTTCTTTAAGACAATTCAAAGTTGTAAATCTGATTTCTTTGATCTTTTTCTTAGAAGATAGTGTATATTTTTACGCCAAGTTCAACAACCAAATTGTTAAAGGGGATGCACTGTAGATTCTCCAAGTTTGTCTCAGATATTACCTTGTGCTTGTGTTTCTGTCAGTCTAACACCATGTCCTATGTTCATTCTCGTGTCCAGAGGGGCGGTGGGGTAGCCTAGTTGTTAAAGCGTTCACTCGTCACACCGAAGACCCGGGTTCGATTCCCCACATGGGCAAAATGTGTGAAGCCCATTTCTGGTGTCCCCCGCCGTGATATTGCTGGAATATTTCTAAAAGCGGCGTAAAATCAAACTCACTCACTCACTCTCGTGTCCAGACGTGCATTCCATCAGATGAGCACCTCGCCTGAAGCATTCCATGTCTTGAGATGTGGACTGGCAACGTCCCATGCAGTCATCAGCATCTGTCAGTACATCCTCGGCATCGGTGACCGGCATCTTTCCAACTTCATGGTCAATCTCAAGACCGGTCACATGGTTGGGATTGACTTCGGACATGCATTTGGTTCAGCTACTCAGGTGAGGATCTTAATTTATAGGGATTCATTATATTCGTGTCTTTTGCTTTTCACACATATACAGGGGGCCGTGGGGTAACCTAGTGGTTAAAGCGTTGGCTCGTCACGCCGAAGACCCAGGTTCGATTCCCCACATGGGCACAATGTGTTAAGCCCATTTCTGGTGTCCCCCGCCGTGATATTGCTGGAATATTGCTAAAAGCGGCGTAAAACTAAACTCAGTCAGTTAGTCAGTCACACATATACAGCTTTCTTCTTTCTTTTTGTAGCTGTTCAAAGTGTTTGGGTAGAATTCATGAGTTGTTATTAGCCTGTTTGCTGTGTTGTAGTTCCTGCCTGTGCCTGAGCTGATGCCGTTCCGACTGACCCGCCAGATCGTCAACGTCATGCTGCCGCTACAGGTGAAGGGTCTTCTGGAGAACACTATGGTCCATGTCCTCCGTGCCCTCCGCAACGACTACGACCTCTTGCTCAGCACCATGGACGTCTTCGTCAAGGAGCCGTCAGTGGACTGGATGGTGAGATTATGCATTTTCACATAGATATAACAGATATTTACTTTTCTTAGTTAACTTGTTTCTTCATTGCTGTCACCTTGAAATAAAAAATTAGAAGATTTGACTTTTTGGGGGCAGTGGGGGTAGCCTGATAGTTAAAGCGTCCCCTCATCACACTGATGACCCAGGCTTGATTCCCCACATGGGTACAATGTGTGAAGCCCATTTCCGGTGTCTCCTGTCGTGATATGGCTGGAATATCGCTAGAAGCGTCATGAAACCATTCTCACTCACTCACTATTTTCTTTTTGGTTTCAGCAATTTGCAGAGAAACAAGATCAGGCAGGGATGAGAACCGAAGGTATGATTTATCACCATTAAACTAAAATTGAATGTGTAAAAGTCAGCAATATTTCTGCTATTTCAGGCAGCCTGGATATAATCAGTCTAGCTAGGGAAGCCAGTGGCTGAAGGCATGTGCACCTTTCCATAGGGGTACAGTCACACCCAGTCTACTCTTGATGACTTACAAATATCACACTCCAAGGACCGACGCCTCCCTGAAATTCCTATAAGGTTCAGTTTGAAGGAAAGTTCAATCTGGTGCATAAACAAATGTTTGAAATTAGGTTATTATTAGCTGTTCCAAGTGAAACAACTGTTGGAGATGACTTTGTTTTGAAATGAGTTTCTGTCCGTCTTTAGATGCTGATGTGGATGCAGCATGGTACCCAAAGCAGAAGATTCGGTTTGCTCAGCAGAAACTAAGGGGAGACAACCCATGCTACATTACCAGGTAGGTCCTTTGTTTATTGCTCCTTCAGGTGGACCTGGTTTTTTAACCAACACATTGTATACTATTTAATGCCCACAATGTATATGTTGTGAAAAATGAACAGTGTCCAGTACTTCAATGTGTCGTTATTGTCTAATGTTTCGTGATGATCTTCATGGCTGTAGCGACAATAAACACAAGAATAGTGTATACTCAGGTCCATGAGATCCTGTTATTTCAACTTAATACCTAATACAGGATACACTAGTACTGTTCTTACTAAAATGCCTTCATTCTGTGGCAGACATACACATAGTAATAGTAAGGGTATAACGAGCTACACCATTACATCACCATATAAATAGTAAAATATTTGTAATCCATACAATTGCTACTTTGTCCAGATCAGTACAACTGACACAAACATAATCAACTTAATTTTTTCCGATATATTAGCCAAGTAGTTAAGTATAATCCCAAATATAACATTGTGACATTTGAAGACTTTCTAAAGTGCCATTGAAAATTCAAAGTTTGCAACTGGTGCCTTAGATAATTTTATCATTTGACTTGTTTGAATTTACTAACCAATATATTGTATTACTTTAGCGATGGGGAAATGTTATTAGACACAATGACAAACAGAAGGCATGGTGGAGTAAATGGATTTATGCATTCTCTTTCAGGTTGTCATGAAGTGGCAGAAATAATTATTAAAAACTGGCTCTCATCAAATTTGAATATCTGACTGTACCAAATATATTTTTGGATCACAGATTGTTCTTCATGAATATATAACCTTTCCTTCTGATATTTTGAAAAACAATACTCAACCAAGGGTACGTTTTCCCCAAACCCCAAATTTAACATTCTAATAAACCAGCATTTCAGCAATCATCATTTTCTAGTTCACAACTACATCTGTATGACATGACTGGCAACATCTGGCAACATTGATTTACTGTCTACTGACAAAATCAGATGACAAATATCTAAAATACCTACACACACCTGCACATGAAATTTAAAACAAATAAGTATTATGCAGAAGAGCTACAGATTGTTAGACCCTGTTTATTCATCATTAGGTGAAGAGTAAAGCTATTGTATCTCGCCCATCTGTTCTCATCCTGGCTGAGTCCACCAGGATTCTATTTAAAAGTCATTCCTAAAATCAATGTCAAATACAGCGCAGCTGTTTCACCGATATTCTGTGTACAATCAATGGACTACAATCACCGTAATGTAAAGCTTGGGTTCAATGCTTGCTGTGGATGTTCAATGGATGTTAAACAGTGTTTGAGGTATAGGAATGGTGTTAAGGTGACACCGAACCAGAACGGATATGTAGTCCAGGAAATTAAAAAAATGTTTCATGAATAGAAATTTGAATATAGGCTTATGGATTGGGCTTGTGATGTTAGTGGATGTACATGTTTGTTTTGATGGTAGTGGATTCACCTACAGGAAGTATTTGCAGGGCATTTCCAGATGGAAGATCTTAAGTCTCATCCATATTGAATTTGAAATGCATGGGATGCAGATAGTATGGATATTTGGATCAATAAAACTACATTGTTTAAAAGATTTAAATACATATATCTTATAGTTCTCTTTATTCCATATCATTTTCTAATGTACCAAATACATGACACATCAGCAAACTGTATTTGTCAACAAAGTATTCTGTTAGTAGGTTTAAAGACACTGTTGATGGAATTATATATATGTGTCCATACAAACATGTACAACAATTTCAGTGTTCTCGATGCATAAAAACAACCTTTCTGATGTCAACAAACTGAATGAAGTGATGTCTTTTTAGTTGTCAAAATCAGGGAGCTATTGGGACCTATTGTCATAGAAGCTTTAATCAATAATGTTCGGGGTTCAAAGCATCAAGATGGGGGCTCCATGTGGAAGCGATACATGAAATGCAATGAGATGGCATATTTCATTGTTTGAATCACAGCTGACACAAGGCACTCTGACATGCAATCTCCATGTTCATACAATTTAATAAATTTTATTACTGTTTTTATCTCCTTTCATGTATTCCGTATATTCAACGATTCAGGCATCATTACTGGTCTCAGCTGGCTGTGTTGACCTACCGTATTCTTAATACTGTCCCTCCCTGCTACTGGCAAGAATAGTCACCATCTTTACAGCTCTTAGAGTATTAGATAACTAAGTTATGAATTGCTTTATTTATCAGTGTTAATATCAAAATCATTATCATTATGAAAGGTTATGATTATATAATCTGTTCCAGAAATAGATGGGGGCTGTGGGTAGCCTAGTGGTTAAAGCGCTATTCGCCAATCAAGAGACCCGGTTGAATCCCCACATGGGTACAATGTGTGAAGCCCATTTCTGGTGTCCCCCGCCGTGATGTTGCTGGAATATTGCTAAAAGCGGCATAAAACCATACTCAGTCAGTCAGTCAGAAATAGATGGAAATCAAACAAAAATCCTGTCAAGATAATATGGTGTTCTGATTAATAATGTCTTGTTCTGAAAAAAATTAACTACCTGATTTAATGTGAGAGGCGATATTGTGTTATGCAACTGTCAGTGTGTGGTAACTTTCATTATAAAACTTGGAATACAGTCAAATCCCAATGAGTCTAATATCTGGGGACCAAGTAATAAATTCGACTTATCGATGTATTCGAGACATACTGTAAACGTACTTATTTTCGCGTGGTGCAATTTTCCCGGAATTGACAGTTTAGACTACATCGCGTGGTCAATTATTTGCGTAATCAGTAATTGCCGGAACTGCCAGCTGTCTCTTTGGCCGCCACTAATAGCAGTGAAAACAAACAGAGTGGCTTAACCTGTCAGGCGGCGTTTATTGCTTACTCACAGGAAATCCCTATCTGTGCGATATGCTAGTACACAGTAATCCGTTTACTCACGGAAGAGATGAAAAAAACATCAGTCTTATGTTCAATTCTGACGATCTGATCTAATTAACTTCTACTGTATATGAAGCTCTTTTGTGATTTCAAACAAGCCGGGTTGTTGTGAATGAGATGATTGAGTGTTAAGTGACTATTCGCTTCATGATGTACTGGTAAATAAAATCTTAATGAATAAATAAAATACTGCTGTATTATTTCTTTCCGAAGTCGCTTCATGGTAATCTGTTTTGTATCAAACCATCTGTCATGTGACCAATTTCCATGGCGGCCACAACACACATTGCTGTTTTCGCTAATTCGGCGATGGGATTTGGCTCATTATTTAATTATGTTTTGGGAAATCCATTACAGCGACAGTTAAGTATGATTCTTTATGCTACTATCAGTCGTCATTTTAAGATTCCCGTAGATTTCTGTCTTCAAACTTGATGTGTTATGGTAACAACTCAGGGGCGAGCGTGGCTAGACTGAACGAATGACAGGTTTATTCACGGTGTATAAAATGTTTTGCGCGAAAATAAAACCTGTGCAAAATATAATACGTTTACAGTAGGTATGTCTATGAGGGTAGAAAAAAAAAGATGATCCAGTCCTAATTCCTCCGCCTAAGCATTTGTTTATCTAATGATTTCCCTATCACTAATAGGGGCACCTTATCAGTTCCAGTCTGATTAGCACAGACAGTGATTTCCGTAAAATCACTAATCTGCCTTTTGAACTCACCCGTCAAAGGCGGAAAGGTGTGAGCCACGCTGGTTTGTTAATTGGATCAGTTTGCTACACCAATCAACTTCTCATTGACTGACTTCGGCTTATGTATACAAGATTGCTGTTGTTTGAATCTCATGGGACCAAATTTTCTTCTCGAGTCATCGTGTGTATTTATGACTCGATTTCGTGTAACCGGTATTCAAATGATGACAACTATAACAGGGAATGGTCGGGACCGACAGGTACTTCGAGTTATGCATAATATTCGAGACACCGGCATTCGACTCATCAGGATTTGACTGTATATGGTAGAGTTGATAGGTAGATCAGCCATTCCTTAATGTCCACATCATGTTTTATCTTTTATTACAGAGAAGAGCTGCGACTCGGTCACTCCCGGAACATAGCTATCAAGAGTATGGAGGAGGTTGTCCTGGGCAACAAGAAGGAGCATGTCCGTGCTAAGCTGCCAAGAATGGGTCTTTCTGTAGAAGAACAGGTGGCTGCTCTCATAGACCAAGCAACTGACCCTAATCTGCTGGGGAGGGTGTGGGCGGGATGGGAAGCCTGGATGTGATCAGGGGCTAAATTCTGCTGGGGAAGATGGGAAGACGGATGTGATCAGGGGCTAAATTCTGCTGAGGAGGATGGGAAGATGGATGTGATCAGGGGCTAAATTCTGCTGGGGAGGATGGGAAGAAAGATGTGATCAGGGGCTAAATTCTGCTGGGGAGGATGGGAAGACGGATGTGATCAGGGGCTAAATTCTGCTGGGGAGGATGGGAAGACGGATGTGATCAGGGGCTAAATTCTGCTGGGGAGGATGGGAAGCCTGGATGTGATCAGGGGCTAAATTCTGCTGGGGAGGATGGGAAGCCTGGATGTGATCAGGGGCTAAATTCTGCTGGGGAGGATGGGAAGCCTGGATGTGATCAGGGGCTAAATTCTGCTGGGGAGGATGGGAAGCCTGGATGTGATCAGGGGCTAAATTCTGCTGGGGAGGATGGGCCTGGATGTGAAGGGGCTAAATTCTGCTGGGAGGATGGGAAGCCTGGATGTGATCAGGGGCTAAATTCTGCTGGGGAGGATGGGAAGACGGATGTGATCAGGGGCTAAATTCTGCTGGGGAGGATGGGAAGACGGATGTGATCAGGGGCTAAATTCTGCTGGGGAGGATGGGAAGACGGATGTGATCAGGGGCTAAATTCTGCTGGGGAGGATGGGATCAGGATGTGGGAAGCCGGATGTGATCAGGGGCTAAATTCTGCTGGGGAGGATGGGAAGACGGATGTGATCAGGGGCTAAATTCTGCTGGGGAGGATGGGAAGCCTGGATGTGATCAGAGATACCCACAGTGGCTATAATCTGCTGGGGAAGGTGTGGGTGGGATGGGAAGCCTGGATGTGATCAGAGATACCCACCATGGCCCTAGTGTGCTGGGGAGGGTGTGGGCTGGATGTGATCATAGATACCCACAGTGGCTATAATCTGCTGGGGAGGGTGTGGGCGGGATGGGAAGCCTGGATGTGATCAGAGATACCTACAGTGGCTATAATCTGCTGGGAGGGTGTGGGCGGTCGTGGCCCTTATCTGCTGGGGAGGGTTTGGGTGTGATGGGCAGCCTGGATATGACCAGAGACACCAACTGTGGCCGTAATCTGCTGGGGAGGGTGTGGGTGGATGGGAAGCCTGGATATGATCAGGAACACTGGCCATCTTCCCTTGCTGCTGGGACGGGCAGGGGCAGGATGGGAATCCTGGATGTGAATAGTGACACTTGTCACTGACCTTCAGTGTATTTCAGGGTAGCCAGATATTTGTGATGAAGGTGAAGGACACTCGTCTCCATTTTGAGAAGCCACCACCTGATAATACCAGCCATTCAAACACACAGCCATTCAAACACACAGCCAAGTGCAGTCATCCTTTCAGACAATCAGAAAGAGAGTTGGTTTCTGCAAACTGTAGGTGTAGTGGAGAGCCTGTGTCTTCTGTATTACAAATCTTGTGAGAAGCTGTCATAGTCAACAATGGTGTCTGTATTCTGTCAACTTTGGTATTCATTATATCTGTAGTTCTGTAGAGTGTGAAATCAAGTCTTGGACCATATAGATGAGAAATCAAATTCAATCTCTACACAGATTTTCTTAGGTATAGGTCATGCATTGCTCAGATAAGTTATCTGTAATCATACACTAAATCAATAAATCCTTATATAAAAATCTCAGTATGTGTAAAATATGCACCACAATGTATGTGTTTTTTTTGTAAATAATGTCCAAGTATATACAAAAGCGTCTTTAAAGTATTAAGTAGTTTCATAATGTTGTAAGCATGAAAATCATTGTTTATTGAATGTTTACAAGGACGCAAGTTCCTCCCTGTTTGATTTGTGAACATTAGAGGGACATTCTAAAGGAATAATGCATTGGAGTTTGTCCTTACAATATTAAATGCTGGTTTGGTTGTTTGTATCTCATAATTATTTGAATGTTAAAGGATATCTTCTTAATTATCTGTATTATATCAGATATTAAAACATAATCAGTTGTGGTCCTTAGAGGAAGCTGTTATGAACTTCCTGTGGTATATGTTGAATCACATGTTGAGTGAAAGTGATATAATGTGTGTGACATCTCTCGACACATGGCAGAACTGTCATGGAAATTTGATATATGTGACTCTATATGAATGTTGGAAGCTGCTCATGAATGATGATGTGTAGATATGAATGCCTTGAAATATCTTGTTATATGAATTTAGAATGGTTTATGCTGGTACTTGCATCAACATCAGATGTTGACTTGTGAATTTCATTATCTTTCATACTTTGTCCACATACTTTCATTCTCATCATTTTGTTTGCTTATTTGAAAAGTATTTTGATGATATTAAGAAAATGAGGTATATATTGTAAATTTAGTTACATAAAGGTTTTTCTATTGCTTTGTCTAATGAGTTTTTTAAATTACTTATTTTCATGAATTTATGGTATTTTAACATTATATTACACCTTTGCATTCAATACAACGAGTGTCCCCCGCCTTGATATTGCTGGAATATTGCTAAAAGCGGCGTAAAACCAAACTCAGTCAGTCAATACAAAGATGTGAGGCTTAGCACTGAAACCTTTTCCTCTTTACTGGACCTGTATTCAGTGAAAATACGGTCAGCTTGAAAACATTAGGACAGTAGTTTTAACTATAATCATGATAACAAGAATTTATTCCAAATTGGGAATTTTTATGTACATTTAATGCAGATTTGGCATGTACCCATATATATCTGGGTCTGAGCAGGTCTGGATAAACCTGTCTCTGACCATAGTTTTCCTATCATGTAACAGACTGTAGGCTGCAGTGGGAGCTCAGCTACTGTGATACACTGATGTTCATTTCCTCATGTGGGCTTTGATCTTCTTCCCAGGTACATCAAAGCAATGAATCCTGTGATCAGGCCATCTACTTGATGTTGTGACATGATGCCTGTTTGATTTCCACTTTGGTTTTGATGAATAAGTATTTTCTACACACAATCTTTCGTTGAATATCCCATCGTGTTATGAGATGCAGCCTCGTTACAAAATTAGCTTCTATGAAAGTTGATCACAGCAAAACTATTACGTTTTTGGCTTTAAATAGTTTGCCTCTGCTGGTCTCATGTACTTGTTATTTCCCCTGGTCAAGGTCAAGACGCTGTTATATACAGGATAACGGTGCTTGTTATTCTGGGTAGTCTAGTGGTTAAAGCGTTGGCTCGTTGCGCCAAAGACCCGGGTTCGAATCCCCACATGGGTACAATGAGTGAAGCCCATTTCTGGTCTCCCCCACCGTGATATTGCTGGAATATTGCTAAAAGCGGCGTAAAACCAATCTCAGTCAGTCAGTCAGTATATACAGGATACAGTGATATGGTTGTTAAATCCGGGCATTTAACGACATCCCCTCAGGTGCTCATGCTTTTGAACACAGTAGGCTATTCAATCACATGACATGTGAAGATCCATGTTAGAATTGATCTTCAGTAACCCATGCTTGTCGTAAGAGGTGACTAACGGGATCGGGTGGTGAGGTTCGCTGACTTGGTGGACACATGTCATCATATCCCAATTGCTTAGATCGATGCTCATGCTGCTGCACATTGCTGAGTGCGGCATAAAACAGCAATAAACAAAATCGGTGTATTTAATAATGTGCGAACAAATATTGATTTCGTTTGTAAAAATCACAAACATCATGAAGAACAAAATCATTTCATCATAAGTGTTTCTTCAATCAGTTACTCATGAACATGGAATGTCATGGAATATTTCAATGATTATTACTTCTTATTAATTACCCTCTCCTGTCCAGGGCCCCGTTCCTCAAAGCGATCGTAGCGCTACAACAGTCGTAAGTCTATGTAGTTTGGGAGTTACGATCAACTTTGGCGCTTTACGATCGCTTTGAGGAACGGGCCCAGACTTCAATATTTGCTGGTATGGTGGACAAGTACAAACAAACGATATTTCTGAAACCTGCCACTCTGAGCTGAATTTGTGTAAGATCAGGTAGAGAAACCAACTTGCAGAGTTGATTGTCCCCAAACGAGTAGAAACCTTAGATAAGATTGGTCTGGAAGCATTATGGATAGAGCTCCGCTACAAAAAGCAGAAAGTATCTGGTAGGTGTATTCTACAGAGCAGACAAAAGTAAACAGTATTGGAACCTGTTAAATCAATCGATTGGAGATGCAATGGATTTGGATTTAGATACAATCATTGTTGGAGATTTTAACATTGATATTTACAACAAATTAGACGCTTAAAATAAACAATCTTATGGTGGCTTATGGTTTGCACCAACTTATAAACTCACCAACCAGAGTCACCCAAAACAGTAGAACCCTTATTGATTTGATATTTGTTTCTCGCCCTCGATATGGTAAAAGAGTCAAATGTTTTAGAACCTTTTGTAGTGATCATTGTCCAGTATCCGTAACATTAAAAAGAATGTATGAAGTCAACAAAATATATCTGAGAAAAGTTTACGATTACACATTGGTAAACAAAGACGATATCTGCTTCCACGCTGACAATACTGATTGGGAAAAACGTACTGTCATCACTTGACATAAATGTGAGCACAGGTGCATTTGTGAAAACCTTATCTCATATCTCATGATTCCAATGTACCAAACAAAATTGTTAGAATAAGATGTAAAGATACTCCCTTGATGAATAATAACATTCGCAAACTCATGCGGAAACTTAAATCGACAACATAAAATAGCTAAAACAAAAAATGGTGAAAATGACTGGGCTACTTTTAGATCATTAAGAAATCAAGTGACTTCTGCAGTTAGAAAAGCCAAGAAAGATTATGCAACAAAATTAGACACTTAAATAAACAATAATCATAGCACTAAACTATGGTGGCGCTTTTAGTTAAAAACTATATGAACAGAAAATCTGAAAGTATCTCCTTTCCTCCTATTACCCACAATAACTAAGTCTATCAAGAACCAGAATCAATAGCAACGCTTTTAAATAATTACTTTATTGACCAGGCAACAATCGCTGACCCAAATAAGGATCTTCCAAATATGACCTTAAACAATAATAGTAAATATATGAGGAATTTATATCTTACAAAGCAGGATGTTGAAGATGTTCTATCATCGTTAAACATTACCAAAGCGAAAGTGGACCAGATGGTATAGGAAACCGCTTCCCACGCTTGGTATCCCCCTTTGTCACTAGCATTAACTAAACTCTTTAACAAGTCACTACAAACATCAGTTTTCCCAGACATATGGAAAGAATCATCAGTTATACCAATCCACAAGAAAGGTAATATTAACAACTGTTCGAACTATAGACCCGCTGCCTTTAACATCTTGTTTATCCAAGGTCTTTGAAAAATGTATATTTGAATATGTCTTTAACTTCATGAGAGATAACAATTGCCTTTCAAATTTACAATCTGATTCATGCCAGGAGATTCAACAGCTTACCAACTCAC